TTAAGGAATAATAATAAATATTTATTTTAACAAAGAACCGTAAAAATCAACAAGGAATTTTAAATGTTAAAATGCTGCCAGTTTAAGTCTCTTGTGTGGCATCATAAAAATACAAATGCGAAACTAGTTTATGACCCATTCAGAAATATCTTATCGCCTCAAATTATGTTTCATCATCCTTATACACTCATCCTCCCTGATTCGTATTCAAAAGTGTGCCCACTAAACATTATCTGCACAAAAATATAAGCTCGTAAATGTGAAAACACTCTATAATGAGCTAATCAAGCCAACTCCAACAAAGTTCTCTCTGTCGATAAATGCAAATGGTGGTGTCGTTTTTCGGTTTTTGGCCACACACAACTTTTACGACGGGGCATTACAAAGTCAACAAAACGAAGCCGTAAAACATCAGACATCATTTGAGGGGGCCACCTAGAGAGATTGCCTCTCTGGCAGCTGTAAACAAAATTGGTAAACGCAGCACAAAGGCGCGAAATCAAATTTGCAAATAAAGCTTACGGTTTTCACCGATTTCCCGCGGGCCAAACAATAGCCAATAAGCTTTGACGACATAGTTAAGTCCTGCGAGGACATTCTCTCGAGTCGAAATAAATTCATTTCGGAAGTTGAATTTTGACAGAGTGTTTTCTAATAAATTATAACACAGTTTGTGGTGTGTTTGCTAATAGCTGGCAAGTCAACGAAGCTAATGCTGTTGACACACACGCACGCCTCAATCGCATTACGTATACGCCACGATGAGCGCATTTTGGCAAAATGGCAATTGACTTTAATTACTTCGCCTCAAAAAGTCATGCAGCCAGACTCTCTGTCTGTGTGTGTGTGTGTGTGTGTGTGTGTACTTAACCCACGATGTCATCGACGGTGAAGTGGAAGCCACCCGAGTGGTGGAAGGAAGCAGCTTTCATTAGTTTTTGGGCGGAAGCCACTAAAAGTCTTTACATGGCACATCCACTCCTCCATGTTCTGTATGAAAACAGTTTGTGAAATTTAATTTTCAGCACACTTGATTTTTAAATGGCGCCAGGAAGAGTGAAGTAGCAAAGTGCAATGAAATTTGCTGTTAATTTGTACACGAAATGTCTCTATTTAATTTTAAATTGGTTTTCTGGTAAATGTTATGAATTGGCTCTGTGTGTGTGGCTGGCCACCAAAGGTTGTAAAAGGGAACGGGAAAAGGAAAAATTGCCATGTTCTTGTGGCGGGCGGATGCTTTCAATGCAATGCATTCAATGGGAAGGAAGCGGCTGAATGGACTGGATGACTGCTGGTGCATATCTGGCTACAAGGAAACCCAATTGCACAGCAAGAAAGTATTTCAATTTTATAGTTTTATCAATACAAATTAGGTAACATTGTTTATTGAAGTTTTAAGAGATTTGAAATACTTAAGAACAGTCTGGGTTAAATACATTACAACCATTAGTTTCTGCTTTTAGTTTTTAGTATTTCAAGAAACTTTTTCAGTGTAGGAAGGTGCTGGTGAATGAAACCAACGGCTGCTATGGGATGCGTGTGCAATCTGGCAATAAATATTTTATATTTACAATATTTCTCTCTTCTGGGAACTGGCAGCAAAGTCGGGCATATTGATTCCTTACGGCAAATAGTTGTGCAAAAAGTGGAAATTGTATTGTTATTTAAATCGTTTAATATTCGCCAGCTGAATCCTTAATGGCCGTAGATGCACTTTGAGTTTTAGTTTGGTGAGGGCATTCCCATGGGCACCGTAATTTTCGCTCGTTTATGGCATGTTTTCCTTAAATGTTTGCTCACTTTACTCAACGGAAATCGGGTTGATGCTGCTACTGCTGCGGCTACTGCACTGCCGCACCGGAAGTTGTCTCTTTTTTTTTGTATATTTTATTTTATTTCTTTTATGACGCTGCATTTTGTGGCATATATGGGCCGGGGCCAGCTTGTCTTGGTTATAGTCCTGGCTTTATTGCTGCCAACTGCTCGACCAGGCCAATTATACATATATACAGCTGCTTTGGCCTGGCTATTTGGGGACTGGCCTTGGACTGGTCTGGTCAGAACCCGAACCCAAACCGAACCGTGTTGCGCATCGTAAATGAGTCTGGATATTTCAGTACAGCTAATGTCTGGCCAAGCGACTCATTGGGGGTCCTGCTATGGTATAATAAACATCCACTGTAATTAACATTTTACGGCATCTTCTTTGTTAACATTATATATATAAATATATCTTGGGGTTCGTAGAGGTCTAGGAAATAATCATTTGAGATGAATTTACAAGACTGTATGGTTATGGTATGGTACGTAGCCGTGGGATTATAGATTCGAATGTGAAATGGATCAACTTAGGCTTTCATATTTAAAAAATATAAAATAATTTGTATACCCATAAGGAAACTAAAACATGTGTACTCGAGATATATTAAATCACTGCATTTCAAGCTTCTGACTGAAAGTATAATATCCTGCAAAGGTATAAATATTTGCATTACATAGGCTGATATTTATCTATACTTGTATGACGATTATTCTATAGCCCGCAGCTTAAAAGTTTCATTACTAAACTAAAACTGCATTAATTTCGATTCTGAAAGCTGTTCTGTGTTTATTTCTAATAGGTTAACAAATCTGCATTCCTAAATTTAATTTTTAAAATATTACAATTTTTGTCAAAATTTCAAAATGTCAACTATGTAAAAAACCTGTCATAAAATTTGGGGAAAAAATATCAAAAATTTTATTCTCTCCTGCATGCCTAGAAAGATTCGCCTTTTAATGCTGATCAAGAATATATATGGTTTATAGGGTCGGAAATGATTCCTTCACTGCGTTTTTAGCTTTTGACTGAATGTAAAATACCCTCCAAAGGTATAAATATTCGCATTCTATAAGTCGATATTTATATAAAGATTTTTCTATAACCAGCAGCTTAAAAGTCTCATAACTAAGCCAAAACAGCATTAATTTCGATTCTGAAAGCTGTTCTTATAAAATTATAAATTATAAAATTTTTTTTTCTTCCCACATGCCTAGAAAGATTCGCCTGTTGAAGCTGATCAAGAATATATATGGTTTATAGGGTCGGAAATGATTCCTTCACTGCGTTTTTAGCTTTTGACTGAATGTAAAATACCCTCCAAAGGTATAAATATTCGCATTCTATAAGTCGATATTTATATAAAGATTTTTCTATAACCAGCAGCTTAAAAGTCGCATAACTAAGCCAAAACAGCATTAATTTCGATTCGGGAAGCTGTTCTGTGTTAGTTTCTAATAGGTTAATAAATCTGCATACCTGAATTACATTTTTAAAATATTACAATTTTTGTCAAAATTTCAATTGGCAACTATGAAAAACCTGTTATAAAATTTTGAAAAAAAATTATAAAATTTTTTTCTTCCCACATGCCTAGAAAGATTCGCTTGTTGAAGCTGATCAAGAATATATATGGTTTATAGGGTCGGAAATGATTCCTTCACTGCGTTTTTAGCTTTTGACTGAATGTAAAATACCCTCCAAAGGTATAAATATTCGCATTCTATAAGTCGATATTTATATAAAGATTTTTCTATAACCAGCAGCTTAAAAGTCTCATAACTAAGCCAAAACAGCATTAATTTCGATTCGGGAAGCTGTTCTGTGTTAGTTTCTAATAGGTTAATAAATCTGCATACCTGAATTACATTTTTAAAATATTACAATTTTTGTCAAAATTTCAATTGGCAACTGAAAAACCTGTTATAAAATTTTGAAAAAAAAAATTATAAAATTTTTTTTCTTCCCACATGCCTAGAACGATTCGCCTGTTGAAGCTGATCAAGAATATATATGGTTTATAGGGTCGGAAATGACTCCTTCACTGCTTTTTAGCTTCTGACTGAAAGTAAAATACCCTCCAAAGGTATAAATATTCGCAATCTATGAGTCGATATTTATATGAAGATTTCTCTATAACCCGCAGCTTAAAAGTTTCACAACTTAGCCAAAACAGCATTAATTTCAATTCTGAAACCTGTTCTGTGTTAGTTTCTAATAGGTTAACAAATCTGCATACCTAAATTTAATTTTTAAAATATTACAATTTTTGTCAAAATTTTAAAATGTCAACTATGTAAAAACCTGTCATCAAATTTGGAAAAAAAATTATCAAAGTTTTTTCTCCTACATGCCTAGGAAGATTCGCTTGTTGATGCTGATCAAGAATATATATGGTTTATAGGGTCGGAAACGACTCCTTCACTGTGTTTTAAGCTTCTGACTGAAATTATACTACACACAGCTGACTCTAGTCCTATAGCATCTTTGTATAGGATATATGTAATTGTCATGGTTAAGACTTACCGGAGTAGGGGACACACGGTTATCCAGCTTCGTCATTGTATACTTCCTTCCAGTCTAGAGTTGTATTCTTCTTTAATAGGGCTTCTTAGTTGTCCAAATGTATTGGGTAGTTGATGTAGTTGAGGGCGAAGGGTAATCACAATCACTATCACTACACCTATCACCATAGACGTAAACAGCGGGGAGGCCGCGGACAGACTGAGGGGAGCGCAGCAGATGCACCTCTATTTATACTCCCCGAGGAAAGAGATCAGAGAAAGTGAGAGTGGGAGAGTAAGAGCTATCTCTGGAGGTAGGGAGCAAGAGATGGCTCTGCACATGCACAAGGAGAGATAGACATACTGAAGGAGAGAAAGAGGGAGTTTTGCCTTTTCCTCTATATTTAACGATCGTTCCTATGGCAGCTATATGATATAGTTGTCCGATCTTAAAACCGGAATTATAAAATAATGCAAATTGAGGTTACCTTCACTTTGATTAAAATATTTAATAATTTATTTTCAAATAATTTTCCGATTGTTTCTATGGCAGGTATTTGAAATATAAAGATTATACATTTATATATTTAATATAATCAGAAATCACTGCTTTTCACGCTTCTGACTGAAATTATAATGCCCTGCAAAAGTACAAGTTTATATAGAAACAATAAGTCTAGTATATTTTACATTTAATTTATAATTTACAATTTTACAAAAGCTGCCCTTGATCCATGGAAAAATACAAGTCCGATGCTTATATTAATTTCCCAAGTGCTTCCTTTTATTCTAAGTATTAAATTTTATTAGTAGTTTGAATGAATTGAATTTATTCCATACTTAGATTAAGTACTCACTGGTTTTGAATATTTAGAATATGCGAATTTGTCTCTCTTTTCATGTTTTTTTGTTTTGCTTTTTGCCAATTTTTGTGCTGCGTTTTTAGCACGCGGACTGGTGGGACGACCAACAGTTTTGCGTTTGGCCTTTGGTTTCAGTGCTCGTTTCCTTTTCTGGATAGGAACTCTTATTTTGGGTGTATATCCCTTGGGCTTCGTCTGAAATTAGTCTAGGAAATACATCAATGGGCCTATAGACATGCAATTAAGATGCAGAGCTTACCGCAAATAATTTCTTTTGCGTGGTAGTTAGCTTGCCCCAGGCATTCGAACCGTACCATTTCCACTCATCTTCGTCCTGATGTAGATGACTCTTAATGTATTTCTTCATAAACGCATTGAAGGCCCTGGTCTCCCCCTGTCCAAGGGGTGTTGGAGTATCGGCTCCCATTGTAACGATCCAATATAGATTTATGCGAAAGAATGGCTTAGAAAATATTTCTAAAGGTTCCAAAAGAATTTTGAATGACTTAAATTCTTATTTCATTTTAAATGAAATGTTTGATTGCCGATACATATCTGAATTTTGACAGAAATATCGGATACTATTAGGTTCGAAGCTTTTTGAGTAATTAGCAAAATTATATTACGAATTTGGTTACTTTTGGGATGATGCCCTAGGCTCTTCACAAAGTTGTTAATTAAATTTGTTTGGAAATGAAACGACGTTGTTGTTTCTACACTCTGTCTTCTCCGACACACAGTCATCATTATTGTTTTGGGAAGTAATTAAGCAAACTTTCTATTGTCTTTTCTTACGTCGGTAGATTTTGTTTTTATTCCTAGGCCATCACGTTTGACGAGCCCTGACATGGTCGCCAACAAGAAGATGAAGAAAAACATGGGAAACATGGGAAGCATAGGAAAAGTAAAAGAAAAAGCAAAAGAAACCGAAGAGCTAACCTACTGAGAACCGAAGAGGGCCTCAATTTTCTACGTGCACACCATAAAGTTGATGTGTAATTTGTTTTTATATGCATTCAACAGAACTTGCCAAATTCTATTACAAGTTTACAATTGTATTACGGCTAAGAGAGCTCTCCATCTCGACTCGTCTTCACCTTAATAAACCATAACTAATGGGGTCGCACAAGCAGAAGCAGTAGCACCACAAGTATCTGCAAGATACTCGCACTTGTGGGCTGAAAATGTTGCCTTTTAAAGCGTCGAAAGCAGCTTAGGAGCTTTCAATTTTTTCAGTTTTTTTTTTGTTGCACAATAACAAAACGCCAACGCGACTAAACAAGAAAATTGAGTATAGGAAAAGCGAAAAGCAGAATGGAGAAAAGCAAACAAGTAAATGAAATTTCCGTTTTGAGCTGCTGCTCTCTCCTTCTCGATCGTTTAGTGTATCAATAACTGAATAACAGGCTAAGAAGGCTCCTGGCTGTGGGCTCTAGATGTGTATGTGTATGTGTTTGCTGTTTGACTGTTTGTGTTACCAAACGAAGCCTCAGACACTCGCCTGCCGCTGCTGATGCTTTGTTTGCCTGTGCAATTTGAAGTGCCGGAAATATGCTTTAGCTTTATGGGTTTTTTGCTCATCTCGCACAGCTCAAGCTGGGACTGAGATTCAGACTTTGGCCATTCAGCCATTCCCGGAAATCTCTGCTCAGCTCTGTGCCCCCCAAAAAAGTTGGCTCAAATTACTGCGTCTAGCCGCACAGAGAGTTACAACAAAACAGTCGAGATAATATCTTTTGATTAGTGGCAACCGCAAAAACTTTAATTAAATTCGCACACACAAACAGCTTTCAGCTTCTGGAGAGAAAAGTTTATGCCGCATTTGCCATGTCACCAGATAAGTTTCCACTGGCTGGACACACGCATGTGGACCAGACCGTTTCAGCTTTGGTCTTTAAGTTTTACAATTCAAAAAGAAGACAAAGGAAACATTGCGTAGGAAACTTTCCGCCAAAGTTATGCCGAGTTTTGGGGCCAAAATCCAATGAATTAATTAGTTTAATTCGGAAAATACGCTAGAAAGCTGTTGGGAAACCACAAGAAACCCTTGAAGCCTTCATTGTAAAATTCATGAGCAATATAAAATTATTTAATCGGGTTTGGGTACCTTTAAGTAGTTCTTCAATATATTAAAATTTTATTTAAATTTTATTGGTTTATTTATAGCAATACATACGTATCATGAAGAAGAATCCATGGCCCATATGAGATGTTTTGAATAAGGTAAGAAGTATTTGATTTATTTTTTAATTTTATTATATTTGTTCATTTGGTTTTTGTAACTTTAAAGACACGCGAGTGTAACCTCTATATGTATATATATTTATATTTCTATTATGCCATAAATTTTAGCCAGGGTGAATCCAAGACAAAGACAACTGAAGCCAGCGACTCGCAACACACTCCCCAGAAATAACTCATATCGAATTGCACCATTTGTTGTTTTTTGTCTCCCGAGAGGAGAAAGGATATTGAGTTACCCTGGCGGGGATTTGGGATGGTATTGGGTGTTTTGGAGGGCTGCGGCTCGTTGGCTTCCGTTGCCCGATGCCAAATGGTTCGCCTCTTGGTGGCATTTAATATATATTGTGTTTCATTTTTTGTTGCTTCGTTTGACGCTTTCGATTTTGATAGATTTATCACAGCTTACCATAAAATAAGTCAAAAATAAAACAATGAAAACGGAAAATAATAAAAACAAAATAGAACTCTATGCAAATGAAAAATCTAAAATTATGTCCATTAATTAGATGATATAATGGCCATCCTAGCATTGCGCCACGTCCACGCTCCCGGGCATTAAGTTTGTCTTCGCTCGCACTCTTTGGCCGGGAGTCGTTGACATCGCTGCCAATGGGATGCAATTATCATTACATCATCCTTACATATCATCGTCATCTCTAGTACAGTACAAAAAGCTACAAAATCCAGGGCTCGCTGCCCGTGTTCTTGTGTTATATAAAATACAATTGAAATATGCTTAACCTATGACTAAAGTGTTTCTCATTTCGTTGTCGTTTTTTTTTTTTTTTTGGTTGTTTTTATGTATATTTTTTTACCGACTATTTGGAGCTCTTCTTCTTTTTGCTCTTGGGTATCTCCGCCCACAGTCGGAAGAAGTACTCATCGCGTTGAAGCAGCCTGCCGCGCGCATACGAATGGATGTCTGCATCCATGTTGTGGTCACGCAGCCACGACGAAGTATTGCACGTGCTCATCTCGGTGCGCGGCTCGTCCGGCAGGCTCTCATGACCTGGATCAGAAAAGAATGCAATATATGTATTAGTTTGGACAAATTGCACAATCAGGCATGTTCACAATTCCGTATCTACTATAACTTTTTCATGGCAGGAATTGAGCAACGAAAATTTCAATTTATAGAGAAGAATTTTGGGTTTAAATTTATAAGTGCTTTTAGAGATTAAAGTCCTAAAATAACACTCACCAGCGGTCATAACCTTGTAGGGCTCCTCTGACTCTAGAGGTTCACTCAGACCAATCTCGTTCTTGGCAAATATGCGAATCATATACTCGTGATTCTCCTGCAGGTCTCTGATCTGGAATTTCTGCACGCCAGCTGGCACACGACCCACCTCGATCCACATGGTCTTCTTCATGTCCCTTATCGCGATGTGGTAACCGAGCAGAGGCGCACCTCCATCTGACTCGGGAATACCCCATTCGAAGATATGGGCATTGGCGGCAAGAACGCGCGCCTCCAGTGGAGCGGTCGGTGGCGAGGGAACGGCTAAAGGGAAAATTCAAAATTTTTGATGGATTCTGTTTAAAGTATTTTCAACCCGATGGACTTACTGGCATGTGTCTTGAGCGATACGCTCTCGGTGACGGCTGGTGCACCTAATCCAGCCTCATTTTCCGCAGACACACGGAACCAGTACTCGCACTTCTCCTTCAAATTGTCAATCGTGTAATGCAGTTGGTGAGCGTCCAGTGTAATGACCTTTGACCAAGTTGTAGATGTTGACGAACGTTTTTCCACGCAGTAGCCTGTTTGGAAATCGAAAGGATTTAATAAATATTCCTTCTTAACTTATATGTAGTATTAATTATATTTTACCCGTGATTTCGGAACCACCATTGCGGGCTGGCACCTCCCAGTCCAAGGTAACACTTCGACTGGTAACATCCGGTGCCCTTAGATTCTGAGGTGGCGATGGAGGCGCTGGGAGTTGGTTTATAAAAGAAATTTCATTAGCATTTCAACTTTTTCGTGTTTTTAAAGTAATTACATACCCACGATTTCATTATCAATAGCTATTGTTGATTTGGGATTAGTTTTGCGCATGTTTAAGCATTAGTTGCGTGATTAAAATAAGCAATATATGCGGAAGCAATAAGCAATTGGAGTTATGTGTAAATAATTTATGAACTTACTTATCTTGCGACCCACGACAATCTTTTCCGTGGTCTCGTACGCCTCGCTAGTGCCAGCCTCGTTTCTCGCATAAATGCGGAACAGATAGCCCTTATTCCTGACCACCTTCTCCACGTGAATATTGGTGACAGTGCCCAGGCTAGTGCCCACCGATCTATAGATGGTTTCAGTCTCTTCCCGTATTTCCACAATGTACTCAATGATTTTGGAGCCACCGTCGTTCTCGGATGGTTCCCAAGCCAAATTAAAGGATGTGTCGTTCATTCCCGATACAGTCGTGGGGCCACGTGGTGGCGATGGTTTTTCTAAACATATTCATTAGGATTTAAGTAATAAGTACATAAGAAATAAAGTAAAGTTGCAACAAGTAACCAAACTTACCAAACTTCTTAGTTATAGTCACAGGATCACTTTCCGTGGGCTCTGATTCGCCAATTGGATTGGCGGCCACCACACGGAACATGTATTGCGAATTCATCGATAATTTCTGAACCGCATAGGATTTTATGGTCTTGTCAAAGTCGGAAACCTTCATCCAGACATTGTTCTGAACATCACACTTCTCCAGGATATATTTATTGATCTCCAAACCGCCATCATCGATGGGCGGCGTCCACTCCAAGGTGATCGAGTCCTTTTTAACATCCTTAATCTCCAGGGACTGAGGTCTGCTGGGCTTGTCGATCACCTGAACCGTGCATTCCACATACGTAGATCCGGATTCGTTGGTGGCCGTGACCTTGTATTTGCCGGAGAACTCGCGGGTGACCTTCTTCACAGTGTAGGTGGAAGTGGTCTCGGTTGTCTCGATAGTGACCGTCTTGGTGGTCTTTTGCTCCACCGTCTCCTTGTGCCAGGTCACGGTGGGTTGTGGATAGCCGCGGACCGTTGCTGGAATGGTGAGAGTGCTGCCCGTGCGTATTTTCTGCGTCAGATACTTATCCTCTACCTCGAGGACAGGCTTCTGCTGCAGCTTCAGGCGACACGACGTCTCCACGGTGCCCTTCTCGTTGGTCGCCACACATGTGTATGTGGCTTCAGTCTCAATAGTTGTCTTTTCAATTGTGTATTTGGCTACACGGTTCTCGTAACGTTGGTTACTCGACTCAAACACCTTGCCGTTCTTCTTCCACGTCACCTTTGGCTCTGGAATGCCGCCGAACACGCAGGACAGCGTAACCTCCTTGTCCAATTCGCTAACCACATCTTGCAGAGGTTCGCGTACGCTTGGCGCCTCCGTCTCGACCTTGGGCACCAAACGGATGGGTGGCGAAGCCGGTGAGGGCGGTGAGGGTCCAACCTCATTCACGGCAATCGAACGGAACACATACTCCGTGTCGATCTTCAGCTTGCTGATGGTGTATGTAGTATCCTTTATCTTGCGAATTTCAGTCCATCTGGAAACAAATAATAATGTTAGTGCTTATCTAGCCAGCATAAACCAATAAATATTTCTTATATTAAATAATTTAATTGGTATTTAAGTTATAGCAGCAAATACTCATCAAATTAATTAATGGCACATACTTTTCTTCCTTAACATCGTGGTACTCCAGAATGTATTCGATAATTTCCGATTTGCCATCGTCCTCCGGCGCCTTCCAGTAGAGCGTAATGGAATCGTGCATTATCTCCAGTGGTTGAGGAGTACCAGGTGCCGTCGGCTTGCCTAAATATTTGATTAGGGTCATCAGTTCCGCACCAATTAACTGGCATCTAAGCTTAGGCTAAGGTACTTACGCATAATGACCAAATGCAGGCTGGCCTCCGCCTCGCCAACTGGGTTGACAAGCTTAACGGTGTACTCGCCCTCGTCATCGTCGACAACCTTTTTGATGGTTAGCGTGGCAGACTGTTCATCGATGGCCGGAATTGTGCGCTTTGACTTAGGTATGACAACCTTGCGCGTAGTCCATATAGCCTCGGGTGTTGGGACGCCTGTGTACTTGACAGTGAAGATGGCATCGTCGTCCTCCTTTACCTTGATTGTCTGATCCTTGTCAGAGGTAATGACGGGTGGCAGTTTGAGCTCCTCCACGCACAGTTTGGTACTGCTGGTGACATTCTCGGCCACGCAGCTGATCTCGCCGGCATCGTCGTCATTAGCGTCGTGGATGACCAATCGTCGGACAGTTCCCTCAACGAAGACCTCGTGCTTCTTGTTGGGCTTGATTGGCTTACCCTTCTTGCACCAGGTCACTTCCACGTCGGGCTGAGACAGCTCAACCGTAAACTCAGCATCTGTGGTCTTTGTGGCCAGCGTGACGTCCGGCAGGGGGACGACAAAGTTAACCAACGGCTCCTCAACAGTCAGTTTGGCCTTCGAGGTTTGTTCACCAACCTGGATGGAGTATTCGCCAACATCCTCTGGCTTGGCCTTAAGAATGCGAATTGATTGCTTCTTGCCATCAATGGCCAGCTGAATGCGTTCATTGAACACAATCTCCTTGCCGTTCCTATACCATTTAACCAGGGCGTCGCCCTTGCTGAGCTCAACTTCCAATGTGGCATTTTCACCCTTAGTCACCGAAACATCCTTTAGCGGCTCAACAATCTCTGGTGGCAGCTCAATGACAACCAGCTCACAACTGCACTCCTGTCCTTCGATCTTACAAGTATACTGACCCTCATCATGGATGGTGGTATCGCGGATGACCAGGCGACGAGCCTTGCCGTCCTTAATGAACTCAACATTCTTGTTTTCAGGCGTGATTTTCTCGCCATCCTTAAACCAGGTAACCTCAGTTGCCTCTGTAGTAAGCTCTACATCCAAAATGGCCGTATCCTTTTCGGTTACCTCGTAGTCCTCGAGTACCTTAATAAAATCGGGTTTGCGTTGCAGCACCTCCACAGTTGACTGAGTCTCTTGTTTCTTAACCTTGCAGACATAAGTGCCAGAATCACGAAGATTCGTGTTTCTTATCACTAATTTGTGGGTCTTGCCATCTTCAACAACAACACGATGATCCATGCCGCTGAGCTCTTTGCCATTGAAGAACCACTTGGTGGTCACTACGTGGGAAGTCTCACATTCCAGGGTTAGAGATTGAACCTCCTCGATGGTAATGGTCTTCTTAAGCTTCTTAGTGAAGGTCACCTCATCGACTTCGACAATCACACGGGCTCCGTGAGACGTTTTACCAATGGGGTTGCTGGCAATGCACTTGTAGTCGCCGGAATCAGTTTCTGGATTGGCATCCTTAATGATGAGCTCAATGTTCTCGCCATCGTATACCTGTTGGATGCGTTCGCTGGGGAACAATGGACTGTTGTTGAATAGCCATTGAACCTCGGGAACGGGATTGCCGGAAACCTTGGCTGGCAAACGAATCTCTCCCTTTTGTGGCACATTTTGCTCCTCGAAGCGTTCCACAAAGAGTGGTGGCTCTGCGTTACCACTGGTAGCTTCTAAATATAAAAAAAATATATATTATTATTGTATCAAAAATAAAATATTAATATAGGGCCATTTCCTAACATAAAACAAAGTACGTACCTTCGATTGTGAGATTAGCAGTAGTCTCCACATTTCCCAAGGGATTTACAGCCTTAACAGTGTATTCACCCTTTTCGGACTTCTTGGGCGTGATTAGTGTTAAGGTGTGCAAATCCTTGTCGGACTTGGCATTCTTGACGGGCTTGCCATCCTTGTACCACGTTACCTTTGGTGGTGGATTTCCCACAATCTGAGTGGAAAGCACAACACTCTCACCTTCGCGTATGACCATGTTGCGCAGGGGTTCCAAGATCTGTGGTGCCTCCTGGTCGGTGGTACGCACCTTCAGTGTGATCGGAAGACGTGCTTCACCTTCGCGATTTGTAGCAATCACCTCATAAATGCCTTCTTGCGATTTTTTCACCTTGGTGATATGCACCACACTGCAATACATGTGCATGTCGGATTCGGTAACAATGCGAACATTCTTGAGCTCTTCCTCGTCAATGTCTACACCGTTAAAGGTCCAGACAATATCCGGTTCTGGAACGGCTACCAGTCGGCACTCTAGAATTACATTTGTATTCTCGTCCACGTACTGGGCTTTTGGTTTCTTGGAGAATGTTGGTGGAATTCCCTCCAAAATATCCGCCAGCGAAGATTCACGGGACATGCTGCGACGGGATAGGGCTGTTGCATCAGAACCATGATCGGACAGTGGACTCTCCACAATCAGTTCCGTGGTACTGGAAGTAAATCCAGCGGCGTTCTTGGCCACACACGTAAACTGACCTGCATCCTCGGGGAAGACCTCGCGAATAATCAGGGTAGCCACATTATCGTCATCGTAGAATATTTGGAAGTCCTGTGAGGGCTTGATAATGGCAGTCTCGCGGAACCAGGCAATTTGTGGCCTCGGGCTACCCTCAACTTTGCACTCGAACTGCACAGTGTAGCCGTCAGGTGTGTGAATGGGCTGCAGTTTCTCAATAAATCGTGGGGCAATGGGCTTATCTTCTGGTCCAGGACCTTTACAAGACACAATCACAACAAAACACAGAATTGTTTGTTAACAACCAAACGCGGACAGCGACAAAACAAAGTTAGGCCTGACAAAAAAAAATTAAAACAAAAAAAAAACTTACGTTCAAACACAGGCAGCTTATCGATCTTCTCATGCAACTTATTTTGCACATATTGAGCGTATTCATCGGGCTCCATAAGATATTGAGCAGGAACCCAGCCTTCTTCTTCGGTAATGCTCTTCTTGACATACCACCACTCAGAGCTGTGACGTCCAATCACCGTTACCTTTTCACCCTCCACTAAGTTTATAGCTTCGTCGTTATCAGCAATATAATTGCAAATGGAGTACATAACATTGGGATTTTCCGATTCTAAAATTCATAAATAAAATATTATTTATAGTTACGAAATTTATAAATAGTAATATTTACGTACCTTCAACATTCATTTCTCTGGTGATATTAAGCGATGCTCCATCTGTATAAAAAATAAAATAAAATTTTAGTAACAATTCCCAATATGGTACTGTAAAGCATTGAAGGTTTTTAACAATGAGTTGTTAAGCGTTAGCAACCGACATTTAAGTTGGGTAATTTTACCTTGCTACGCTGATATCATATAAGCTGATATTTTTGTATGTGAAATTAAAGCATTTGGATAATCATATAAATTACAAATATTGGTGACAAAAGCCGGCTTACCTTCATTGAAAAGTTGTTGGACAACCTTACGCTTCTTCTTGAACGTTAGAGAATCCTCATCATAGGTCACAGAATCACGTTTAGGATGCCGAATGCCAATCAGGAACTGTTCTTCTTCCTCATCCTGAACGGAATAGGTAGGCTTGGGTTGCTTCTTGGGCTTCAGCTTGAAATCGACATCATCTGGTGGAAGTTCCTCAACAAAGTACTCTTCAGGCTCCTCGACTTCATCGATGGTATCCTCATCGTCTCGAATCTCCTCGATGATGGGCTCTTCACCATCGTCGTAATCATGCATGATCTTAATGTGGGCCTCATCGGCTGCCTCAGAGAAAGTCTTTTTGATCGGTTTCTTAAGCTTAACCTTGCCAGACATAGAGATTTCCTCCTCTGCATACGAGTCTAGAGCAATGTTGAACTCCTGATCGACATCCTCCTTAGTCTTGGTAGTCTTGGCACGGAACGTGACATTCTCAACGTCAGCGTATTCGGGAATGTCGACCTGCTTGCGTTTCTTCAGCTTCTTAACAGTGTAGGCTTCTTCACCTTCTTCAGTTATCTGCAGAGGCTTTGGCTTGGCACGTTGGCTAACGACAAACTCTTCGATATCTTCGCCCTCTTCGTATTCTTCTTGTTGGCGTTTGATAGAAAGTTCAGCCGCGGCCTCATCCATGGTGGTGGGCTTTACTGGTCGTTTCTTTAGCACGGTGGCAGCCTCTTCCACGCCCTCATTGATGGTATGTGGCTTTTTAAAGGAAAGACTGAATTCAGTTTCTTCAAGATCCTCAACAGTTGGTTCGAACGGTTTCTTTGGTTTCTTCCGAATTATGACTGCCTCTTCAACGATTTCTTCCTCTTCGATTTCAACTGGCCTTTCTTCGATAACCGTTTGTTTTAGCTCCAGTTCAGCAGCAGCCTCCTCCACGGGTTTTTGTGGCTTCTTTTTCTTTTTAAGCTGTACTGTTTGGTCGGAAGTTTCCTCGGTCACCTTCTGTTCCTTTGGCAGTTTAACATCCACAGAGAATTCCTCTTCCTGAACCTCCTTCGGTGCCTTAGGCTTCAGAGTTACTTCAGCCACCACTTCATCTGCCTTTTCCGGTTGTGGTTTCTTTAGTTTCACAACCGCAGCATCGACAATGTCCTCTGGTGTAGGTTCTGGCTTCTTCTTAATTTGGACTTCCTCTATAATCTCTTCTTCTACAATCGGCTCGGGAATAACTTCTTCTTCAACTTTAACTGTAAGATCCTCAGCAGCGGCTTCTTCGACAGGTTTCTTTGGTTTCTTCTTCACTATCTTAGCCTCTTCCTCAACTTCTTCCACCTTTGGTTTCGGCTTCAGAGTAACTTCTGCCTCGGGCTCTTCAACAACTGGAATAGCCTTTGGTTTCTTTTTGGGTAAGCTGACTTCTTCTTCCTTTGGCGCTTCTGGTTCAGTTTCTTTAACACCAATAGTGTACTCAGCGGGCTTTTCTTCTGGTACTTCTTCGATTTCCTCAATGATTTCCTGAACTTCAGATTCCGTAGGAACATCCTCAGTGATAGTAACCTTCAGCTCTGCAGCTGCCTCCTCTTGGGCAACAGGTTTCTTGGACTTCTTCTTGATCTTGGCTTCTTCGGAAACTTCTTGCACTGGCTGCTTGGGCTTCATCATGAATTCAGCTTCGGGTTCTTCTACAACCTCAGCCACAGGCGCCTTCTTCTTCTTTTTCTGAATCGTAACCTGTTCCTCCGGTAACTCTTCCACGGTTGGTTCCTTTTCAGCTTCCTTAATGGCAAAGCTAAAGTCTGCGGGCGTCTCTTCCGGTGCCTTCGGTTTCTCGACGATTTCAATTTCTTCTATCTCTTGTACAAGGTCTTGAGGTGGCGCCACTTCTTCAATAATTGTTATTTTTAGATCAGCGGCTTCTTCTTCGGTCGGCTGCTCTGGAACCACTGTAATGCTGGAAGTAGCTTCGACTTCATCGACGGGCCTAGGAGCTGAGACAGTTACTTCCGCCTCAGGTTCATCCTTAGCTTCAGGCTTAGGCTTCTTCTTGCGAATAACCTTAACTTCTTCCTCGACGACTTCTTCAACAACTTCACGTGGAGTTTCCTCAATGACTTTAACCTTGTGTTCTTCAAAAACTTCAGGCTGCGGCTCTTCCACAATCGGTTCTGCTACCACCGGCTCTTCCTTCGCAATCACTTCTACAGGTTTCTCAGGCTGAGTCTCCTTAATGCCAAAAGTATAGGTTTTATCTTCAACCTTCGGCACTTCTTCTTTGACCACCGTGACCACCTCTTCCTCCTCGACTTCTTCAACTATTGGAACTTCCTGTGGAGTCTCCTCAGTAATTGTGATCTTTAATTCTTCAGCCTCCACATCCTTAACCTTCTTCTTGGGCTTCTTGGTCTTGATTTGAGCTTCTTCAGTAACTTCTTCAACGGGCTTGGACTCCTTCAAAATGATTTCGGTCGCTGGTTCGTCGGCAAAAGTGACTGAAGGCTTGCGTTTTTTCACTGTAAACTGTGCTTCGCTTGGTTCTTCTGGCTTGGCCTCAGTTTCCGAAACACGAATGCTAAATTCTTCAGGCTTTTCTTCGACAACAACTTCCTGCTTTTCTACAATCTCTGGCTTAGCAGTTTCGACAATCACTTCTTCAGAAACAGGTGCTTCGGACTCAACAACCTTGATTTCTAATTGAGCTTCATCTTCAGTCTTCTTTGGCTTTTTAACCTTCTTTTGCTTGATTTCAGTTTCCACGGTGGTTTCCTCTGTAACCTTTGGTTCAGTCAACACAACCTCAGCCTCAAATTCTTCTGGTTTTTTCGGTTTCTTCTTGAGAACAACTTCTTGGGGAATTTCTTCCTCGGGCTGTTCTTCCACAGCAGTCACCTTCTCTGCTTCACTTTCCTTGAGAGTGATTTCATATGAATCAAACTTCTCCACAACCTTCTCTTCCAAAACTATGGGAGTTTCCTCAGGTGTTTCCTCAACAATTTCAGCTGGTTTTTCCTCGATAGCTTCGGTTTCTGTCACGCTAAATTCATATGACGTGGGCTTCTTGGTCTTCTTCTTTTCCTCTTGTTTTTCGACTTCAACCACTTGTTCCTCAACTGGTTGTATCTTTTCTTCTTCCTCCACCACGACAATCTTATCTCCCTTGACTTCTTTCACAAGCTTCTTTTTAGTTTTTTCTTTGACCGTAATTTCCTGTTCAACGGGCTTTTCTGGAGTAGGCTCAGTCATTTTAAGTTCAACTTCAAACTCTTCTGGCATTTGTTCGGGCTGCTCAACTGGCAGAACGATTTCAGCCGAAACTTCCTCAACTGGCTGCTCTTCCTCCTTTGGCTCTTTCAAAGTGACTTCAAACTCTTCTGGTTGCTGTGGCTTTGGTTTCTTCTTCCGTGTTACAACCTTTTCTTCGATAACTTCCTCAGTGGTTTCTTGACGCTCATCAGAATCTATAACGCGGACTTGATGTTCCTTCGGTGCCTCTTCTGGCTCCAAAACCGTAGTTGTTATCTTGTACTCCACTGGTATTTCTTCTGGCACTTCTTCTGGTTGGGGTATTTCTTCGGTGACTTCCACTTCAGATACAGGCGTTTCTTTGGGCTTCTTCTGTTTTACCTTTACTTCCTTTGGTTGTTCAATTTCGACTGGCTTCTTTAGAGGAGCTTCTTCTTCCTTTACCGATATCTCATAGTCTTCTGGTCTTTGCTCTGGTAACTCTTCTTCCTTTGGCTGTACCTTCTTGGACTTGGCCTTCTTTGGTTTCTTAGCTTCGTCATCAGATTTAACTTCGGGCACTTCAGGCTGGGGTTCTTCCACCTTAGGCCTTACAATGGCCTCCTCAGCAGGTTCTTCCGCTTGAGGTGCTTTAGGAACTGGTCGTAGTTTGATTTCGGAGTCTGTCTCTTCTGGAGCCTTTCTTTCTGGCTTGCGGAACTTAATTTCTTCTTCAGGTATTTCCTCCTGTTCCTTTGGTACTCCAGGAACGATCTCCGAGATTATGGTTTCTGGCTCTGGCTTCGATTTCTCCTTTGGCTTATATTTGGTCTTTAAGGGTTTCTTCGGTTTTTCTGGCATATCTGGATGTTCAATGGGCTCCAGCTCTTCAGGTTCATACTCAGGACGATCGAATTCGACAGGTTCGAACGGCTCAACATTGAACTGTCCTTCCTTGGGCTCCTTTGCTTGCTCCTCAACAACAACCACTTCCTTTGGCTTGGCTTTTAATTCAACTTCTTCCTCTACTTCCTGGGGCTTGATAGGAATCTTCTTAAGTGTAACGTTCTCAGGTTCTTCATCCTCCTTTGGTTTCTTTTTACCCTTGCCCAGTTTAATCTTTACATCTTCTTGCTTTTCCTCTGGCTTGGGCGCCTTTTCCGGTTTCTGATACGGTGCCTTTTCCTCTGGCTCTTCCTCACTACTGACATATTTCTCGTATTTTTCAAGCTCAACCTTTTCTAAATCATCCTTGATCTTTTTGATCTTTTTGGTCTTGTGTGGTTTGAACTTGAGGGCTTCTTCAGCCTCTTCGATGTTTCGAGATAGTTCACCATTATCTTTGGTGGCACCAATCCTCGTAAGCTTCGGAATAAGCGGAGCAGGTGGGAATTCAACTATGACCATACGTGTTTTGAGACGGAATTTAGGCAGTTGAACACTTTGTTCTTCGGCGGGCTTCTCTTTACGTTTGCCGGGCTTAAGTTTCACAGTTTTGGGAACGTCGGCAGCCTCGACAATTGTCACCTTCGTCGGTTTCTGTTCCTTCCGTTCTATTTTCATTGGCTCTAGACTAGCGAACTCTGGCTTGAGCTTCTTCGGAAGATCGAATTCAAGTTTCTCATACTTCTCAAGTTCTGTCTTCTCGATTTCTTGCTCCAGCAATTTTCTGATGATTTCATCGTGGTCATCGGTCTTCTTTTTGACAACCTTCTTCTTTTTAGTTTTTGGCTTTGTGACGTCCTCAGGGGTATCCTCTGTTATCGGCTGTTCCTCATCTTCTTCAACCTCTTCGACAATAGGCTGTGATTCCTCGACTTCAGCAACTTCATCGATGACTCGCACCTCCAAAATCTTTTGCGGCTGCTCTTCCTCAACGGGCTCTTCGTGAATGATGCTTATTTGATAGTCTTTTTGAACTTCTGGTACTTCACCTGTTACAAATAATGCATTAATATTTAAAGTGAATCGTGCTTAATATTTAACAAAAACCTGGGGAACCGTGCATTGCTTTTGCAAAGCAAGCAAATCGTAGAACTGGACAGAAGACATATTTTGAGGCTTTATATACATATATAGCGATTGAAGGAAAACAATTGAAAACTTAACCAATTTCAGGATTAAAATTAAATAATTAATAATTAATACAGTTGAGGAATTATTTAATTAATTTGGAATGAAGATTTAGGTTAAAGCTGAAGTATGAACTATGATTTAGATGGGTAACAATTAGACAAGAGTTCTTAGTTATATATAGGTGTACCTTAAATGGATACAAATTTCTGCTCTACATAGATAAAATTAGGAAGATATGCATGCATAAGGTTTATATAGGGAGTTATTGTGTTGGGAGGCTTTGAAGTTGAACTGGAAGAGATTAGGACCGCAGTAGAATGCGCTCAAACCAATGAGCCGAGATTGAACAGCGAGAGAAAAGAATAAAAACACAGGAGGGAATAGGCGCAACAATTGGAAATCAACGTGGTTTTCAATAGGAATTAACAAAGGCAAAAGACACAGACAAAGGAGCAAAAGGTGCTGCGTGGGCGGCGGGATTTTGTAGGCTCCAAAACTCTCTTCTAATAACTTACTTGTTTCAACGCTTTTTTGTGTGTCTGGTTTTGTTTTCTTATGTTTAACTGTTTTCTGAATAGTATCTTTAGTGTCATCTTGAGTAGGTTTATCTTCTTGTGCGCTTGGTGTAATTTGTGCAGTGGCTGTGTCCTCGGGTTGTGCAATTTGGTTTGGTGTGATTTCTGTAGTGTCAGTAATGTCAACAATTTTGTCTGTCGGTTTGTCTTGTATTGTTTCGTCAGTTGCTATTGTTTTATGCTTTGGAGTCTTTGTTTTCTTTGGTTTGGCTGAGTCGTCTGCAATTGGTATTGGCTCTGTTAAATCTAATTTAACCTCTGCCGGAGCTACTTCAGAAGAAGCTGGTTTGTCAGATTCTGCTGGTATTTCAACCTTTTCGTACTTTTCTAAATCGGGCTTAGGAATTTCCTCCTCAATTAATTTCTTTACATAGTCGTCTAGATCATCTTTCTTAACCTTCTTAACAGTTTTCTTCGGCTTTGGCTTGGGCTTCTCCTCAGTCTGCTCAGGTTTGTCTTCGACGGCCTGTATGGGAACTATATCCGGTTCTTCATCAACAATAACAGTGACTGAATCGGTATCCTCATTTTCAATGGTTGTAATCTTGAAAGTGGTTTCTTCTTTCGGTCCCTTTTTCTTCAAAACACGTTTAGTGGTCTTCTCCTGAATGGGCTTGCCTTCCTCAGAAACTACTTCCTGAATTTCTACTTCAACGGGTTGAATTTCGACAACTTCAACCGGTACTAAAGGTTGTTCCGGAGCTTCTTCTTCGACTATTTTTACCTCAGCAAATTGATCTGGAACAGAAGACTCTTCGTTCGGAACTGGCTTGGACTTTGTCTTTTTATCTTTCTTCGGCTTTTCAGAAGGAGTTTCCTCAACAACATCAACTTGATGTTCAGATGGCTTGTCCTTAACCATGGGTTCGAATTCAATTTTCTCATACTTTTCCAACTCAGTCTTGGGCGTTTCCATGTCAATAAGCTTTTGTATGTAGTCGTGAATGTCATCTTTCTTTACTTTCTTTGTTTTCTTTTGGGTTCCTTGGGTTTTTCTTCTTGCTGTACAGGTTCTGGTTCATATTCAACAATAGTTATTTCCGCCTCAGGCTGATCGTCCCGAACAACTTCAATAATCTCTATTTCTCCTTCGCCATCAGGACGTTTCAATTTTCGTTTGGTGGTAACCTGCTTGTGAACTTCCCCAGTATCGTCCGTTGTTTCCTCGACTTTAGTTTCGCTTTCAATTATCTCAATCGTGAAAGGTTTTTCTCCTGCTGGTTCCAAATCACTTTCTTTGATTGAAATTTCGTATTTTTCCTCTAACGGTTGGTCTGACTCTTCTCGGATTTTCTTTGGCGTCTTCTTTTTTCTGGCTTAGGCTCAGGTTTATCTTCTTCCTTGACAGAAATATTGAATTCTTGTTGTTGTGGTTTTTCAATATCGGATTCCTTTTCGGTAACTTCTAATGGCTGTTCGTCCAAGACCTCTTGTGGAACCTCTTCTGACACAGTAACCTTTGCCTTTGGCTTCTTCTTCTTTTCCGGTTTCTTAATCTCTTCAACTTGATCAATTTCAAGTTCAGGTTCTTCCACACTTGGTATGGACTCCTGCATAGTTATTAGATCATCGGTAACCGGTGCATCTTCTTTGATAGTTTCAACAATAGATATTTCATCCTCCTTTGGTTTTTCTTCCTCAGGAACAGGCTGTTTCTCTTTCTTTGTTTTCTTTTTCGGCTTCTCAGAAGTTGGTTTGGAAGCAGAATCCTCTACCACCACTACTACATCGTCTGGCAGTGCCGGTTTTGGAGCTTCCTCTTCGATTACAGCTTTAATGTAGTCTTCAACATCGTCCTTTTTAACCTTTTTAGTCCGCTTTTGTTTGACTACGGGTTCCTCCTGATCGGGCGTTTCCGTTGGACTTGTGGTTATAACCGTTATTTCAGATTCGTTAGTATCCTTATCTGTTACCTCAACAATATCGTGAACCACTTCCTCTGGACCCTTTTTCTGTTTTATCTTCTTTGTCTTGACCACCTTTTCCCTTATTTTCCCCTCTTCATCTGGCACCTGCTTGGTCTCTACGGTTTCTTCAAGGACAACTATTTCGAAAGTAGTTTCTTCTGGTTTTTCGGGAATAAATTCCTTGACGGTAAATGTTAGCAATGGTTCGTCATTTTCCTCCTCAGAAGCTTGAGTTTTCTCTTCCAGTGGCTTATCTTCCAGCTGTTCTTCAGCTTCTTCTGTTGGTTGTTCTTCAGAAACCTTTACCTTCTTGACGGGCTTCTTTTTCATTTTTACTGGTTCATCCAAGTCGATCTTTTCATACTTTTCCAGTTCTGTTTTCGGTATATCCTGCTCAATAAGCTTCTGGATATAGTCTTGGAGGTCGTCCTTTGGCACTTTTTTAGCTTTGCGAATCTTCTTCGGTTTTTCTTCCTGGGGAACTTCCTCATCAACTATTTCAGCATCTTGCGTGGTTACAATGACTTCATACTCGGGTTCGTCACCAGTCTTAGTTTCCACAATTTCAATAATTTCCTCCTTGGGTCCAAGTTGCTTCTTAATTTTACGTTTGGTGACAGTTTGCTTCGCAGTTTCTCCCTTATCGTCGATAACTTCCTGTTCTATTGCTACGGTTTCAATTTCTTCTATCTGGAAAGAAGGTTGATCCGATGGTTTATCATCTTGAACTTCAACAACTGCAGTTTCATTTTTCGGCTGTTCTTCTTGTCTGACACTTTCTTCAGATTTAAGAGTAACTAGATACTCTTTGTTTTCTTCCGAAACGGGTTCCTGTACTTGCTTGGTTTTTGTCACCTTTTTAGACTTTGGTTGTTTTTTCTCGTCAACTACAGTATCTTCCTTAATACCAATCGAAAAGTCGGTGGTTTCGATTTCTTGTTGTGGGACATCTTCAACTGGCTGCACTGGAGCGTCTTCGACAATTTCAGGAACGTTGCTTTCAGGAGTTTCTTGTTCAGTGACTGTGTACTTTTTAGAAATTTTCTTTGGCTTCTTAGGAGCTTCTTCCTCAACTTTTACTGCGTCACTATCAACTACCTCAACTGGAACCTGCTCTACGAATTCTTCAATAACATTAATGACGTAGTCCTCAACTTCTTCCATCTTCAGTTGCTTCGGCTTTTTAATTATCTTCTTTTCAGGCTTTGGCTTTTCTTCGGAAACAAGGACATCATCAGAAGTTAGTTCAACAACTGTAACTTCAGCTATTGGCTGATCATCGCTTGTAGTTTCAGTTATTTCAAAAACATGTTCTTTGGATCCCTTCCTCCGTGAAACCTTTCGCTTTTTCACAGTAATTTCTTTGACCTCTCCTTCCTCAGTGGGTTGTTCAACGACTTCAACAGTTTGTTCAATTTCTGTTAAGGGAACGGGAACCTCAGTCAACTTCTTCTTTTTCAACGATTTTTCTTTTTTGGTTGGTTTTTGTTCTTCCTCCGGAGATTTTTCAGTAGGCTGATCAGATTCAACAAATTCATCGGAAATGTTTACAATATAATTGGATGAGTCGTCTGGCTTCTGGGGTGTCTCTTCGATGTCCTCTGGCAAAATTTCCAACGGTTTTAGATCTTCACTAACAGGTTCGATTTCAACATTGAACTCGTGAATTGTGACAGGTAAGCCATCGACGTCTTCAACAGTCTTTTTGTGGTGAGTTTTAACCTTCTTTTTGGGTTGTTTGGGTTTTGCATCCATTTCTGTTGGCTCATATTGTTCAAGAGTGGTTTTTGTAATTTCTTGTTCGATTAACTGCTGTATGTATTTGTCAAGATCGTCCTTCACAGGCTTCTTCTTCTTAACCTTCTGAACAACCTTGGCTGGTTGGTCTTCTGTAATCTGTGGTGAGTCCTCCGTGGGTATCTCTATTGTAGTAAACTCGATCTCAGCCTCTGGCTTGTTTTCTTGATAAGTTTCGGTTACTTCGATGACATATTCCTTGGATCCTTCCTTCTTTTTAAGCTTTTTGGTTGTCTTGATCTGTTTGACTTCTTCTCCCTCGTCGTTAACGATGTCTTCAATAATGGTTTCTGGAGCCATTTCTTCAATAAGGACTGTTTTTTCAACTGGCTTTTTAGTAGACTTTTTGGGCTTACTGAGTGCCTGCTCTTCTTGCTCCTCAAATGAATAAGGCTCATTGATCTCTTCCAAAACATTAATCACATAGTTTTCAACATCTTCGGGTTTCAGTTTTTTCGGTTTTTAATTGGTTTCTTTTCTTTGGGTTGAACAACGTCTTCCTTAGGCTGATCTTCTGTTACTTCAACAATAGTTACCTCAGCCAAAGGTTCATCACTAGTTTTAGTTTCCGTGATTTCAAAGATTTGTTCAATTGGTCCTTGTTTTCGTGAAACCTTCTTTTTCTTTACTTCAACCTGCTTTGGTACTCCATCTTCTTCAGTAACTTGTACGATTTCGACAGAGTCTGCAATCTCTGTAATGACTGGTTCTTCGAACTTGTAAGGCTCGACAAATTCTTCAAGAACCTTAACGACATAGTCCTGGACATCTTCTGGCTTCAGTTTTTTCGGTTTTTTAATTGGTTTCTTTTCTTTGGGTTGAACAACGTCTTCCTTAGGCTGATCTTCTGTTACTTCAACAATAGTTACCTCAGCCAAAGGTTCATCACTAGTTTTAGTTTCCGTGATTTCAAAGATTTGTTCAATTGGTCCTTGTTTTCGTGAAACCTTCTTTTTCTTTACTTCAACCTGCTTTGGTACTCCATCTTCTTCAGTAACTTGTACGATTTCGACAGACTCTGCAATCTCTGTAATGACTGGTTCTTCGAATTTGTAAGGCTCGACAAATTCTTCAAGAACCTTAACGACATAGTCCTGGACATCTTCGGGCTTCAGTTTTTTCGGTTTTTTAATTGGTTTCTTTTCTTTGGGTTGAACAACGTCTTCCTTAGGCTGATCTTCTGTTACTTCAACAATAGTTACCTCAGCCAAAGGTTCATCACTAGTTTTAGTTTCCGTGATTTCAAAGATTTGTTCAATTGGTCCTTGTTTTCGTGAAACCTTCTTTTTCTTTACTTCAACCTGCTTTGGTACTCCATCCTCTTCAGTAACTTGTACTACTTCCACGGACTCTGCAATTTCAGTAATGACTGGTTGCTCGGTATCTTCAAATTTATAAGGCTCGATCAACTCATCAAGAACATTAACCACATAGTTTTTGACATCTTCAGGCTTCAGCTTTTTCGGTTTCTTAATTGGTTTCTTTTCTTTGGGTTGAACAACGTCTTCCTTAGGCTGTTGTTTTTCAGTTAACTCAACAATAGTAACCTCAGCCAGAGGCTCATCACTAGTTTTAGTTTCCGTGACTTCGAAGATTTGTTCTTTTGGGCCCTGTTTTCGCAAAACCTTCTTTTTCTTAACTTCAACCTGCTTTGGTACTCCATCTTCTTCAGTAACTTGTACGATTTCCACAGACTCTTCAATCTTAGTAATTACTGGTTCCTCAAACTTGTAAGGCTCGACTAACTCTTCAAGAACATTAACCACATAGTTTTGCACATCTTCTGGCTTCAGTTTTTTTGTTGTTTTAATTGGTTTCTTTGCTTTAGGTACAACAGTGTCTTCCTTAGGCTGTTCTTCTGTTAACTCGACTATAGTAACCTCAGCCAAAGGTTCATCACTAGTTTTAGTTTCCGTGACTTCAAAGATTTGTTCTATTGGTCCTTGTTTTCGTGAAATCTTCTTTTTCTTAACTTCAACCTGCTTTGGTGTACCATCATCTTCAGTAACTTGTATAATTTCTACAGCTTCCGAAATATCTTCAATAACTGGTTGCGGTATTTCTGCATCACCCTCTACAAGTTCCTCAAATTTGTAAGGTTCAGCGATTTCTTCCAAAACATTCACCACATAATTTTTGACATCTTCAGGTTTCAATTTCTTCGACTTTTTAATGTTTTGCTTCTCTTTAATATCTTTTGTGTCATCCTTAGGCTTTTCTTCTGTAATCTCTACAATGGTTACCTCAGCCAATGGCTCATCGCTAGATTTGGTTTCCGTGATTTCAAATATCTGTTCCTTTGAACCTTGCTTTCGAATAACCTTCTTCTTCCTAATCTCTACCTGCTTTGGTATGCTATCTTCTACTATTTCAACCACTTGCACAGATTCTTCAACATCCTCTAGAATTGGTTGGGGCTGCACATCCTCAACGACCTTCGTCTTAAACGATTTCTTTGATTTTGACTTGGGCTTGCTTTCTAGAACCTTAACTTCCAAATCTTCATAAGGTTCTGCTGTATCCCCACTTTCAGTTTCTACTAAAGCGACTTCGTCTGGCTTAACATCATCTTGTTCAGATTCAAACTCTTGTACGCTTATCTCGTAGACTGTAATTGGAACGCCATCGATGATCTCGGTAGTTTTTTTGTGGTGTTTCTTAATTTTTGTAGGCTTCTTTGCCTCCGGAGAAGTCTCGGTTACTGGTGCTTCGTACTCTTCAAGATCTGTTTTTGGAATATCCTGTTCAATGAGCTCGTGAATAAAGTCATCTAAGCTTTCGGTCTTAGGCTTCCTCTTCTTCACAATCTTTATCTTATGCTCTTCCTGAGGTTTGGTGTCGGTTTCAGGAGTTATGTCAATGGTCTGGATAACAATATCCGATTCGGGTTTGTTTTCTTCATATGTTTCAACCACTTCAATAAGATATTCTTTCGGTCCATCCTTCTTTTTGAGTTTACGCTTGGTAATGACACGTTCCACTTCCGCTCCCTCTTCATTGACTATTTTTCTACAACGGTTTCTGGTGCCAGCTCTTCAATACGAATCGTATATTCGGAGATGGGCTCGTCGAAGGACTTCTCTTTAGGTTTCTTCACGGATTTCTTTTTGCCCTTAGGTAAAGTATCTTTCACATCAACCAAATATTCATCAGCTTGAGGAGAATCATGGGATTGGGAAATTACAGCAGTATGTTCTGCAATCTTCGAGTCATCTGTAGTAGACACAGGTTCTGTTTCGGATACTTTAACCTTTTTCTGTTTATCAGTTTTCTTTTTCTTATCCTTCGGCAAGCTCACAGCTTCTTCAGGTTTACTATGATCCGGTATAACATCTGGAACTGTCTCCTCGTCAACTACTGTGGTGGTAAAAGCTATGATATCTTGTTCCACTGAATCTTCTTTTTCAGGAGTAATTGTCAAATCCTCAGATATTTCAACTAAGTGTTCCAAAGGAGCTTCCTCAACAACATTTACAATGAACTCCTTAAGTTTCTCCTTTTTCACCTTTTTAACTAATTTTTTGGGTGCTTCTGGTTTAACCATAGCAGGCCCATCTGTGGTATCTTCGGAAATCTCAGTTGTTATTACTATAACCTCTGCTTCCTCAGGCTTGTCATTTGATGCTTCAGTTTCAATTATTTCGATTTCGTAGTGTTTCGAGCCCTTTCTAGTTTTTACTTTGCGCTTTTTAATTATCTTCTGATCCGTATCATGAACAACTTCGGAAGGCAATGAAACTGACACAAAGTCTTCCTCCACTACGATTATAGGCATAGTTTCAGTCAACTCTGTTATTATTTCATCCAAAGCTGTTAGGATTTCTTCCTCTGGTTTTTCAATATCTTGCTCTGGAGATCGCTCTGCGTCAATCTTTTTAATAAGGTACTCATCGTATACTGGAACTTCCTCCGACTCAACGGTTTCTTCCACTTTCGTGACTTTCTTTGGTTTTTGTTTCTTGGGCTTTGGTTTCTCAACTGGCTCGTGCTCGGTGACACCGACCTGAAGGGTCTCGCCTTCATCAATGATTGACTTCTCATGTTTGACCTTCTGCTTCTTGGGTTTCTTCGGCTTGCCATCCACATCGATTTTCTCATATTTTTCCAATTCTGTTATAGGAATTTCAGCATTAATTAGTTGCTGAATATATGCATCAAGTTCATCCTTTTTCATTTTCTTTGTTCTCTTTTTTGGCTTTTCAACCGGCTGTGTACCGAACTCTTCTGTCTTACTATCACTCGAAGTAATTGTAATTTCATAGAGTGGCTCTTCGCCAGGAGCGGCCACAGTTTCGACAATTTCCAAAATTTCCACTTCGTCTCCCTTTTCATGTCGAATCCTGCGCTTCTTGGGTTTTTCTATTTCCTGTTGATCATCTACACCAGAATCGTTTTCTGGCTCCAGCTCGGTCAATTTAACTTCATAGAAATCATGTGTTGTTGTTTCATAGAACTTCTGGTCAGGCTCTTCTTGTAACTCTGAGACAAAATCGTCCAATTCGGTTTTGTTCATCCGCTTGACCTTCTTCTTTCGGACATTGCTTTCTTTTTTGTCGTCTTGAACTATTTCTGAACTTGTGATGGTAACTTCGTAAATTTTGTCATCTGTGCCTTCGGGGATACTTCAACTATATCAATTGTATTGTCTTCTTGTTCAGTCTTAAGCCTGAGCTTACGTTTCTTTTTTGGTTCTTTTGTTAGTTTACCAGTTATTGGCAGTTCTTCATCTGTGGCATTTTCTGGTTCCAATTCAATCACTTCAAGCTTATAAAATGGTTTAAGTTTAAGTCCTTCCTTCTCGTCAACCGGCTTTTGACCTTGTTTTTTGCGCAGTTTAAGGCCTTCTTCCGGGACTTCTTCAAGTTCTCTCGGTTTCCCAGGAGATATTTCGTACTTGTCTTGCTCTGGAGTTGGTATCGGTTTCTTCTTCCTCTTATACTTTGGTTTGTCGTCGGTGTGCATCTCTTCGCCTAGCGATTCGTCCGACTCTTCTGGGAATTCAAAAGTACTTTCAATATCCTTGAACTCGGTAGGCTGGAATTGAAGACCTTCGCCAGACTTATCGGGTTTTTTGGTTTTCTTTTTCTTGACTACCTCTTCTTCTGCAACCTTAACTGGCTCTTCACTGACATCGTCTTCCTTGATATCTTTTTTGACCGGTTTCAAATTAACTTCCTCAACTGATTCAACATTTTCGGGAAGCTTGCCCTTACCAAGCTTAATTTTTCGACTTTCCTCAGTTGTTTCCTTCTCAGTCTTTTTGCCACGCTGATACTTTGGCTTTGGTTGCTCCTTATCTGACGGTTCTGCCTTTTCAGAGTCTAATGTTGGCAGATCTGATTGCTCCAGTTCTGCCTTTTCAGGTTTCGTGTGCTTGAATTTTTTCGGTCGGAACTTCAAAACCTCCTCAGCTTCTTTAACATTACGGGAAAGTTCCCCATGATCGCAGGTATTTTCCAATTCGGTAACCACGTATGGGAAACAATATGGTGCGTATGGAATAAATCTTATCCAGCTTTTTAATTTCTTGTTTTGAAAGATGCTTCATTTTTCTTCTTTTTCTCTTCTTGGGGTCGTTGTTTAGGTGCCTTTAACTTAAGCATTTGAGGAAATTCTTCCACAGAACTTATTTCAACCTTTTCAGGTTTTCTAAACTCGACTCTTTCGATTTTCATTGGAGTAAGCTTAACTGGCTGTTTAAAGGAAGAATCACGACGTGCCCTTTGAGGATGTTCCATATCTGTACGTTTGTATTCTTGAAGAACAGTCTTTGGAATTTCCTGGTGTATGAGGAATTGAATGTATTCATCCAACTCATCTCGTTTCGACTTAACCACCTTCTTTTTCCTCGGCTTTCCCTTCTCTTCAACTGGCTTTTCATCAGCAGAAGTCTCCTCAACCTTACCTACTAATTTCTTAGACTTTCGCTTCTTAATTGTCTTGTCAGTCGGTTCCTCTGTACTTTGTTCTTCAATAACAGTCTCGTCAACTTCCTCAATTGGTGTTTCTAGTGTCTTTTTCTGTTTGGGTTTTTGTCTTTAACCGGTGTTTGTTTCACGTCTGCACTTGCCTCTTCAGGTTCAGTGATAGTGTACTCTTTGTTGTATTGGTCTGTTTAAGAAAGAATTATGTGTTTTGTGTTAGCACTAAACTAATGTTTATACTTATATTTGCATTTTATATAATGCTTTAAAGCACCCAAACTTATTATAAAGTATTATTAAGTTTGGTACTTAGATTCATACGCTTGCATAATGGGTTAAGTACGAAATGATTTATATTTAAATGTACGTATTAGGCTTTTGTGTATAGTTTCAATTTTCGGTCCCACGTACTTGAAAGTGTAAGTTAGTTAGTAAATATATTTTTCTTTTTATATCTGTTGTCTGTGTATCAATAAAATTCAATGTGCAGTTTGTATAAGATAAATATTTACTTTGCCTAACTTTATCAATTGGGTTTTTAATTAAGGACTTTATTTTAGATCGCGATTTATGGGAGACTAAATATTTGTATATAAATGTATTTAAAAAGATAAAATCACCTGATGGCTCGTTGACTTCAATAATTTCAAGGTGTGATTGTGTAGTGTCTTCTGGAATGGGTTCTGTATCACTAAGGACTTCCTCAACAAGGATGCCTTCCTCCTGAGATACTCGTTTGTTTTCACTTTGTATTGTTGTTTCTCCGTCATCATTTTGTACAGATTTAAATGTTGTTATGTAAACTGGGTGTTCCGTTTCTGTGTTATCGATCTTTGGTTTCTCCACTGTTTTGATTATTTTTTTGTGATTGTAGATGATTAAGAAAATATGTTAATAACGGGACGTTTCAAATATCAATAAAAATAAAGAAGAAACATTACAAATAATTATGAAAGAAAAAATGTGAAAAGATTACAAATTTTGCGTATACTTTGATTTGAGCCTATTATGTGGAATGAGTGTTTTTGAAGAGTGTGTTTGATTGTGTTCTTACCCTTATGCTTGTGTGGTTTTTGTTTGTGTTTGGAAACCTTTTCATCGTCGAGTTTACTAATATCTATAATATCAGCAATGTTTTCATCGCTGACAACTCGAATTAGAGCGTACGGTTCCTTGCCTTCTTCTTCAATAGTTTGAATTTGGAAATATTCCTCGTCCGCAGGTCCTTGCTTTTTAAATGTTCTAGTTTTTGTAGTCTTCTTTCTTGGCTTCTTATTGTCGTCTAGTTCTTCGGTGAAAACAGTTTCCTCAGGAAGTTCCTCAATCGGTATGGGTGTAATGGATACCTCATCAGATGGCACAACTTCTATTTGCACTGTAGTCAGTGGCTCCTTATCTTCCTCTTCTATTATATTAACAGTTGTAACTTCATCACGTTTGTCGTCGATGCTCTTCTTGAAAGCTCTAGATTTAACGGTCTTTTTCTTTTTTGTTCCATCAGGTGAAGTAATCTCCATCTCTGTCACTTGTTCGGGTAGCTCAACTAATTTACTGTCATCCGGTTGGGAATAGGTTATGGGTTGCTCTTTAATTGTTACTGAATATAAAGGTTCAGTATTATCTTGTTCAATAATTCCGATTTCAGTTACCTCTTCGTTATTGCCAAATGCTGGTTTTTTAATAACACGTTTCTTGGTCTTAACAATCTTTGGATGTCCTTCTTCATCAATTGTTTCAAATTCAGAAACCTCATCTGGCAAAACAATAACTTCAGAAATTTTTTCTTCTGGCAGTTCTGGGAAGGGTAATTCAAACTTTTCAACCGTAACTTTCGTCTGAGGTGTTTTTTCATATTCCTCAACGGTTTGGACTTTAGTAACTTCCATATGCGGACCCTGAATCTTTTTAATGATTTTAGTTTTAATAACTGTTTTAGTTGGAGTACCATCTTCTTTTTCTGAAAGTATAACTGATTTCCGCTCAGGCAATTCAAAAACAGTCACTTCATCCTCCGGTTTTTGGACAATAACTCTTTTCTTCAACTTAGTTTTTCCAACACTTGGAGATCTATTATCGGTTTCTTCAACCGTAACAATTGTTTCTGGTTTCTTGTTGTCCTCCTCTACGGTTACAATTTTAGTGACTTCTTCTTTGTCACCCTTGACTTTTTTATAACACGTGTTCGGATCTTCTTCTGCTTCGGCTTGCCATCTTCGGAAATGGTCTCGATGACACGAACCTCCTCTGGAAGTTCCTTAATTTCTTCAGGCTGTTCTTCTACAGGAATTTCTTCGACAGTGACTGTTGTCTCGGGCTGCTTGTCATCTTCCTCGACGGTTTCGATCTTGGTGACCTCTTGCTTGTCTCCCTTGACCTTCTTAATGACGCGAGTGCGGATCTTTTTCTTCTTAGGCTTGCCATCTTCGGAAATGGTCTCGACGACACGAACCTCCTCTGGAAGTTCCTGGATTTCTTCAGGCTGTTCTTCTAGAGGTACTTCTTCGACAGTGACTGTTGTTTCGGGCTGCTTGTCATCTTCCTCGACAGTTTCGATCTTGGTGACTTCTTGCTTGTCTCCCTTGACCTTCTTAATGACGCGAGTGCGGATCTTTTTCTTCTTAGGCTTGCCATCTTCGGAAATGGTCTCGACGACACGAACCTCCTCTGGAAGTTCCTGGATTTCTTCAGGCTGTTCTTCTAGAGGTACTTCTTCGACAGTGACTGTTGTTTCGGGCTGCTTGTCATCTTCCTCGACAGTTTCGATCTTGGTGACTTCTTGCTTGTCTCCCTTGACCTTCTTAATGACGCGAGTGCGGATCTTTTTCTTCTTAGGCTTGCCATCTTCGGAAATGGTCTCGACGACACGAACCTCCTCTGGAAGTTCCTGGATTTCTTCAGGCTGTTCTTCTAGAGGTACTTCTTCGACAGTGACTGTTGTTTCGGGCTGCTTGTCATCTTCCTCGACAGTTTCGATCTTGGTGACTTCTTGCTTGTCTCCCTTGACCTTCTTAATGACGCGAGTGCGGATCTTTTTCTTCTTAGGCTTGCCATCTTCGGAAATGGTCTCGACGACACGAACCTCCTCTGGAAGTTCCTGGATTTCTTCAGGCTGTTCTTCTAGAGGTACTTCTTCGACAGTGACTGTTGTTTCGGGCTGCTTGTCATCTTCCTCGACAGTTTCGATCTTGGTGACTTCTTGCTTGTCTCCCTTGACCTTCTTAATGACGCGTGTGCGGATCTTTTTCTTCTTAGGCTTGCCATCTTCGGAAATGGTCTCGACGACACGAACCTCCTCTGGAAGTTCCTGGATTTCTTCAGGCTGTTCTTCTAGAGGTGTTTCTTCGACAGTGACTGTTGTTTCGGGTAGCTTGTCATCTTCCTCGACGGTTTCGATCTTGGTGACCTCTTGCTTGTCTCCCTTGACCTTCTTAATAAGGCGAGTGCGGATCTTCTTCTTCTTAGGCTTGCCATCTTCGGAAATGGTCTCGACGACACGAACCTCCTCTGGAAGTTCCTGGATTTCTTCAGGCTGTTCTTCTAGAGATACTTCTTCGACAGTGACTGTTGTTTCGGGTTGCTTGTCATCTTCCTCGACGGTTTCGATCTTGGTGACCTCTTGCTTGTCTCCCTTGACCTTCTTAATAACGCGAGTGCGGATCTTCTTCTTCTTAGGCTTGCCATCTTCGGAAATGGTCTCGACGACACGAACCTCCTCTGGAAGTTCCTGGATTTCTTCAGGCTGTTCTTCTAGAGGTACTTCTTCGACAGTGACTATTGTTTCGGGTAGCTTGTCATCTTCCTCGACGGTTTCGATCTTGGTGACCTCTTGCTTGTCTCCCTTGACCTTCTTAATAACGCGAGTGCGGATCTTTTTCTTCTTAGGCTTGCCATCTTCGGAAATGGACTCTACGACACGAACCTCCTCTGGAAGTTCCTGAATTTCTTCAGGCTGTTCTTCTAGAGGTACTTCTTCGACAGTGACTGTTGTTTCGGGTAGCTTGTCATCTTCCTCGACGGTTTCGATCTTGGTGACCTCTTGCTTGTCTCCCTTGACCTTCTTAATAACGCGAGTGCGGATCTTCTTCTTCTTAGGCTTGCCATCTTCGGAAATGGTCTCGACGACACGAACCTCTTCTGGAAGTTCCTGGATTTCTTCAGGCTGTTCTTCTAGAGGTACTTCTTCGACAGTGACTGTTGTTTCGGGCTGCTTGTCATCTTCCTCGACGGTTTCGATCTTGGTGACCTCTTGCTTGTCTCCCTTGACCTTCTTAATAACGCGAGTGCGAATCTTCTTCTTCTTAGGCTTGCCATCTTCGGAAATGGTCTCCACGACACGAACCTCTTCTGGAAGTTCCTTGATTTCCTCGGGCTGTTCTTCCTCCACAGGGATTTCTTCGACAGTAACTGTTGTTTCGGGCTGCTTGTCATCTTCCTCGACGGTTTCGATCTTGGTGACCTCTTGCTTGTCTCCCTTGACCTTCTTAATAACGCGAGTGCGGATCTTCTTCTTCTTAGGCTTGCCATCTTCGGAAATGGTCTCGACGACACGAACCTCTTCTGGAAGTTCCTGGATTTCTTCAGGCTGTTCTTCTAGAGGTACTTCTTCGACAGTGACTGTTGTTTCGGGTTGCTTGTCATCTTCCTCGACAGTTTCGATCTTGGTGACCTCTTGCTTGTCTCCCTTGACCTTCTTAATAACGCGAGTGCGGATCTTTTTCTTCTTAGGCTTGCCATCTTCGGAAATGGTCTCGACGACACGAACCTCCTCTGGAAGTTCCTGGATTTCTTCAGGCTGTTCTTCTACAGGAATTTCTTCGACAGTGACTGTTGTTTCGGGCTGCTTGTCATCTTCCTCGACGGTTTCAATCTTGGTGACCTCTTGCTTGTCTCCCTTGACCTTCTTAATAACGCGAGTGCGGATCTTTTTCTTCTTAGGCTTGCCATCTTCGGAAATGGTCTCGATGACACGAACCTCCTCTGGAAGTTCCTGGATTTCTTCAGGCTGTTTTTCTAGAGGTGTTTCTTCGACAGTGACTGTTGTTTCGGGCTGCTTGTCATCTTCCTCGACGGTTTCGATCTTGGTGACCTCTTGCTTGTCTCCCTTGACCTTCTTAATAACGCGAGTGCGGATCTTTTTCTTCTTAGGCTTGCCATCTTCGGAAATGGTCTCGACGACACAAACCTCCTCTGGAAGTTCCTGGATTTCTTCAGGCTGTTCTTCTAGAGGCACTTCTTCGACAGTGACTGTTGTTTCGGGTTGCTTGTCATCTTCCTCGACGGTTTCGATCTTGGTGACCTCTTGCTTGTCTCCCTTGACCTTCTTAATAACGCGAGTGCGGATCTTCTTCTTTTTAGGCTTGCCATCTTCGGAAATGGTCTCGACGACACGAACCAACTCTGGAAGTTCCTGGATTTCTTCAGGCTGTTCTTCTAGAGGTAGTTCTTCGACAGTGACTGTTGTTTCGGGTTGCTTGTCATCTTCCTCGACAGTTTCGATCTTGGTGACTTCTTGCTTGTCTCCCTTGACCTTCTTAATGACGCGAGTGCGGATCTTCTTCTTCTTAGGCTTGCCATCTTCGGAAATGGTCTCGACGACACGAACCTCCTCTGGAAGTTCCTGGATTTCTTCAGGCTGTTCTTCTAGAGGTACTTCTTCGACAGTGACTGTTGTTTCGGGTTGCTTGTCATCTTCCTCGACAGTTTCGATCTTGGTGACTTCTTGCTTGTCTCCCTTGACCTTCTTAATGACGCGAGTGCGGATCTTCTTCTTCTTAGGCTTGCCATCTTCAGAAATGGTCTCGACGACACGCACCTCCTCTGGAAGTTCCTGGATTTCTTCAGGCTGTTCTTTCTCCACAGGCATTTCTTCGACAGTGACTGTTGTTTCGGGTTGCTTGTCATCTTCCTCGACAGTTTCGATCTTGGTGACTTCTTGCTTGTCTCCCTTGACCTTCTTAATGACGCGAGTGCGGATCTTTTTCTTCTTAGGCTTGCCATCTTCGGAAATGGTCTCGACGACACGAACCTCTTCTGGAAGTTCCTTGATTTCCTCGTGCTGTTCTTCCTCCACAGGCATTTCTTCGACAGTGACTGTTGTTTCGGGCTGCCTGTCATCTTCCTCGACGGTTTCGATCTTGGTGACCTCTTGCTTGTCTCCCTTGATCTTCTTAATAACGCGAGTGCGGATCTTTTTCTTCTTAGGCTTGCCATCTTCAGAAATGGTCTCGACGACACGAACCTCCTCTGGAAGTTCCTGGATTTCTTCAGGCTGTTCTACTAGAGGTACTTCTTCGACAGTGACTGTTGTTTCGGGCTGCTTGTCATCTTCCTCGACAGTTTCGATCTTGGTGACTTCTTGCTTGTCTCCCTTGACCTTCTTAATGACGCGAGTGCGGATCTTTTTCTTCTTAGGCTTGCCATTTTCGGAAATGGTCTCGACGACACGAACCTCCTCTGGAAGTTCCTGGATTTCTTCAGGCTGTTCTTCTAGAGGTACTTCTTCGACAGTGACTGTTGTTTCGGGTTGCTTGTCATCTTCCTCGACAGTTTCGATCTTGGTGACTTCTTGCTTGTCTCCCTTGACCTTCTTAATGACGCGAGTGCGGATCTTCTTCTTCTTAGGCTTGCCATCTTCAGAAATGGTCTCGACGACACGCACCTCCTCTGGAAGTTCCTGGATTTCTTCAGGCTGTTCTTTCTCAACAGGCATTTCTTCGACAGTGACTGTTGTTTCGGGTTGCTTGTCATCTTCCTCGACAGTTTCGATCTTGGTGACTTCTTGCTTGTCTCCCTTGACCTTCTTAATGACGCGAGTGCGGATCTTTTTCTTCTTAGGCTTGCCATCTTCGGAAATGGTCTCGACGACACGAACCTCTTCTGGAAGTTCCTTGATTTCCTCGTGCTGTTCTTCCTCCACAGGCATTTCTTCGACAGTGACTGTTGTTTCGGGCTGCCTGTCATCTTCCTCGACGGTTTCGATCTTGGTGACCTCTTGCTTGTCTCCCTTGATCTTCTTAATAACGCGAGTGCGGATCTTTTTCTTCTTAGGCTTGCCATCTTCAGAAATGGTCTCGACGACACGAACCTCCTCTGGAAGTTCCTGGATTTCTTCAGGCTGTTCTACTAGAGGTACTTCTTCGACAGTGACTGTTGTTTCGGGCTGCTTGTCATCTTCCTCGACAGTTTCGATCTTGGTGACTTCTTGCTTGTCTCCCTTGACCTTCTTAATGACGCGAGTGCGGATCTTTTTCTTCTTAGGCTTGCCATCTTCGGAAATGGTCTCGACGACACGAACCTCCTCTGGAAGTTCCTGGATTTCTTCAGGCTGTTCTTCTACAGGAATTTCTTCGACAGTGACTGTTGTTTCGGGCTGCTTGTCATCTTCCTCGACAGTTTCGATCTTGGTGACTTCTTGCTTGTCTCCCTTGACCTTCTTAATGACGCGAGTGCGGATCTTTTTCTTTTTAGGCTTGCCATCTTCGGAAATGGTCTCGACGACACGAACCTCCTCTGGAAGTTCCTGGATTTCTTCAGGCTGTTCTTCTACAGGAATTTCTTCGACAGTGACTGTTGTTTTGGGCTGCTTGTCATCTTCCTCGACAGTTTCGATCTTGGTGACTTCTTGCTTGTCTCCCTTGACCTTCTTAATGACGCGAGTGCGGATCTTTTTCTTTTTAGGCTTGCCATCTTCGGAAATGGTCTCGACGACACGAACCTCCTCTGGAAGTTCCTGGATTTCTTCAGGCTGTTCTTCTACAGGAATTTCTTCGACAGTGACTGTTGTTTTGGGCTGCTTGTCATCTTCCTCGACAGTTTCGATCTTGGTGACTTCTTGCTTGTCTCCCTTGACCTTCTTAATGACGCGAGTGCGGATCTTTTTCTTTTTAGGCTTGCCATCTTCGGAAATGGTCTCGACGACACGAACCTCCTCTGGAAGTTCCTGGATTTCTTCAGGCTGTTCTTCTACAGGAATTTCTTCGACAGTGACTGTTGTTTCGGGCTGCTTGTCATCTTCCTCGACGGTTTCGATCTTGGTGACCTCTTGCTTGTCTCCCTTGACCTTCTTAATAACGCGAGTGCGGATCTTTTTCTTCTTAGGCTTGCCATCTTCGGAAATGGTCTCGATGACACGAACCTCCTCTGGAAGTTCCTGGATTTCTTCAGGCTGTTCTTCTACAGGAATTTCTTCGACAGTGACTGTTGTTTTGGGCTGCTTGTCATCTTCCTCGACAGTTTCGATCTTGGTGACTTCTTGCTTGTCTCCCTTGACCTTCTTAATGACGCGAGTGCGGATCTTTTTCTTTTTAGGCTTGCCATCTTCGGAAATGGTCTCGACGACACGAACCTCCTCTGGAAGTTCCTGGATTTCTTCAGGCTGTTCTTCTACAGGAATTTCTTCGACAGTGACTGTTGTTTCGGGCTGCTTGTCATCTTCCTCGACGGTTTCGATCTTGGTGACCTCTTGCTTGTCTCCCTTGACCTTCTTAATAACGCGAGTGCGGATCTTTTTCTTCTTAGGCTTGCCATCTTCGGAAATGGTCTCGATGACACGAACCTCCTCTGGAAGTTCTTTAATTTCTTCAGGTTCTTCTACAGGAATTTCTTCGACGGTGACTGTTGTTTCGGGCTGCTTGTCATCTTCTTGGACTATTTCGATCTTGGTGACCTCTTGCTTGTCTCCCTTGACCTTCTTTATGACGCGAGTGCGGATATTTTTCTTCTTAGGCTTGCCATCTTCGGAAATGGTCTCGACGACACGAACCTCCTCTGGAAGTTCCTGGATTTCTTCAGGCTGTTCTTCTACAGGAATTTCTTCGACAGTGACTGTTGTTTCGGGCTGCTGGTCATCTTCCTCGACGGTTTCGATCTTGGTGACCTCTTGCTTGTCTCCCTTGACCTTCTTAATAACGCGAGTGCGGATCTTTTTCTTCTTAGGCTTGCCATCTTCGGAAATGGTCTCGATGACACGAACCTCCTCTGGAAGTTCTTTAATTTCTTCAGGTTCTTCTACAGGAATTTCTTCGACGGTGACTGTTGTTTCGGGCTGCTGGTCATCTTCCTCGACGGTTTCGATCTTGGTGACCTCTTGCTTGTCTCCCTTGACCTTCTTAATGACGCGAGTGCGGATCTTTTTCTTCTTAGGCTTGCCATCTTCGGAAATGGTCTCGACGACACGAACCTCCTCTGGAAGTTCCTGGATTTCTTCGGGCTGTTCTTCTAGAGGTGTTTCTTTGACAGTGACTGTTGTTTCGGGCTGCTTGTCATCTTCCTCGACGGTTTCGATCTTGGTGACTTCTTGCTTGTCTCCCTTGACCTTCTTAATGACGCGAGTGCGGATCTTTTTCTTCTTAGGCTTGCCATCTTCCGAAATGGTCTCGACGACACGAACCTCCTCTGGAAGTTCCTGGATTTCTTCAGGCTGTTCTTCTACAGGAATTTCTTCGACAGTGACTGTTGTTTCGGGCTGCTCGTCATCTTCCTCGACGGTTTCGATCTTGGTGACCTCTTGCTTGTCTCCCTTGACCTTCTTAATAACGCGAGTGCGGATCTTTTTCTTCTTAGGCTTGCCATCTTCGGAAATGGTCTCGATGACACGAACCTCCTCTGGAAGTTCTTTAATTTCTTCAGGTTCTTCTACAGGAATTTCTTCGACGGTGACTGTTGTTTCGGGCTGCTTGTCATCTTCTTGGACTATTTCGATCTTGGTGACCTCTTGCTTGTCTCCCTTGACCTTCTTTATGACGCGAGTGCGGATCTTTTTCTTCTTAGGCTTGCCATCTTCCGAAATGGTCTCGACGACACGAACCTCCTCTGGAAGTTCCTGGATTTCTTCAGGCTGTTCTTCTACAGGAATTTCTTCGACAGTGACTGTTGTTTCGGGCTGCTGGTCATCTTCCTCGACGGTTTCGATCTTGGTGACCTCTTGCTTGTCTCCCTTGACCTTCTTAATAACGCGAGTGCGGATCTTTTTCTTCTTAGGCTTGCCATCTTCAGAAATGGTCTCGACGACACGAACCTCCTCTGGAAGTTCCTGGATTTCTTCAGGCTGTTCTTCTACAGGAATTTCGTCGACAGTGACTGTTGTTTCGGGCTGCTTGTCATCTTCCTCGACGGTTTCGATCTTGGTGACCTCTTGCTTGCCTCCCTTGACCTTCTTAATAACGCGAGTGCGGATCTTTTTCTTCTTAGGCTTGCCATCTTCGGAAATAGTCTCGACGACACGAACCTCCTCTGGAAGTTCCTGGATTTCTTCAGGCTGTTGTTCTACAGGAATTTCTTCGACAGTGACTGTTGTTTCGGGTTGCTTGTCATCTTCCTCGACGGTTTCGATCTTAGTGACTTCTTGCTTGTCTCCCATGACCTTCTTAATGACGCGAGTGCGGATCTTTTTCTTCTTAGGCTTGCCATCTTCGGAAATGGTCTCGACGACACGAACCTCCTCTGGAAGTTCCTGGATTTCTTCAGGCTGGTCTTCTACAGGAATTTCTTCGACGGTGACTGTTGTTTCGGGCTGCTTGTCATCTTCCTCGACGGTTTCGATCTTGGTGACCTCTTGCTTGTCTCCCTTGACCTTCTTAATAACGCGAGTGCGGATCTTTTTCTTCTTAGGCTTGCCATCTTCAGAAATGGTCTCGACGACACGAACCTCCTCTGGAAGTTCCTGGATTTCTTCAGGCTGTTCTACAGGAATTTCGTCGACAGTGACTGTTGTTTCGGGCTGCTTGTCATCTTCCTCGACGGTTACGATCTTGGTGACTTCTTGCTTGTCCCCCTTGACCTTCTTAATAACGCGAGTGCGGATCTTTTTCTTCTTAGGCTTGCCATCTTCAGAAATGGTCTCGACGACACGAACCTCCTCTGGAAGTTCCTGGATTTCTTCAGGCTGTTTTTCTAGAGGTTTTTCTTCGACAGTGACTGTTGTTTCGGGCTGCTTGTCATCTTCCTCGACGGTTTCGATCTTGGTGACCTCTTGCTTGTCTCCCTTGACCTTCTTAATAACGCGAGTGCGGATCTTTTTCTTCTTAGGCTTGCCATCGTCGGAAATGGTCTCGACGACACGAACCTCCTCTGGAAGCTCCTGGATTTCTTCAGGCTGTTCCTCTACAGGAATTTCTTCGACAGTGACTGTTGTTTCGGGCTGCTTGTCATCTTCCTCGACAGTTTCGATCTTGGTGACTTCTTGCTTGTCCCCCTTGACCTTCTTAATAACGCGAGTGCGGATCTTTTTCTTCTTGGGCTTGCCATCTTCAGAAATGGTCTCGACGACACGAACCTCCTCTGGAAGTTCCTGGATTTCTTCAGGCTGTTCTTCTAGAGGTGTTTCTTCGACAGTGACTGTTGTTTCGGGTTGCTTGTCATCTTCCTCGACGGTTTCGATCTTGGTGACCTCTTGCTTGTCTCCCTTGACCTTCTTAATAACGCGAGTGCGGATCTTTTTCTTCTTGGGCTTGCCATCTTCGGAAATGGTCTCGACGACACGAACCTCCTCTGGAAGTTCCTGGATTTCTTCAGGCTGTTCTTCTACAGGAATTTCTTCGACAGTGACTGTTGTTTCGGGCTGCTTGTCATCTTCCTCGACGGTTTCGATCTTGGTGACCTCTTGCTTGTCTCCTTTGACCTTCTTAATGACGCGAGTGCGGATCTTTTTCTTCTTAGGCTTGCCATCTTCGGAAATGGTCTCGACGACACGAACCTCCTCTGGAAGTTCCTGGATTTCTTCAGGCTGTTCCTCTACTGGAATTTCTTCGACAGTGACTGTTGTTTCGGGCTGCTTGTCATCTTCCTCGACGGTTTCGATCTTGGTGACCTCTTGCTTGTCTCCCTTGACCTTCTTAATGACGCGAGTGCGGATCTTTTTCTTTTTAGGCTTGCCATCTTCGGAAATGGTCTCGACGACACGAACCTCGTCTGGAAGTTCCTGGATTTCTTCAGGCTGGTCTTCTACAGGAATTTCTTCGACGGTAACTGTTGTTTCGGGCTGCTTGTCATCTTCCTCGACGGTTTCGATCTTGGTGACCTCTTGCTTGTCTCCCTTGACCTTCTTAATGACGCGAGTGCGGATCTTTTTCTTCTTAGGCTTGCCATCTTCGGAAATAGTCTCGATGACACGAACCTCTTCTGGAAGTTCCTGGATTTCTTCAGGCTGTTCTACTAGAAGTACTTCTTCGACAGTGACTGTTGTTTCGGGCTGCTTGTCATCTTCCTCGACGGTTTCGATCTTGGTGACCTCTTGCTTGTCTCCCTTGACCTTCTTAATAACGCGAGTGCGGATCTTTTTCTTTTTAGGCTTGCCATCTTCGGAAATGGTCTCGACGACACGAACCTCCTCTGGAAGTTCCTGGATTTCTTCAGGCTGTTCTTCTAGAGGTGTTTCTTTGACAGTGACTGTTGTTTCGGGCTGCTTGTCATCTTCCTCGACGGTTTCGATCTTGGTGACCTCTTGCTTGTCTCCCTTGACCTTCTTAATGACGCGAGTGCGGATCTTTTTCTTCTTAGGCTTGCCATCTTCGGAAATGGTCTCGACGACACGAACCTCCTCTGGAAGTTCCTGGATTTCTTCAGGTTGTTCTTTTACAGGTACTTCTTCGACAGTGACTGTTGTTTCGGGCTGCTTGTCATCTTCCTCGACGGTTTCGATCTTGGTGACCTCTTGCTTGTCTCCCTTGACCTTCTTAATGACGCGAGTGCGGATCTTTTTCTTCTTAGGCTTGCCATCTTCGGAAATGGTCTCGACGACACGAACCTCCTCTGGAAGTTCCTGGATTTCTTCAGGCTGTTCTTCTAAAGGAATTTCTTCGACAGTGACTGTTGTTTCGGGCTGCTTGTCATCTTCCTCGACGGTTTCGATCTTGGTGACCTCTTGCTTGTCTCCCTTGACCTTCTTAATGACGCGAGTGCGGATCTTTTTCTTCTTAGGCTTGCCATCTTCGGAAATGGTCTCAACGACACGAACCTCCTCTGGAAGTTCCTGGATTTCTTCAGGTTGTTCTTTTACAGGTACTTCTTCGACAGTGACTGTTGTTTCGGGCTGCTTGTCATCTTCCTCGACGGTTTCGATCTTGGTGACCTCTTGCTTGTCTCCCTTGACCTTCTTAATGACGCGAGTGCGGATCTTTTTCTTCTTAGGCTTGCCATCTTCGGAAATGGTCTCGACGACACGAACCTCCTCTGGAAGTTCCTTAATTTCCTCTGGTTGTTCTTCCTCCACAGGCATTTGTTCGACAGTGACTGTTGTTTCGGGCTGCTTGTCATCTTCTTGGACTATTTCGATCTTGGTGACCTCTTGCTTGTCTCCCTTGACCTTCTTAATAACGCGAGTGCGGATCTTTTTCTTCTTAGGCTTGCCATCTTCGGAAATGGTCTCGACGACACGAACCTCCTCTGGAAGTTCCTTAATTTCTTCAGGTTGTTCTTCTACAGGTACTTCTTCGACAGTGACTGTCGTTTCGGGCTGCTTGTTATCTTCCTCGACGGTTTCGATCTTGGTGACCTCTTGCTTGTCTCCCTTGACCTTCTTAATAACGCGAGTGCGGATCTTCTTTTTCTTAGGCTTGCCATCTTCGGAAATGGTCTCGATGACACGAACCTCCTCTGGAAGTTCCTTAATTTCTTCAGGTTGTTCTTCTACAGGTACTTCTTCGACTGTGACTGTTGTTTCGGGCTGCTTGTCATCTTCCTCGACGGTTTCGATCTTGGTGACCTCTTGCTTGTCTCCCTTGACCTTCTTAATAACGCGAGTGCGGATCTTTTTCTTCTTAGGCTTGCCATCTTCGGAAATGGTCTCGACGACACGAACCTCCTCTGGAAGTTCCTTAATTTCTTCAGGTTGTTCTTCTACAGGTACTTCTTCGACAGTGACTGTCGTTTCGGGCTGCTTGTCATCTTCCTCGACGGTTTCGATCTTGGTGACCTCTTGCTTGTCTCCCTTGACCTTCTTAATGACGCGAGTGCGGATCTTTTTCTTCTTAGGCTTGCCATCTTCGGAAATGGTCTCGACGACACGAACCTCCTCTGGAAGTTCCTTAATTTCCTCTGGTTGTTCTTCCTCCACAGGCATTTGTTCGACAGTGACTGTTGTTTCGGGCTGCTTGTCATCTTCTTGGACTATTTCGATCTTGGTGACCTCTTGCTTGTCTCCCTTGACCTTCTTAATGACGCGAGTGCGGATCTTTTTCTTCTTAGGCTTGCCATCTTCGGAAATGGTCTCGATGACACGAACCTCCTCTGGAAGTTCCTTAATTTCTTCAGGTTGTTCTTCTACAGGTACTTCTTCGACTGTGACTGTTGTTTCGGGCTGCTTGTCATCTTCCTCGACGGTTTCGATCTTGGTGACCTCTTGCTTGTCTCCCTTGACCTTCTTAATAACGCGAGTGCGGATCTTTTTCTTCTTAGGCTTGCCATCTTCGGAAATGGTCTCGACGACACGAACCTCCTCTGGAAGTTCCTTAATTTCTTCAGGTTGTTCTTCTACAGGTACTTCTTCGACAGTGACTGTCGTTTCGGGCTGCTTGTCATCTTCCTCGACGGTTTCGATCTTGGTGACCTCTTGCTTGTCTCCCTTGACCTTCTTAATAACGCGAGTGCGGATCTTTTTCTTCTTAGGCTTGCCATCTTCGGAAATGGTCTCGACGACACGAACCTCCTCTGGAAGTTCCTGGATTTCTTCAGGCTGTTCTTCTAGAGGTACTTCTTCGACAGTGACTGTTGTTTCGGGTTGCTTGTCATCTTCCTCGACGGTTTCGATCTTGGTGACCTCTTGCTTGTCTCCCTTGACCTTCTTAATAACGCGAGTGCGGATCTTTTTCTTCTTAGGCTTGCCATCTTCGGAAATGGTCTCGATGACACGAACGTCCTCTGGAAGTTCCTTGATTTCCTCGAGCTGTTCATCCTCCACAGGCATTTCTTCGACAGTGACTGTTGTTTCGGGCTGCTTGTCATCTTCTTGGACTATTTCGATCTTGGTGACCTCTTGCTTGTCTCCCTTGACCTTCTTAATGACGCGAGTGCGGATCTTTTTCTTCTTAGGCTTGCCATCTTCGGAAATGGTCTCGATGACACGAACCTCCTCTGGAAGTTCCTTAATTTCCTCTGGTTGTTCTTCCTCCACAGGCATTTCTTCGACAGTGACTGTTGTTTCGGGCTGCTTGTCATCTTCTTGGACTATTTCGATCTTGGTGACCTCTTGCTTGTCTCCCTTGACCTTCTTAATAACGCGAGTGCGGATCTTTTTCTTCTTAGGCTTGCCATCTTCGGAAATGGTCTCGACGACACGAACCTCCTCTGGAAGTTCCTTAATTTCCTCTGGTTGTTCTTCCTCCACAGGCATTTCTTCGACAGTGACTGTTGTTTCGGGCTGCTTGTCATCTTCTTGGACTATTTCGATCTTGGTGACCTCTTGCTTGTCTCCCTTGACCTTCTTAATAACGCGAGTGCGGATCTTTTTCTTCTTAGGCTTGCCATCTTCGGAAATGGTCTCGATGACACGAACGTCCTCTGGAAGTTCCTTGATTTCCTCGAGCTGTTCATCCTCCACAGGCATTTCTTCGACAGTGACTGTTGTTTCGGGCTGCCTGTCATCTTCCTCGACGGTTTCGATCTTGGTGACCTCTTGCTTGTCTCCCTTGACCTTCTTAATAACGCGTGTGCGGATCTTTTTCTTCTTAGGCTTGCCATCTTCGGAAATGGTCTCGACGACACGAACCTCCTCTGGAAGTTCCTTAATTTCCTCTGGTTGTTCTTCCTCCACAGGCATTTCTTCGACAGTGACTGTTGTTTCGGGCTGCTTGTCATCTTCTTGGACTATTTCGATCTTGGTGACCTCTTGCTTGTCTCCCTTGACCTTCTTAATAACGCGTGTGCGGATCTTTTTCTTCTTGGGCTTGCCATCTTCGGAAATGGTCTCGACGACACGAACCTCCTCTGGAAGTTCCTGGATTTCTTCAGGCTGTTCTACTAGAGGTACTTCTTCGACAGTGACTGTTGTTTCGGGTTGCTTGTCATCTTCCTCGACAGTTTCGATCTTGGTGACTTCTTGCTTGTCTCCCTTGACCTTCTTAATAACGCGAGTGCGGATCTTTTTCTTCTTAGGCTTGCCATCTTCGGAAATGGTCTCGACGACACGAACCTCCTCTGGAAGTTCCTTAATTTCCTCTGGTTGTTCTTCCTCCACAGGCATTTCTTCGACAGTGACTGTTGTTTCGGGCAGCTTGTCATCTTCTTGGACTATTTCGATCTTGGTGACCTCTTGCTTGTCTCCCTTGACCTTCTTAATAACGCGTGTGCGGATCTTTTTCTTCTTGGGCTTGCCATCTTCGGAAATGGTCTCGACGACACGAACCTCCTCTGGAAGTTCCTGGATTTCCTCTGGCTGTTCTTCCTCCACAGGCATTTCTTCGACAGTGACTGTTGTTTCGGGCTGCCTGTCATCTTCCTCGACGGTTTCAATCTTGGTGACCTCTTGCTTGTCTCCCTTGACCTTCTTAATAACGCGAGTGCGGATCTTTTTCTTCTTAGGCTTGCCATCTTCGGAAATGGTCTCGACGACACGAACCTCCTCTGGAAGTTCCTTAATTTCCTCTGGTTGTTCTTCCTCCACAGGCATTTCTTCGACAGTGACTGTTGTTTCGGGCAGCTTGTCATCTTCTTGGACTATTTCGATCTTGGTGACCTCTTGCTTGTCTCCCTTGACCTTCTTAATAACGCGTGTGCGGATCTTTTTCTTCTTGGGCTTGCCATCTTCGGAAATGGTCTCGACGACACGAACCTCCTCTGGAAGTTCCTGGATTTCCTCTGGCTGTTCTTCCTCCACAGGCATTTCTTCGACAGTGACTGTTGTTTCGGGCTGCCTGTCATCTTCCTCGACGGTTTCAATCTTGGTGACCTCTTGCTTGTCTCCCTTGACCTTCTTAATAACGCGAGTGCGGATCTTTTTCTTCTTAGGCTTGCCATCTTCGGAAATGGTCTCGACGACACGAACCTCCTCTGGAAGTTCCTTAATTTCCTCTGGCTGTTCTTCCTCCACAGGCATTTCTTCGACAGTGACTGTTGTTTCGGGCTGCTTGTCATCTTCTTGGACTATTTCGATTTTGGTGACCTCTTGCTTGTCTCCCTTGACCTTCTTAATAACGCGTGTGCGGATCTTTTTCTTCTTGGGCTTGCCATCTTCGGAAATGGTCTCGACGACACGAACCTCCTCTGGAAGTTCCTTAATTTCCTCTGGCTGTTCTTCCTCCACAGGCATTTCTTCGACAGTGACTGTTGTTTCGGGCTGCCTGTCATCTTCTTGGACGGTTTCGATCTTGGTGACCTCTTGCTTGTCTCCCTTGACCTTCTTAATAACGCGTGTGCGGATCTTTTTCTTCTTGGGCTTGCCATCTTCGGAAATGGTCTCGACGACACGAACCTCCTCTGGAAGTTCCTTAATTTCCTCTGGTTGTTCTTCCTCCACAGGCATTTCTTCGACAGTGACTGTTGTTTCGGGCTGCTTGTCATCTTCTTGGACTATTTCGATCTTGGTAACCTCTTGCTTGTCTCCCTTGACCTTCTTAATAACGCGAGTGCGGATCTTCTTCTTCTTAGGTTTGCCATCTTCGGAAATGGTCTCGAAGACACGAACCTCTTCTGGAAGTTCCTTGATTTCCTCGGGCTGTTCATCCTCCACAGGCATTTCTTCGACAGTGACTGATGTTTCGGGCTGCTTGTCATCTTCCTCGACGGTTTCGATCTTGGTGACCTCTTGCTTGTCTCCCTTTACCTTCTTAATAACGCGAGTGCGGATCTTTTTCTTCTTAGGTTTGCCATCTTCGGAAATGGTCTCGACGACACGAACCTCCTCTGGAAGTTCCTGGATTTCTTCAGGCTGTTCTACTAGAGGTACTTCTTCGACAGTGACTGTTGTTTCGGGCTGCTTGTCATCTTCCTCGACGGTTTCGATCTTGGTGACCTCTTGCTTGTCTCCCTTGACCTTCTTTATAACGCGAGTTCGAATCTTTTTCTTTCGTAATTTGCCATCTTGAGAAACTTGTTCAATAATTTGCACGCTTTCTGGGACTTCTGTGATTTCGGTTTCACGAGTTTCTTGTTTTTGTGTTGGTGTCTTTTGTTTTGTGTGTGTTGTGTCTGTGGTTTGTTCTGTATCTGTGTAAAGAATTGTGTTTTTAGTATATTGTTTCTAATGGATATTGTGGCATTACATTGCTCTGTGTAATATGTGTTTTGGGGTTGGTGGGTCGAGTAGTAGTGAAAGTAATACGCCTTTTTTGTTGAACTTTTTACTTTATACCTAATATTATACTTACCCTTTTTACTGTTTACCGTTTTAACTAAACCCTTCTTTGCAATGCTCTCTAACTCAATAATATCCTGCGTCTGATTACTGGCATTGCCGTCTTTTGCTATATATGTTGCTGCTTGTGACTCAGTGATAGTGGAATGTGCTTCTTCGTGTGCGGTCGTTTCATAGTGTGCAATTTCAGGCTTCGCTTGTGGTAGTTCAGGCGAAGATTCTGATACAAATTGTGTAGTTTGTAAAGCATTTTTAAACCTGCCTTCCACTAGGGTTGGTTGTAATGAGTCTTTACTTTCAGGATAATAATGACTTGCTGTCGTGCTGAATATGTCTAACTGTTCGGTTGTTACTGTAGTGTTGGTTTCAAAATTTAAGTTTGCTTTTTTTGGTAATATGTGTTCTTGATCTTTAAGTAAGTTAACCTGCTCGTGTACGATAGTTTGTTCATTGAGATACGTACTCTGCGTTGTAATTGATGGCAGCGCATGTTTTTCGTCAGTTGGAAACTCTTCAGATTCCTGAATAGTTCCTTTCTCATGCAGCTCGCTTATTATAGGTGCAACTCTCACTTCAAATGGTTGAACCGCGGCTTGCTCTGTAGATTGCTTTCTGGCGTCCAACAATGTGCTAACAGCTTCACAAGTAAGCTGCTCGCTACATAAAATGTTCTTGTATAAAACAGTTTCTGGCTTTGCATTCATCTGTTCGGGCATGTCAGTTGCAAGAGTGTCTAAGGATGGAATAATAGCCACCTCTTCTACCACCGAAACCTTAAACTCAGCGGGGACAGCTGAATCTGATGTCAGTTTCGCCTCATTTGGCCTAAAGTCACCATGGCCCTCAACATTTTCGTAAATGTTTACAGTTGAACTTTCTGCTGGCTTTAGGATCATTTCGGCAGGGCTGGGTAATGTCTGGACCTGCTTATCCGGCTCTAACACAATATCCGGAGTTTGTTCGTATGTTACTGGCTCGGTCACATATGCAGCTTTATGAAGAGATTGAAGGGTTACATTAGCATTTCCCTCGGTGGGTACTTGAAGCTCATATGTTTCTTGTATAGAACTAATTCCAATAACCTCTTCGGTGACTATCGATTGTGACTCAACATTCGACATTTGAGCCATATCACCTAGAGTTTTTATCTGGGGAATGATATCCTCTTTCAAGAATGTCGATTGAATTGTTGTCAAATGAGCCCTGTTAATGTCATCATCCTTTGCGGCTTTCAACAGAAAAGTTTGATCTGGTACATTTGAAATTTCCTTTGGTAATTCGTAGGCATTAACTTCAGTAACTGTTGTGTGAACGTTGAATTCATCTGATTTAACTTTAGCTTGAGCAATATTACTCAATTCAACTGGGGTTTCACTTTCCAGTTCAAGGGGTAATTGTGTTTCCACCATATGCGACTGCAAAATTTTATCAGTGGGAGTTGAGCTAGCAAGGAATTTACTTGGTTCTTGTGGAATAGACAACATAACCAGATCTTCAATGGGTACCACTTCAGTAATAAGCGTTTCTCTCTGAGTACCTTCGATAAATGGTTTTCCAAAGTATTCCTGTTGGGTGTTTTTAAAAGGCTCTTCTTTTAGCATGACAATGTTGTCCATTTGAACCTGCACTTTATTGGACTCGGCGGCAACGACAAACTCGAGAAGAGCCTCCTGCGAAGTAACCTTAGTACCATCAACTTGTTCGGATGACTCTAAAGTCAGCACATCGGATATAGTGGTTCCGTGAAGTAAATCTATTGAAGGCTTGGCTTTGGTCTCCATGGGCTCAATTGGCTGTATAAATGACTCCTTTTGGAAAATTCGCTGTTCAAGAGACTCTGGAGTGGCCTTAAACATCACATCAATGGATTCGGCAGCAAGAGTCGGAACAACTTTTGATTTTATGAATTCTTCAGACTCCTCTATGCCGCAGACCTCACTGACAGATACCTCGTGTTGTCCTCTTTCAAATGATATTTGAGCAATTTTCTCATCCCCTTGTATCGTTAAAAGATCATCCAGTCCCTCAACAATTTGAGTTCTTGTAGTTACAGGTAAACCTAGCCGCGAAGGTATTTCATCGGAAGTTGCTAGTGCATAGGATTGTTCAGGACTTGTAAATTCTGTCTCTGCCTCAACAGTTTGTTGAAGATCAGTTGTTTGAACCAGACCGAGCTCATGAGTGAGTTCCGCTTTTTGTGCAAGATGCTTATCCGCTTTTTGAGCCTCCTCTGTTGCTTCATAGGAGGTGACTTCGTCGACGAGCTTTGCAAGCAGCGGTTGGGTATCGTCAAGTAGCTTTGCTTTTTGTTTGGGGGTAATTTCTTCCTTAAGAGATGTTTCAGACTCGAGTATACTTTGATCTCTGGCAATTATTGAACGACTTAGATTATCCTGCGTTTTGTTTGCCGTTTTTTGGTTGGCAGGCGTGTCCTCAAAATGTTCAGCTGTATCAAAAACTATATTTCTGGTGACCAATGTATGTTCGTGAGCTACAACTGATTGCTGTGGGACTAATGTGTCTGGCTGATCTGAGCCTATGGATTTTAAGACCGTGTCGTATATTATTGTTTCTGAGGACTTGGTTTCATTTAATAGATCTATTTTTGGAGAGGCAAAACTGTTTCTTGCTTCGAAATCTTGCAAGTCTCCGGTGGATAGGAATTCAGTCGTGTCTTCTGATGCAGGCAAACGAAGGAGATCTGAAGAAATAAGCCTGGCCTGCTCCGTCTGAATAGAGGGAACTTTAAGACCCTGTTCCAGCTCGAAGGCATCTTCTTGTCGAGTCAGTGCTATACTCGTTGTAGAGTCCAAGGCAACATTAATAAGTTGTTCACTTGGCTGCGCCACTCCTTCAAGGAGTTCCTCTCTCTCTAAAACTGCAGTCTCGCTTACATTAATCTCGTGGAAACTACTTATTGTTGGTTGACTCGTTGCCGATGTGGGGTGAATGTCGTGTAGGTCTGAAACATGATCCAAAACTCTTGCCTCCTCCGAAAGTGGGATTTTCTGTGTAATATCATTCAATTTGGGTGTAACATTAACTTGCTGTGGAGTATCATGGTCTTTTAGGTCCGATGTGTTCTCACTTGTTATGGTTGTACTTGTTTTCAAAGCTGTTGTAGTTTCGATTATCTGCACATTGCTGACCGATGATAAGTTAGACTCTGGTATTTTATAGTCCTTTAAAGCGTCACAAACTATGTTTTCTTCAATATTGGGTAGGGTAATTTCTCCTATATTGAAATGAGCCTGCTGATTTGGCTGCTTCTGTTGGTCAAGCTTCTCCAATGATTCCATATGTTGCGGTCTCAAAGTGTTGGCAACTTGCAAAGGTCCAGTTGTGCCAATAACAGCGCTCTGCAAACCAATCGGCTCTTCGATCAGTAAAATTGATTCCCCCTCTAGTGTTACGCACGATCTCGTTTCCAGTGGCTGCATGAGACTAAAGTTACTTTCTGTGGTCTGTAGGGCAGGATGCACATCATCATTGCGTCCCACTATGCTTTCCAACGGCGCCTGCTCAGCAATATCTGTTCCATATAGCTGTGGCATGCTTACTTCGGCAATTACTGCACTTGGTTTGCTGTCTTCGGCTTTATTGGTTGTGGACTCCATTGGAATTATCTCAAGACCCTCGGCGTAATTAAAGACATCGTTAATGGGCTGCGCGTTGTTAAATTTCTCCTTAGGAAGAGTGTCAAGTAGCTCGGTACTAGTCTCGGTAATTTGTACATTGGTGACCTCCAAAGGCTGCTGGTTGTCAATAAGTATTATGTTTCCTGATTTAAGTTCGGGTTGTTGATCGGGCTGCAGGGAGCCAGTGCTCTCCAACAGATCGGGCCTGCTTGCAACTCCAATTGGCATCGACTCGAATACTTTATTTGCCGCAACAGACTTTGTGTCTTCAGTAATAATATCACTGGATGTATGGTCTGGTTGAACTTCGAACACGCTAGTTACCTTTAGCTCGGTGGAAGTAATATTTGTTGTTGCTTTCTGTGAAGTCTGATCCGCATCAGGAGACAGGATTTGTTCCCTTTCCACAGTTGTGTCTTGCTTGACCTCCAACGCAGCCTGCTCCACGAAATCCATTTTGGCATCCACCAACTGTGGGACTATTGACAATAATTCTGCTTCTTTATCTATCACGTTCGGCGCTTGAATTTCTGCCACAACTTCGCCATCAACGATATTAACCTTTCCCATTGCAGTCTGGCGATCTTCTTCTGGTACGACACCCAATGAATCAAAAAGGGACTCTTCATTACTCTCTGCCGTTCCATAGGGTTTTGTTATAGTGCCCTTTGCTGGTTTCGATGATTCGACCAGAGGTTCAACGAGCTCGTGTGCCATTTCTGATACTTGTGTTTCGAGCGTTTCACCAATGATCAAAGAAACAGTTTGCCCCAGCGTTCCTTCTGACAGTTTCGGAATAATTTCCTCCCCCAAATCCTTTGTGGCTTCTTCATGTGAAACGGTTTCCTCAGTAGTGACATGAATTTGTGCCTGTATGTCCATAATGGCTTCCTTGGCATCAGGCTTAAAAATGGGCAAGTTTTCTTCGATAGGACTCTGAGAATCTGCAGTGACATTTTTTAAGCCCTCGGCCAACACCAATTGCTCCATTGCTTTGATATCAGCAGTCCGTGTCTTGGCCACTTCGCTTTCAGGTAGACTGTCAAAGGGTTCAGTTTCTTGTACAACAACTGGCACCTCCTGGGCCTTAACTGTAATATCCGCAACACTCTTGGTCGGTTGAGTCTCCAATGGCATTGGCTCTACGCTTTCCAAGACTTCAGGAGCACTTCCACTCGCTGCCTTGTGTTCCATAACAGAAGTTGTTGATGTCTCTGGGCGAGTCTCAGCGGTTGGTTGCAATTCTCCAACTGAGTCTTGCGGCTGGCATTCGCTAATGGCAAGGCTGATATTGGGGGTTACTTGTGGAGTGACTGTCTCGCTAGCTGGCTTCTCCTGGGTTACATCCTTTCCAAACGATTCGCTGCTCATAACTTCAGTGATAATTACCTCCTCCTGATTAAGTAATTTTGGTTGTACGGTTTCCCCTATGGTTACTGTAGGCTTTAGCTGCGTGAAGCTCTCCAGTGTCGATTGCTGCTCTTCGCTTAGCTCGTGCGACAGCAAAATGTCACCGTGAGCCTGTTGAGTCATGGTTTTTAATGGTTCTAGGTTCTCGATGGTTTCTTCAACGCTTGTAGCTTCTACCAGCAAGGGACGTGATTCTTTCATCTTGCGTTGGGCCTTTACTGATTTCGGAATCTTTGACGGTTGTAGTTCCTTGGGAGCCTCGGCTGTCTCCGCTTCAGATACATCAGCGGCGTGCTGTTGCCTGATTTCAATCTGTTCACTTAGCTTACTTTCTTCGGGTCGGGGGAATTCCTTGCGGATGCTAGCTTCATCGAGAGTTATACTCTCCTCACTGACTGCCAATACCTTCTGGGGTAAAATGTCGTCCTGCGCCTGAGCTGGTACTGGTTTCGGGGTTGAAAGTTCTGTGGTGACTGCAACTGCAACGGATTCGACTGTGTCTTGTGGTTGATGTTGCATGGGTAGTGTCTCGTATGTGGGCAGAAGCTCTTCGATTTGCTCAAGAGTTTCTGCCTTCGGTGATCCTGTGCTTGTTTCATGGGCCAGAGCCAATGTTTCTCTTTGTTCGTATTTGGTGGACTCGACAACCTCCTCTTTTTGTTCTTGTTCTGTGTGTTTTTTATGCTTTTTGGTTTTGGTTTTCGTTAGCGTTTGCACAATTTGTTCAGCCTGAGCCTGTATCTGCACTTGTTCTTGTTGTTCTTGTACTTGTATTTGCACATGTTCTTGTTGTTGCTGTATGAACTGTTTTTCCACCTGAGTGGTTGCTGTTTCTGTGAATGTAATGTAATTAAACAATGACAATGTCGAGCCTTTTTTTGTTGTGTTGCTATTAAAAACAATACACTAACCATGATGTCAGCTAACAGCGGAAAGCCGTGCAAGGCTCATTCATTTAGTAATTGTGTTGCAAGCGGTAAAGCAAAATGAGTTGCACAGTAAACGATAGGTGAAAGGTGATGATCATTCGATCTATTTACAAATGTAGGTGTGGCAAACAGACCGGAATTGGAGATAGACCTTACCTCGTTACACATCAGAAATTCGTCCAGATTGGCGGGCAAGGGAATAAAGCTCATCTACTCTTGAAATTGAATGCATATTGGAAAAGCATTTAAGTGGGCGAAAGTCAAAAATAGTTAAAGCTTATATGGTATATAGCAGCAGCAGCAAGATATGAAACTCATTAATTAATCAAGTAAATAAAGCATTTTTAGTGGCAGTAATTAGCGGTTAATGGGAAGCTAGATTATTCGGTGGCGTCTTTTTAGAATATACACATGATTTGTTTATTTTGACTTAACAAGATTTAATTGTTATATTTGTATAGACAATATTTATTATTGTTTTTGCAGTTGTTTCTTTTTTAATAATATTAATTAGACTGTAGTTGAGTAGTTCGTGGGATGGTACATCGTTACTGGTGGGATTTATATAACTGGTGGAGTATTTTTATTTTTGTTTGGTTTTTGTTTACAGAACATCTGTGTTTATGTTCAAACCTTCTTGGACAATTATCGTTCGTTCCTCGACAAATGTTTCCTCTGCCGAATATGGTATGAGGTTTTATTGGCCGTGTTTTGGGAGTGGCACGAAAAGCGTAGGAATGTTTTATAAGCAGAGTTACATAATAAAAAAAGAGATAAATATAAACATTTTTAAGTATGCAAATTATAATATTTGTGTTAAATATTAATATAGGCTTTAGCATATTAACTATTATTAAGCAGCTTGCCTACTGACACTCACCTATTTTCACATGTGTGATAGCCTCGTGACTTTCAATTATTTGCGATGTCTCTACTATTCTCTAGATTTCCGTAAATCAAAGTAGATAAAAATGTTTGTAAATACTTAGTAAATAAATTTGCCCAATATAGTTTTTTCTGATTTCTTCAAGCTTATTTAACCCTAGTTGAAATGCAAAAATTGAACCCCAATTAGAGAAACAAAAATTGAAATTTTAGAAACTTTTTTTTCAGCATTTCAACTGTCTGCACAAAACACACAAAAACAAACAAATGAAGAAACACATTGAACAATATTCAAACCTCCTTTCCACATATTTTCCAGTCCTGGGATATGAAGTCCTCCCTAACAAACTTTCGTATGACGATCTCAATGGTGATTTCGTACGTCTGAATCATACGGATGAAGGCCTTGAATCCGACAGTGGCCGCCAGGATGGTTTCATCCTCGTTCGAAGACTCGCTCAGTATTTGGGAGATCAACTCTTCGTGGCCCTCCCGCTCAACGAGTTGCACCAGGGCCGACTGTGATTCGGGTTTCTTCAGGGATATGAATATATTTTGCTCATACATGTATGTGATCTCGTAGTGATTGCAACCATAGCGTAAGAGCAGACCAATTGTTGCCAAATCTCGGAGAGCTGATTCGCCAATTATGCCAAACGACTCCGCCTCAATGGACTCGAGCAGCCATTGGACCTCCTCGTGTTGGGATATCACTTGAATATCCTCTATTGTAATGGTCTTTTGGCTGATTTTGGTCCGGATTATTTCTACAGTTTTCGTTATTTCAATTTTCTTGCTGGATGTGTATGTCTCCTTCTTTTCTTCTTTTATTTCAACTTCCTCCTCCTCATCTTCCTTTTCCTCTTTCTCCACTTTTTCCTCAAACTCTTCTACTTCTTCGATTTCTTCGACTTCTTCGATTATTTGACTGGTTCGCTCCTCGGCATCGGCAACTTTTCGATCTTTTACCTCCATTACCTCGGAGACCTCGCTCTTTTCTACTAAAATTGATACGGGCTGTTTCACCTTGATCACATTCATGGTTGTTTCTGTTGTGCTAGCTGGTACAATTCGGATCTCTGTCCTTTGCATTGCCTGCGAGTCTGAAGCCCCTGTGGATCTCCTCACCACTGTCTTCTTTCCACTCTTCTTTTTAATGGACTTAGTCTTGCTTTTTTCAACAATCTCATCCATGGTGCTGGTTGAGGATATTTCAAACTTGGCTCGCGTCATGGTCATGCCAATCTCATTGATCAGCTTGCAGTTGTAGTAGCCGCAGTCTTCGTTTGTTATTTTCAGTATTTCTAGAGTTGCTTCCTGTTCCTGCACTACCATGCGATACTTTTCGGATGCCCTAAGCTGAACGTTGTTGAAATACCATTGAATATCTATAGTCAGAGGGTTAGAAACCAAGCACGATCATCAGCCCCAGGACCAAAAGCTCAAAACCAAACTCGTACAATACCTGGTATCGGGTTGCCCGCAAACTGTATCGAGAACTTTGCTGTTTCGCCTAAGGCAGCACGGCAGTCACGCATTTCGTTTAGTAGTGATGGCGAGCATTTAGCAGCTATAAGCACAAAGATGCATAATATCTATGGATTAGAGTCTATCAGGATTATCTAAAAGCATTGCCATCGGAGAGGTGTGCACGTTCGTTTTGTGTACTTACATAAAAATGGTACAAAAAATTTATATTTGTCTGTTTGATTTTGAACATAATGTGAGTATAGAGCTATGAATAGTGAAACAAAAACATTTAAAGAAGTTTTTAGGACATGCAAAATTTAATTATTCTACATTATTTTGATTTAAAGAGTTGAGCAAGCAGCGTTCTGGGAATGTTATATAATTTCTTTGGATTGGATTGAACACTTTTTCTTTGTATAACATGGGGTTAGTAAAAATTTTGAATAATGGCGAATCGAATACAACCAATTTACTTGCAGATGATAAACTGATATTGATACTGTAAGAGATACATTTGATACACGTACGATATATAATTTTAAATGTATACTAAAAGTTCTATTATATTGGCGTTTACTTTTTTGGAATATTTTACTTATTAAGGTTTGGGGTTTTTTTTTTTGGGGGGGTAGGGGTCAAGCCTTAGAGCTGTAGGGGACCAAGACAATCACAAAGCCACAGTTTTTTTTTATTTTATTTCGAGGGAAGGGTACACTTCACAGGTTGTTTTGTTTGTACGATACAAAGTACTATACATGGACAAATACAAAATAGAGACAGACAATAGAAGAAGAAGACGGGAGACAGAGGACAGAGAGACTTTGTGAATTGTTGTACTTAGATTTGTGGTTTAAGACAATGGCACAGAAGACATTTGTGTGTTGGTAACACGAAATTAAAACACATATACACATAACAGTGGTAAAACAGAGCTGGCATTAGTGAGGATACATACCTTTGAGCGCCACTTGCATTTCCTCCATGTGAGTCACCCATTCCGGCTTGCGGTAATCCTTCGATCCAACGATGCCTTTACGTGTACGAATGGGAAGTAATAAATGAAATCATTATTATATTTGATTATGCAAAAGAAACCACCAAAAATATCTGTTAAATTCAACTAGTTGTCCTTAAACTAATAACGTGTGTGGCCTTCTGTAAGTTTTCGTGTATAGTCCTGCGAGTGTTTAACATCAAAGTAAAGTGTAAGTGGAGTTTCGGTTTGGAATTGTTACAATAATTTGTAATTGGGTTTGGGTAAGGGTCGGGAAAGGGGAAGGATTTTTTTTTAAAAGGCAGCTGCAAAACCTGAAATAGAATTTCACTAACAAAGCCAAATAACAGTTGATTTATATTAAAGAGTGCACTATATGAGTGATAAACCATAATAGTACCTTCGACCGCAAAGAGTGCCGTTGTTACTGCCACACCCAGTGGATTGTACGCCTCAAAACTAATTGTACCCAAATCATCGGGATAGACGTGATTAATGACCAACACTGAGGTGCCGTCGTCGAAATTTTCGATTTGATATTCCTCGGAAGCGAATATCTGCTCGTCGTCGCGCAGCCATTTGACCTTCGGTTTTGGTTTTCCAATGACCTTAACCTCCAGCTTCGCTTGCTCACCCTCTTTGGGCTCGATTTTCTCTGGTAGCTTTTTAATAATTTTCGGTGCTTGTTCGTCGATTGAGAGGGTCTAGAATGGTTTGCGTTATAACATTTTGAATTAGCATGGTAAATCCTTGGTTTGAGTACACATGAACAACAATAAGGCTTACTCTATCAAGTAGATCCTCCTCAGATCCTGTGAGTCCAGTGATTTCAGAATCGGGGATATATTCAAATGCTAAAAAATACACATTCGAAAGCATTATCAATATAAGCGTGTCTCCACACCGAATTTCGTTTGAACGAACTCAAAAAAAGAATAGAAGATTATGTACAAAAAGAATTGGTCAATGAGGCGACCGGAAAAAATAGAAGGAAATTATTTTATGGATTTGATAGACAGGTAAGACTCTCAAAATAGTAGAATCACATGCACAGGCTATCTCTAAGACAGTTAGTACAAAAAGATATTCAAAGAACTCAGTTGTCAGGGAGGGGATAGTGTAGTTATTGGAAAACCTATCTAGGTGTGGGATGCATGTAGTGTGTAGAGTGGCACTACTTCCATCTGATTAACTAGTTAACTACCGATAGATACCATCACAAGTACCTTGAATTTTAACGTTTGTCTTGGTCACACTCTTGCCAATCTTGTTCGTGGCCACGCACTCGTATTGGCCCTCGTTTTCGGGGAACACTTCCGTAATCTGCAGCTGGCAATTGCCTTGCAAGTCTTGCGATATCGTAGTTTCCTTGTTCTCGACGATCTTCTCCTCATTATGATACCACTCCACTTTGGGTGTGGGCTTGCCAGTAACTTGGCAGGTCAGCAGCAATGCTTCGCCATCCATTACCTCGACGGGCTTTATAAGTTCTTCGATGAATCGCGGCGATTCAAACTCTACTGCCTCCTCCTGTGGCAGGGATTCAATTAGGTTGACGGTGGCTGTTGAAGTAACCGAACCACCAACGTTCTCGGCCCGGCAAGTGAAGGGCCCGGTGAATTTCTTTTGGAAGTCCTCAATCAGCAACGTTGACTTGTTGGCCTGGCTCACAATGCGCACTTCGTTGGAGCTCTTGATGGGCTCATTGTGCACAAACCACTGGAAGGACGATAATGGCTCAGATTCTACAACAGCCTCAATAATGGCCACTTCGTGTTCGCCAAAGTACTTGGGTTCCAGGGGTTGAATAAATCTTGGCGGCTTAATTTGCTCATCGGGCTTCTGATCTGAGACCACAACGGATCCAGATGACTTAGCTTCTCCCACCTTGTTCTTGGCCCAGACCTCATATTTGCCAGTGCGCTTGCGCGTCATGTTAATAACCTTAATTGTGGTTGTCGTCTCGGTGGTCTCTATGATGATCTCCTCATTCTCGATAACCTCACGTCCATTGCGCATCCATTTGATCTCTGGCCTGGGCAGGCCATCGTACTTGGCCTCAAATAACAATGTACCGCCAGTGGGTACAACTACTGCGTTCAGTGGAGTCACAGTGGGTGCCTTTAGTATTTCCTTGGGCACTTCATCAACGCGACTCATGATATTAGCGTTGCCAATAGCGCGACCAAATTGATTCTGAGCCTGCACGGAGTACACAACTGCCTCGTTTGGAGTGGGATTAATCACCTCCAGAGCCACATCGCCGGTCTTTTCATCGTAGAACATTTGCACGGTCTCGCTGGGGATGACTTCCTCTATACCTCTGTACCATTTAACCTGAGGATTTGGTTTGCCTGTCACTTGACAGGTTACCGTTACCTTGAGCCGCTCGGGCTGCTTCTCCTCAGTGAACTCAATCTTAAGTGGTTTGGTAAACTGTGGGGCAACTCCTTGTTCTTTTTCTGTATTCAATGTGAATAAGTGATATTTAAAAATATTGTGTGTTCTAGTGTTTTGGATGGGAAATTATATACAAAAGGTTTGGGAGGACGGGGAAAATTAATTTAAAGAGACTTATTTTTTTTTTTAGTCTCAAAAAAACATCGCAACAAATACGAAGAGATTTGATTGGATCGAAAAAAATATTATATATAGGTTAAACTTACCTAAAATTATGTTGGTACGACTTGTTGCCACTCCAGCCTCATTCTTGGCCTCACATGTGTAGACGCCGACATCGCTGGGTGTGACCTTGGCAATCTTCAGCTTGGCCACCTGCTCGACGACTGTGATCTCGTACTTCTCTGATGCGAACAGCAGGATGTCATTGAAGTACCAGTTGATTTCGGGGAAAGGAACACCCTCCACCTTGCATTCGAGCACCGTAGGCTCCTCGGGTACACACTGACGGGGACGAAGCTTCTCGGTAATCCTCGGTGGCTTGATCTCCTTTTTCTTCTTCTTGACCAACTTGCGTTCCTGACCGATCACTTCGGAGGTGGTCGTCTCCTGCTGGTTTTGTATGAGCTGCTGGTCCTCGATGAGCTCCTCATCGGCCACCTTATCGATGCCCTCCTGGATACGCTTCTGCGTAATCAGTTCCAGCTCAGGCAGCGGCTGGCTGTCGTCCAGCACCACGCGACGCTTCTCCTTCTTGATGATATTCGAGGTGACCTTCATCTCGAGATCACGTCGGACGTCCTCAACATCCAGCTCGATGAGCTGTTCAGTCGTGATGAATTGAGGTCTTGTGTCTTCAGTCTTCTTGAGTAGGGTAATAGTCTTTTGTGAGATCTCCTGGGATATTTCGTCCACCTTTTCGATTTCAGCAATTGCAGCTTCCAGCAGTTGGGGCTGTCCTTCGACAGAGGCCTGTTTAAGGCGTTTTGTGCGCTTTTTGTGTGCCTTCTGTTTAGCCTCAGGCGTCTCTTCGGTGGTCACAACTTCTTCTTCCGGCAGCACATTTTCTGAAACTGCCACCACCTTATCGTCGTCCACGGGCAGCACTTCCACTTCATCTTCCTCTGCGATAGGCTCATCAAATGGCTCGGCCACTTCTTCTGACACCTCATCCACGGAAGGTGTGGCCTTCTTCAGCTTGGGCTTCTTCTTCTTCTCCTTCTTCGCCTTAGGTTCCTTAGGCTGTTTGTCCTCGGGCAGCTGAAGGGGTTCAAGCTCAAGCTCCTCATCTTCGCTTTCTGGCTTTTCTTCAGGCACAAGTTGTGGACCTGGTATAGCCTTTTCTGGCTTCTGCGGTTCTTCTAGCGGTTTTGATGGAATCGGCTTAAGCTGAACTTCCTGTGGCTGTTCTGCGGCCAATGGACGACGTTTTCCTGTCGGCCATTGCTTTTCCTCTAAAACATCCTCAACCGGCTTCTTCTTTTCTCCTCGTTTCCACGGAAATTGTGGTTGCTCTTCCTCTGGCTTTGGCTCCTTAACGATGTCGATGTGCTCTGCCTCTTCCAGTTTGGTGGGCTCAGCATCCGGAATTTCGGGCAAATCCTCGTGTTTTGGCTTCTTGACCTTCTTGACCTTACGCTTCTCCTCTTGCACGATTTCTTGCTCTGTTTTCTCGACGTGCTGCAGGTCGACAGCCTCCAGCGTTACCTCCTCGGGTTTGATGGAGGTACGTTGAGTTGGCTTCAGGCGCACTTCCTCGATGGTCGCCTCTTCGGGAAGCTGCTTCTTTGGCCTGGTAACCCGTTTGAGGGCAACCTCTTCAACCTTTTCAATAATTTCCTGTTTCTGTGGCTTTGGCTTGGCAGGAACTTTTTGTTCTGGTGTCGTTTCTTCTTCAGGTTGTTCTTCCACAGGTTCTTCGACAGGTTGCTCCTCTTCCGGCTGTATTTCTTCCTCTTCTTCGACATCTTCGACTGGCTCTTCGATTGCCTCTTCTGTGTCAGTCTTAGTCTTGGGCTTCTTCTTCTTAACACGTTTCTTTGTCACATCGACTATTTGGTCAACAGTGGTAATGACTTGCTCCTTAACCTCAAATTCAGTCTCTGGTGTTTCGGGCTGAGTTGTTTCCGAGACGAGGGCAGTCTTCTTCAATGGCTTCAAAGAGACCTCTTCCAGTTGTTCCTTCTCGGGCAGAGGCCGTTGTTTCCTTGGAGCAGGCTTGAGCGTAACCTTTTCGACTTGCTCAACCTCCTGGGCTTGTGGAGCAGGCTTAGGCTTCTTCTGTTCTTCGGGAACAGATTCTTGAATTTCTTCAACCTCCTCGATTTGCGGCTCTTCAATTTCTTCGGGTTGCTCTTCGGCCTCATCTTCAACCTTTTTCTTAGGCTTCTTTACCTTCTTCACCTTGCGCTTCTCCTCAATAACCTCTTCCTGTTCTTCGACGACTTCTTCTTGCTGAACCTCCTCTTCCGGTTGGTCTTCCTCCACAATCTTCTTGGGCTTCTTTATCTTTTTCACCTTGCGCTTTTCTTCAACGACTTCTTCTTGTTCTTCAATAACTTCAACTTGCTCTTCTGGCACCTCCTCTTCAGGCTGTTCAAGTTCCTCGACTTCAGTCTTTTCAACAGTTGGTTTGGGCTTCTTAACCTTCTTGACCTTTTTCTTCTCTTCAACGACGGCTTGTTCTTCTTCCACAATTGTTTCCAGCTCTTCAATAACCTCTTCTTCAGGAATTTCCTCTTCTGGCTGTTCTTCCTCCATCTCAGTCTTTTCGACAATGGCCTTTGGCTTTTAACCTTTTTGACCTTGCGTTTTTCTTCAACAATTTCTTGCTGATCTTCGATTATTTCTTCTTGCTCTTCAATCACCTCTTCTTCGGGTTGTTCCTCCTCGGTTACTTGCGTAGTTGGTTTTGGCTTCTTTGTTTTCTTAACCTTACGCTTTTCATCAACGATTTCCACCTGTTCTTCAACAATTTCTTCCTGAGGCACTTCCTCTTCTTCTGGTTGATCTTCAACCACCTCTTCGGAAGGAGTTTTCGTTGGCTTCGGTTTCTTGGTCTTCTTGATTCTACGCTTTTCTTCGACAATGACCTGCTCTTCTTCCACAACTCTCTCGATTTGCGCATCGACCTCATCGGGGTGCACTTCTTCTACGGGTTCCGGTTTTTGAGCCTTCTTCTTGCCACGTTGCCATAAGACAGGCTCTGGCTTCTCCTCCACCTTTGTGTCTTCGGGCAGCACATCGACCGCTTCTTCGTAGGTCTTTGTGGGCGCCTCTTCGATCTTCTCTTCAACAACCTGTTGTGGCTGCGGCTTCTTCTTACCACGCTCCCACATAACAGGCTGTGGTTGAGGCTCCTCGGGCTTGGCTACCTCCTCCTCCAGAGTGTCCTGAGCAACCTCAAGAGTTTTGGGCGCTTCCTCAACAACTTGCTGCTCTGGCTTCTTCTTCTTGCCACGCTCCCACAAAACAGGTTGCGGTTGTGGCTCAGTTACTTTAGGTACATCCTCTTCTAAGGTATCAACAGCAACCTCGAGCGTCTTGGGAATCTCAGGAACTTGTTGCTCGGGCTGTTGGGGCTTCTTCTTGCCACGTTCCCACAGGACAGGTTGTGGTTGTTCCTGCACCTGCGGTACAGTTTCTTCAGCCAGTTCATCGGTGGCTTCTTCGTAAGTTTTCAAGGCCGTCTGTTCAACGGCTTCCTGAACGGTTCTGGTGGTCTTCAGTGGCTTCAGTTGGAATTCCTCAGCCTTTTGCACTTCTTTGGGACGTTGTCGCGGCGTTGGCTTCAAAGAAACTTGCTCCACCTTCTGTTCCGGCTCCCTTGGGGGAATCACCCGGCGAACAGCTGTCTTTTTGGTCTCCTCAACGATTTGTTGTTCAAGGATTTGGGAGCTTAGCACCACTTCCTGTGATGTGATGGACTGCTCCTGAACCACCTTCTTCTTGCCGCGCTCCCACATGACTGGCACCTGTTCGGGTTGTTGAACAGGAGTGGGTTCAACCAGCTCGTCGTGTGCCTCTTCGTATGTTTGCGGCTGAGGCTGTGGCTGTGGCTTCTTCTTTCCCCTCTCCCACATGACGGGAACCTGTTGGGGTTGTTGAACCGGCACGGGCTCCACCAGCTCGTCGTGCATTTCCTCATATGTCCTTGGCTTATCCACATATTCTTCCTGAGCAGGCGCCGGTTGGGGTTGGAAGGTTTGAGGCTGCTCCGGCTTCTTCCTACCGCGCTCCCACATGACACCTTCTTGCTGCAGCAGCTGCTGCTGTTGCGTATCCTGGCGCTCCTGCAGATGAAGCAATGAAGAGTCTTCAACCTGAACGAACTTTTGAGGCTCTCTCGGCTGACGCCAGTTAAAGGCCTCGTGCTGGGTGCTCTGATTGATCATCTTTTGGTGCTCGTATTGCTCCAGACTCATCATCTGTGAGTCTTCGACTTGGACAAACTGCTGGCGCTGAGCTTCCTCGATGAGGCTCTGCTGCTGGATCAATTTCTGTCTTTCTGTGGTCTGTGAGACTATGGTATCCTCAACTGAGGTTAGGGGCTGCAGTTGTGGTCGCTGCTGCTGTTGGCGCCAGTTGACCGCCTGTTGTTCACGTAGCAGTCTCTGGGCCTCCAGTTTCTCGCGTTCCGAGACATGCATTATATTCACATCCTCGGTGGTGATGAACTGCTGCTTGTAGAGATTGGATTGATCCTCGTACTGCTGCAGCTCATCGCGTCGCATCACCTTGGAGATCGAACCCTTTGAGCTCTCATCAATAGTCATTATGACGGTCTCATCGGCTGTTCCCATTTGGAACTCTTCGGCGATGGCCTGCTGAGCCTGCAAATGGCGCAGCTCTACTTCTTCGATCTTGAACTTGTCAATCTGCTTGGTCACCCTCTGCACACTCTTGAGCTGCTGACGCATCTCCTTCCAAGGTATACGATCCTTATTGTTTTGCTGCTGTGTAATGAGCTTCTCGATCTGGTCGGTCATCTCCATAATCTCGACACTCTCCATGCTCTTCAGTCGTTGGATCTCCTTGGTGCGCTGAACCTGCTCCACTTGGGCCTGTTGTGGCAACTGCTCGTCCGTTTCAATTTGACCCTCGAGGGGACGCAGATAGACCTCGTCCAAATCGAATTTGTTTAATTGTTGCTGCACACTCTCCACTGCCTTTAGCTTTTCACGCATTGTGATCCAAGGAACCGCCTCCTTCTCGGTCTTGCCAGCAATGATCTGCTCTAGAGTAGCGCCCAAGCTCATAATGCCCTGATCCCGTTCAGTTTTAATGGACTTGAGGACAACCGTAGCTGCCTCTAACTTGGGTGTTGGTTTCTTCTTCTCAATGGGTGTAGCCTTTAAGCTGATGGTCTCCTCGGTCCAAGACTTGACCGGCTCAGGCTTAAAGCCTGGCAGGAACACTCCCTTGTCCAGAGAGCGTCCACGATTGGGACGTGATGATTTGCGCCATGGTATGATATTGGTGGGTGGCTGCAGTGACTTGCTGCGAACTTTGGGTTTCTTATTGCGTGACCTACCCTGATGCTGAACCTGCCCGTTGACGCCCAGGAATTGACCAAACTGCTGGCCGGGTTGCTGGCCAGGTTGGAAAGCATGGGGCGACTCGGGGGCACTGTCTTCACGGCCAGATGAAGAGGACTCATCCTCGGCGGAATCAATCGTTCTCAATTGAAAGGCCGAGATGCGTCGTTCTACAAAAGGATGGATCAAGGAGGAGATTCCATTTAGTATATCCATCGAAAGGGATATAGATAGCTGAGTACATCCAGAGTTCGAAAGTGAAAGATTTTACAAATTTGTTACTTAGTTTACTTACCTTTGTTAATTGTCTAGCTCACCTTCTTTTAGTTTCTTTTCTTTATATTTATATTTTTATTTGTATTTTTATCTCAAACCTTTATATACAAATAATAGTTATTTGGTAAAACAATGAACACAACAATAATGCTCAACAAGTGCAACATTTCATGGCAATGCACAAGCAATAAATCCAAAGTTCATGTTTGGAGTTGGAAGGTCATACTTGGGACAAGGATTAGCTTTTATTTTCAATAAAACATATTTGTCAAAAGAGGGTGTTTGGATTCTCTAGAAGAAACCAAGTTGTTTATTCTCAAACCATAATTAAACAACAATTGACTCATTCTCGCTGATTTAGTGGCCACTTACCTGCTCGCCCACCCAGCGAAGCAAATCATAATTTGTGCCTGTACAAGAATTAAAAATAGTTCCTAATTCTTTGGCATCTGCGAACAATGAACTTGAATATATAAATTTAGTATAAATTTATGGCCGAACATGAAAAATAAATAAGGCTGCTTCGGACTCTAAAAGGAGGAAACCCAAAACCTTCCAATTTATAGTTATACGTTTTGTGGACCACAAATTAAATTTTTGCTTGGCTGACAGCTCATCGGCGTTGACCGTGAAAAAAGCATAAATGGGATCGGGCCCTAGGTCAGTACATATTTTTGATAATTGGCATTGATAAAAATAGGTGCGTATAGTCATTGGTCTGAGGTGGCGGTTTATCTACGATTCGTGATTCACTAATCGGGTGTGACGAGTCCACTTTGCTGATGATTTAAATTGCATTAACCTGCACCTAAATCTGGCACATTGACATGACAGCAATTGAGCAAGTCGCGTTGCATGGTGACATTCGTTTGACTTCAAATCATCATCATCATCATTGTCATCCTCATCGTCATAGCCATCGCCTTTGCCTTTAGATGTGGTTGAGGGAAAGGGAAGGGAGGGATTGTGGCCAGACAGCAAGTGTACAATTGAGAGCGAAACAATTCAAATGCCTGTGTATACATTAAGGCCGAAAATAGATATCTGATTAGTGGCGGCTACGTCACCAGGTGGGGTTGAGTTCGAGGCGGCAGTAGCAGCAGCAGCAGCACAACCCCCGGCAGATTTATGGGCGGGGTGTGTCTGTGCCGATATTTTCGGTGCCCATACAGCCATACAGGCAGCGCAGAGCGCAGTGAGGCGCACTCCAACGGCCTCAGTCGGATGTAGAGAACAGAACAGATCAGGAGGTAGACCGGGCCGGGCCACTTCCTCGGTTGGTGGACGTTGGGGAGTATACTCAATGCTCTGTCAAGTGCATCACCTACCTGTACCTTTACCTGTTCCTGTACCAGCAGCTGTCTTCAGAGTTTCTGTTGGCATTCAGATGACGGGTAGCAAGCAACAGCGGTGCAGTGACAGCGGTAGCGGCAACAAGGAGCATTTGGCAGTTATCAAAAACAAATTTCCAATTGTTATGCACTTTGCTTGGATTTATTTATAGACGCGATATTGGTTTTAAGTATTAAATACATGAGAGATACAATTAAACAACAAACGAATAAAAAAGAGAGTTTACGCGAGTGAGAGTGTGTATGTATATATAAATGGAAACAAATCAATCAAAGTTCAAAGTAATCGTAAAATGTAATCGAACACTTAAAACACACAGATCAATCGGGAATAACGTATTGAGTAAACATAAATATAAATCAAAAGACTGGCAGATATATATAATCGGAAATCGTATCTAGATACAGTAGATAAAACTTAAAACGAAAGTCGCATGAGTTTTTATGATTAATTTTTTAGTAAAGCTTCTTCTCGTCAATAAGGAGGAAGATAACATGAACTAAAGGCGGCACAAGCGGCAAAAACTTTAATCGAATTTGATTTTGTTTTTCTTTTGTACACAAAATGAATGATTGGTAGTGAACAAGAAAAAGAGAGAGATAGTGTGTATGACAAACATAATGGTAACGAAACGAATTAGTAAAAAGCGGTAATAAAAAATGAATTATAAAATCTCATGCAACATCACTACAAAATAAATAAAATTTGATTAAATTAAATTCAATATAAATAAACAATACAAGTTCATCATCATCATCATCATCATGACATATTATCATCGTCGCTACATCAACATCATCTATGGACTGTGAGGGATCATCCGGGACAAGATTCGGTTCTGAGTTATTGGTAAAAGTCTGTACACAAGGTAGTAGTATCTTAAAGCCATCCTATCGAACCCTTTCTAACATGGATTTTCTATTTCAGGCCGAAACGAGGACTATAGAGGCTAAAGCATCGCTTGGAAACAACAAGCTGACTGATATTTATAAATATAAAACTATCTGAAAACATGAATCATCATTGAGACCTGCGGCTCAATGACTGAACAGCCGTAACTGATTAATCTAATTAAATTCGTTTCTGCACCATAAACAGAATCATCAATTCATGTTCTTGCCATCTAATGACCAATCGTATGAGTTGGCCCCGACTAAGATCGGTATATATCTCTCATCTCTGATCCTGATCCGCCTTATAGACAGTCGCAGCAAGAACAACAACAACAGCTAGCAGGTAATTTATCAATGTATTTTTTTCAAGAACTAGAAAAATCCCCGTAATACACCTAAGCAAAAATATATATATATATTATTTTTTTCGGTTCTGGTGTTTTCGTTTTATTGAAAAGAAAAAAGAAAAATTGAAATAAATTTCAAGATTTACTTGAGAAAATACATAAACGCTTTTCATTGTAGCTGAAAGACAGAAAAACCAGAAATCCAGACAACACCGCCCGACTAAAAATAGCGTAACGGATTTTTTAACGCTAATCTATTGGAAATTAGTTCTCGAAAGCAAAACATTCTCCAAAAAAGAAATTGAAAATAGAACACATGTGTCTATACTCTATCTATCTATATCTGTAGGATAGGGTGGCGGGAGTGCGCGAAGAGGATTTTGCTGGCAGCTGAAAGCCCATGGCTGAATGGCTTTCGATATTTTCAGTTTGTGCTGTCTCTGGTCTCTACGGGATGCTCTAGTTTTTTGCGCACGTTCTATCTTTCATATTGGACTTTATGTAAGTTTGTGTGTGTATCTGGCAGATACAAGATACTACTCGCACCGTGCTGCTGCTGCTGCCGCCCGGCGGTGTGCTGTGTGTGCGCTAGATGTGTCATCCATAATATTTTATGCTAATATTCAAATGAAAAATAAAACTTTCACGCTCGAGCGGAGGCGGGACAAATGTGCGTTTTGCGCACGGCCCCAAAACTATCCTACTCATTTATATATTAGTCTATATACCTGTATATTATTTACGGACGGGTACTGAAAATTATTATGTATTCCTAAAGTGGCCTGCTTAGCGCGCTCGTTTTTCGAAAAATACATAGGCCGCTGCCTCTGCCACTGCCTTATTTATAACTCAACTCAAGGGGCTAAAGATCTTTCTATATATTTCTATATCTTTGAGTCATTTCCACACTTTCACTCAACTCGCTGCTGCTGAATTTTTGAAAAATTTTCACTAGCTTTTGTTGTTGCTCTTGCTTGCTGTCTTGGCCATGCCAGAAGAAGAAAAATGGTCTATAAATATTTATGTTGCAAAATACTTGTAATTGTTTTTATTATTTTTCAATTAAAATTGCTTTAATTTGTTTTTTTTTTGGTGGTTTTTTCTGGTTACGTTTTTGCGGGTTAGACATCTTTAAATTAAATAGTTTTAGGTTGCATTTCCTTTGCTGTTGCTCACATTTTGCAATATATGGTTAGTAGAAAATAACTCGTTCGTTTGATAGTTTAGAAAAAAATCCATGTTGAAAGTTTCGACAGGTTCGCTTTAAAATATTCTTCTCTCACTCAAACTTTTACGACTAGTTGATCATATATATTATAGATAGGTAGTTTGGGGCTAGTAGTAGTAACTGTTTGTAATACGTCAGTAACTCGGGGATTCGTTGCGTCAGTATTGGGTATTCTTAATGGTCGTTGTCCTTTAAGTTCTTTCTTTTTTTGTTTTGTTTTTAAGTTTTTGTTTTTTTGAGCATTCTTTGGAGTTTGTTTTGTTGATGTTGGTTGGTTGGTTGATTGGTTTTTGAACACGGTTCGCTTACGTTTGGTTTTGCATAGTTTTTCGAACTCTGGGTTTCGGTTTTGGCTTAGCTTTTAGTTTAATCCTTACTTTTAACAGTCAGTTTGGCTGAGGACTCGACCTGGCCGGTGGACGACGTCACGCGTACAGTAAAGATGCCCGAATCCTCCTCGTAGGTGGTACCAATCAGAAGCACAGCACTATTGCCATCGAAGATCATCTGCAAAGATTACCAAAGATATTCATAGTTAACTTTCGTCCCGCTAAATAGTTCCTAATTTAAGTTCTCTATCTACATTCTCAAGACCCAAATCTACTCTCAAGTTACTTTAACCCACCTGGAAATCGGGTGTCTCGGGAATCAGCTGACCCTCGCGGAACCACTGCACACTGGTGGCCTTCACCTTGCCAGTCACCGTCGTCTTGAACTGGGCGGGCATGCCCTCGGTGACGGAGACATCCTTGAGGGCGGTGATGGTAGGCGGGGCGTCCAGGTTCTCAATAGGGCGGACCTTCAGCTGGGCGCTGGTCTGGATGCTGCCCAGCTTGTTCTCGGCAACGCACTTGTAGGTGCCCTCGTCCTCGGGGAAAGCCTCTGAGATGATCAGCTGATAGTACTCGCCTTGGCGACTCATCTGGAAGTAGCGCGAAGGCTTCACAAAGTTCTCGCCGCGCATCCAGCGGGCGGTGGGAGTGGGCTTGCCGTCGACGCGGCAACGGAAGATGACCTTGCTACCCTCCTCCACCGATTGGCTCTTTAGCTGCTCCACAATATGGGGGGCCTTCTCACTGCCCGGAGTGGTGGGCTTGTCCGGCTTGCTGGGTGATTGAACAATACAATCGCCATCGCAGCGAGCCTCGCCAGCGGCATTGACAGCCACACACTCGTAACGACCAGAATCCTCAGCGAAGGGCTCGATAATGAGCAGCGTGTGCACGCCATCTTCCTCCAGCATCTTGAACTTGATGCTCGGCTGGATCTTCATGCCGTTCTTCAGCCAGTAGACGTCGAAGGGCCGGGTGCCAGTGACCTTGGCATCGAAGCGGGCCAACTGTCCGGTGGCCACGGTGGTGCTCTGAATGGTGCTAACGAAGCTAGGGGGCTGAATGCCTCCCTTGCCGGCACGACGACGTTCCTCGACCACCAGATTGGCACTACACTTGGCGGTGCCTCCTCGGTTCTCGGCCACGCAGGAGAATACTGCCGAATCTTCGACAAACACCTGGCGGATGATCAAAATCGACTTGCCACTGAAGGTGTGGATTTGCAGATCCGGCGAATTTTGAATGGGGAAGCTCTCGCGGTACCATTTAACCGTGGGATTTGGCTCTCCATCGAATTCCACCTCGAACTTGGCCTGCTCATTCTCAAAGACGCGGCAAGGCTGGATCTTCTTGGTAAAGACAGGAGCCTTGGCCGGCTTGACGGGTCCCTTAACCACGCGCTCCTGAATAGTGCCCTTATGCTCCACCTCGGTGGTCTCGGTGGCGGTGATCTTTCGTGTGATCTCAAGGTCACCCTGGATCTCCTTCTGCACCTGTTGTTGCTTATTCATGTGCACCTCACGGCCATGGACGGACGACTCGGAGGGTTCGGCGGTACCCTTTGGTGGGGCAGGCTTCACCTGAGTGGTGCTGGTCTTCTCTTGACTAAAGAGAAAAGAACGGAAGAAATTATTTGTTGTCTTTGGAGAATATTTAACAATTTCCAAGAAAATTGTGATACTTACAGATTCTCTTCGTAGGACTGGGCCATGCCCTTGGACTGTGAGCTGCTCACAACCTTCTCGCCGGGAATGGCGTACTGGTGATTATCCTTACGGAGGTTAGTCTCCTTCAGCAGTTGTTCGGTCTCCAGGACCTGCAGCTTGTTGTAATAATCCTCGCTCTTCTTGGCCTTAACGTTCTGCTGCCAGTCTGGCGTCGGTGGCTTGTACTGCTTTGGCTTCAAATGCTCGACGCCCTTCAGGGTATGGGCGCCCTGCTCGGACTGAACCTGCTTACGCTCATCGAATACCTTCTCCAGTTCGTTTTCCTGACGCTCCTTCTGATAGGCGGCTAGTTCGTAGTCGTACCAGGCTAAATATGGAGGGATTTATGGTGTTATTCATTGTTGAAACTTGTATAAGTAGACAGTTAGACTCGATTAAACTATGGTTCAATCACATGCAAATTTCAGGATGATATATAAGAATTAAAGAAGAAATAATCGTGCCATAAGATCTAAAAGTTTAGTTACAGGTAGTCGACTTAGTGGAAATTATGATTAAAATGTTAAGATTTCGGCGGTTTTTCACACAGAGGTTCACGGGCTCCTTTGGTTTCTATTTTTCTTGGGGTGGATAGCAAATGAGTATAGACAGAGAGAGAGAGGGGATCAATGATCAGCTGGATGATAACCACAGTTTAGAACAGACGTAAAGTGCACACGCAAAACTACGGTTTAACCATATTACCCCAGGTCCGGCCATACTTATGGAGTCCCTCTCCTTGGCTTCCTCTGCACGATTTCCTCTTCAGAAGTCTCTCGCGCTGACTGAAGAACTATAATTGGTTCTTTTTTTTGTGGGACTTTGGGGACTTGGGAAGCATTTTTTGTTTCTTTGGGGATTTTTGGGTAACTTTGTGCTTTGTTTTTATACTACTTGGAATGTAAACTGGGTGCTACGGCTACGTAAACTTTTGTGGCATGTTGTATGTCGGTATGTATATATTTACAATGAGTTTCTTTTTGTGATATAGCATGTGGTGTCCTTATTTAGTTTGGTCAGCTAAAGTCTACATTTGCATTTTAAAAAATTGTTAACGTTCTAATAGCTTTTGTTATATCAGTAGTAGTTTCCAGATATTTCTGGAGTGTGTTTGAGTTCAACTTACGGCGTGGAGAGTTCTTCAGAACATTACGGTAATCGTCGGAACGGGCAACCACCTTCAGCTCGGTGGTGGCAATAGATTCACCCACAGAATTGCGGGCAATTACTTCCACCTTGCCGGTATCATACTGACGTGTCTTTGGAACATCCAGATGGAACATGCCATCATTTGTCAGCTTGTAGCGAGAGCCCTAAAACATACATTTCTTAGCAGGTAGATCTTTGAATTTTAATTCTTTATGGACTTACATGCACAACAGTGTGACCATTGATCAACCACATCACCCTGGGACGTGGATGTCCAGTTACACGGACACAGAAGCGGGCTGGATCGCCCTCCTCCACAACCTGGGGCTCCAGTTTACTCACAAAGACCGGCTTGGTTCTGGGCTTGGCATCGGGATCAACCTCCTCGGGTACCCTGTAATCAGGAGATATGCAAATAATAATCAAACGAAAATAAAATAGGTTCTTTCTGATACTTACACTTGCCATGAGGCTTCCATTTCGCGGATGCGGTCAATGCTCTGCATGTGAGCGGGCAGCTGTGAATCGTAGACAATACCAGGCTTTCCAGAAACCTTGATAATGGCACGAGTCTCATCCATGCCATACAAGTTGGTGGCACGGCAAACATACTCTCCGCTGTCCTCGGGATAAACCCAACCGAAGTTCATGGCCACATAACCGAAATCGTAGATAGGCTGGAAACGGTTCTCTGCAGGAACAAAAACTCGTTAAAGAACTTAATTTTTCTAAGAAACAAGTTAACAAACTTACTGTACAGCAGGGGCTTGCCGTTGAAGAACCACTCAACCTTCATGTTGGGATCACCCACAGGGGCCAGCTGGCACTCGAACTTGGTCACGGCCATCTCGGTAAGAGTGAGCTGTTCCTTAATCTGGGTAACAAAGCGAGGAGGCTGCTTGCGATCGGGATCGAACAGATCGTCTTCGGTTAAATGGACCTCGGAGGTGTACTTCTTGATGGTGGCCTCCATTTGGGTCAGAGTCTCCGAACGCTTCATGCCGCGAGGCACTTGGTTCTGCAGCAAGATGGTGGGAAGTTCTAAACAAAAAAGGATTTTATAAGAAAATATTGAAGTAGAAATGTTAAATATAACTTACTCTTGCAAGAGACAGTGGCCTTGGTGCGATCTTCGCCGTGGTTGTTAATAGCTCGGCAAACATATTCACCAGAGTCCTCTCCATACACATAGAGAATATCCAGAGACACAAAGCCCATGTCGAAAATGTTTCTGTAACGATGTCCAGAGGGCAGTGGCTTGCCATTGCGATACCATTCCACACGCAGGCTGGGATCCGTCTTCGGCTCCACCTGGCATTCAAATCGAACGGCCTCAGCTTCATCCACGGTAACGGAAGTGATTTGCGTGGTGAATTTCGGTGGTCCGAACTCCTGTTCAACCACCTTCGGGGCCTCTGGGATACGTCCACGCTCCAGTTCCTTCAACTTTTCAGAGGTCATGCCCTCGGGCAGTTGAGATTCGTACACAATATTGTGTTTGCCCTTGCAGGTAACCTTGGCGGTTGTGGTGGCAGTGCCCCACTTGTTAGTCGCCCGACAAGTATATTCTCCCGAATCCCTGGCATAGATGTAATCCACATCCAAGGCAATAAAACCAAAGTCGTTAAGCTGGTGAACCCTGGAACCAGTGGCCATAACGCGGCCATTGTAGAACCATTCAATACGCATGCTCGGATCGCCAACAGGCTCGACACGGCAATCAAAGTGAATTGGACCTCCCTCGGGCACATCCAAATTGTCCTTGATATCCTCGGTAAATTTGGGTGGGTTGGGCTGCTCCTCATCGATCACAATCTCCTCGCGCTTGTGCATGCTCTCCTCCAGCTTCTGCAGGCTCTCAGTGCCAGTGCGGAAGTTGGAAGGCAGCTGGGGCTCCATAACGATGCCCTGGCGACCCTTAACCTGCAACTTGCAGGAGACTGTAGCCTCGCCGTGCTTATTGGTAGCCTTGCAAGTGTACAGTCCCGTGTCGCGCTGATAGCAACCGGCAATCTCAAGGATTACGAAACCGAAGTCATTGATGGTCTTAATGCGGGAGCCAGCCCACAAGGCCTTGCCATTGTGGAACCAATCCACACGCATCGATGGGTCGTTGATTGGCTGCAGGCGGCACTCAAAGTGGGCCAACGAATTCTCAGTGATTACCATGTCGAAGGGTGTGGTGATGAACTCTGGCGGCTTGCCAGTATCATCGTCAGGGACGAATTCGGTGCTGCGGGAGCCCAATCCCTCCAGTTCGGCAATGCGGTCGATGGTTCCTTCCATGCCCTTTGGCAGTTGCGATTCCATAATGATGCTGCGCTTGCCCTGAATCTTCATGGTGGCAGTAGTCACAGCCTCACCATACTCGTTAATAGCACGGCAAGAGTATTCGCCGGAATCTTCGGGATACACGGGAGAGATTTCCAGAATAACGAATCCAAAGTCGCAGAAAGTGCGGAACCGAGAGCCGGCCTTCAATGGGCGTCCGTTCCAGTACCATTCGACCTTCAGTTTGGGATCATCAGTTGGCGTAATTCTAGCCTCAAAGTGGGCATTCTCGCCCTCGCGCAGATTCTCAATGTTCTCCAGCGGCACAGTGAAGACGGGAGCCTTGCCCTTGGTCTCCTCGGTGGTCTCGTCGCGAGTACGCACCATGCTGTACTCTAGATTAGCGATCTTCTCCAGACCACCCTCCATGCCTCGCGGCAGCTGGGAGTCCAGAATGAGGCTAGCCTTGGAGGCGCACTTGAGTGAAGCACGGGTCACATCCTCACCATACTTATTGTAAGCCCTGCACTCGTACACTCCGGAATTCTCCTCATAACAGTAGAGAATATCCAGAATAACAATGCCAAAGTCGTGGAAAGTGCGGAAACGGTGACCATGTGGCAGTTTCTTGCCATTAAAGTACCATTCCACAACCAAGTCTGGATCGGTGATGGGCGTCAAGCGAGCCTCAAAGTGAGCAGACTGTCCTTCCACCAGCTTGGTGACATCGCTGATCTGGGTGATGAACTTGGGTGGTTCAGCAACCACAGGAGCCGAGGTGTCGGCCTGCTGTCCTTGTGGGCACTCTAGTTCCCTGATCCTCTGCAGCGAATCCGGCTGCAAGCTGTCGTAGAAAACGCCACCGCGACCGCCGCAGTTGAGGGTGGTGCGGGTGAAGTCCTCTCCGTACTTGTTCCACGCCCTGCACACGTACTCACCGCTGTCGTGATCCTGCAGATAGGCAATGTCCAACACGACATAGCCAAAGTCGGACACGGTCTTAATGCGGTTGGAGTGACGCATGAGCTTGCCATTGTGGTACCATTCGACCTTCAGTTCGGGATCGTTGACAGGGATCAAAGTGCACTCAAAGTGAGCGGATTGACCATCCTTCAGGCCTTGCAGCGGCTGGATGTGGGAGGTGAAGCGCGGCTTCTGGCCCCTTGGCTTGTCCACACACTCCAGGTTGCAGCTGATCTCGGCAGTTCCATGCTTGTTGGTGGCACGGCAAGTGTAGGTGCCGGTATCCTCAATCTTCGTTCCGAGGACCTCGAGAGCCACAGTGCCAAAGGCGTAGATGGTGCGAACACGATGGCTGGCTTCCAGCACCTTGCCGTTATAGAACCACTCGATGACCATGCTCTGATCACCCACTGGGATGAGATTGGCCTCAAAGTGGGCCAGTTCACCCTCACCAATGTCGGCGATGTTAACGAATTCGGTGGTGAAGCGTGGTGGAATTCCCAGATCTGGTTGCTCCGGCTTAGAGCCGTCCTTGCGCAGAGAATCCTCCAGGTCCTGGATCTGCTCCAAGCCTTCAGCTCCCTTCGGGTGCTGTGTGGAGTCGATGATATTTGACTTGTCCGAACAGAAGATGGTGGTGGAGGTGAAGGCTTCACCGGCCTTATTGTAAGCCTTGCACGTGTAAATACCCTGGTCGCGGGCATACACTTCGATCATATCCATAGTCACAAATCCAAACTCGCTGGTCATCTTGAAACGAGAACCATGCTGAAGCATCTTGCCGTTAAAGTACCACTCGATGAACAAGTTCGGATCCTCCTTGGGCTCCACATTGGCCTCCAAATGGATCGGTTGAGCCTCCGACAGATGGAACTCAGCCTGCAGAGGCTTGGTCCATACTGGTGGTGGGTACTGCGTCTCCGGCTTGGCCGACTTGTTGGCATATCGGTTGGCCAGAGCCTCTTCGGTTTCTTGAACGGCCTCCAGGCCAGTCTCACCCTGCGGGTGCTGGGTATCCAGGAACATGGTCTTGCCACCAGTGCACTTAAGAGTACCCGAGGTGGTGGCCGAACCCTTGCTGTTAGTGGCCTTGCAGGTGTAAACACCGCTATTCTCAGCATATGAGTTGGTCAGATCCAAAGCGCAATAGCCGAAATCGTAGATAGACTTGAATTTGGCGGCAGCTTGCAGAGGCTGTCCATTGTAGAACCACTCGATGGACATGGTCGGATCACGAGCCGGTTCCACGTTGCATTCGAAGCGCACATTGTCGCCCTCCTTACACTCAATGTTGTTAAGATGAGTGATGAACACGGGTGTCTCATAAGTCGGCTCAGGAGCCTCTGGACGTCCCTCCTTGGGCGCCTCCAGTTCTCCGATGCGAGGAAGCGAATCCGGATGCAGGGACTCGGCCTGAAGCCAATGACGATCCTCGATCTTGAGCGAGGAGGTCGAGACAGCTTCGCCGACCTGGTTGGTGGCCTTGCAAGTGTAAATTGCAGAGTCATCCGCACGCAATCCATTGACAGACAGCGTAACTAAACCGAAATCGAAGGTGCTGCGGATGCGGGAGCCAGTGGTCAGGGAAATACCATTCTTGAACCATTCGATGCGAAGGTTAGGATCCGCACGCGGCTCCACCTGAGCTTCCAAGAGCACATGTTGACCCTCATGGAGCTTGTCGTAGCTCTGCAGGTGGGTGGTGAACACCGGGGCCTGTTGTGGAGTCGAGTCCACAAACATCTCGGGAACACGGTTCATGGCAGCCTCCTTCAGGCGAATAGCCTCCCAGGACTCTGGGATCAAAGGTTGGCCATCGATGTTCGCCCTCGTCTTCACCTTCATGGCAGTGGAGGATACAGCCTCACCGGCGGCATTGTAGGCACGGCACATGTAGACGCCGGCATCCTCTGGCACCACAGCAGCAATGTCCAAGGTAACGAATCCAAAGTCATGGGTGGTGCGCAGACGGGAGCCCATCTGCAGCTCCACGCCGTTGATGAACCATTCGAACTTGAGTGTCGGATCACCCACAGGCACCACACGGGCCTCAAAGTGGGCATGAGCGCCCTCCCAAAGCTCCGAAGGTCCAGTAAGCAGTTGAGTGAAGATGGGCTTTTCAAACAGACGCTCTGGTTCGCTGGGACGCGGAGCCACTGGCTTCTCGAGCTGATGAATGCGACTGATGCTGTCCGGATGCTGGGTATCCATTTGAATGCTAGCCTCAGACACCACACGCATGGAAGCGGTGGTCACAGCCTCACCCAGAGGATTGACAGCGCGGCACATGTACACGCCCTCATCCTCCTTGCGGATGTGCGAAATATCCAGCGAGACGTAGCCAAAGTCGTGCTGCTTGGTGATACGAGAACTATCTTCGATGAGTTTCTCATTGCGGTACCATTCCACCTTAAGGTTGGGATCTCCCACGGGAATTAGGCGGGCCTCGAAGTGAGCCGTCTGGTGCTCATTGATCCTGTCGATGTTCTGCAAAGGCTGAGTAAACACCGGGCGCTGACGAGTGCCTGGGGTTTCGGGCTCCTGGCGCTGATGCGGCGCCGTAGACTCCAGTTTGCGGATCTTCTCCAGACCCTCGGGATGCTGGGTGTCCGAAATGATGGTGCCACGAGGAATAACCCTCAAGTTGGTGGACGACACAGCCTGGCCCAAGGCGTTCACAGCACGCACGGAATACTCTCCGGCATCCTCGGCCACGGCATGGGTGATGTCCAAGGACACGTAACCAAAGTCAAAGGTGATGTGGAAGCGAGAAGCCGAGGGCAAGGGCTTGCCATTATGGTAGAATTCAATGCGCAAGTTAGGATCGTGAACTGGAGCAACCTGAGCCTCAAAGTGAGCAGTCTGGCCCTCATAGATCTCAGTGGAGCCGCGCAGCTCAGCGGTGAAGTGAGGCGGACTGATCGGGTGCTCTCCAACCTCGGTGCGAGCGTTCACCACCTTGGATTCCAGCTTCTGGATCTTCTCAAGAGCATCAGGATGCTGGGTATCCAGAATCATGCTGCGGCGGTTCAGCACGCGCACATTGCACGTGTTGACAGCCTCGCCCAGCTGGTTGGTGGCCTTGCAGATGTAGGTGCCGGTATCCTCGCCATAGACGTACAGGATGTCCAGGGCGACGTAGCCAAAGTCGTGGGTGGTGCGGAACCGATGACCAGTGGGCAGCTGCTTACCGTTGCAGAACCATTCGATCTTCAGGTTCGGGTCGTTAATGGGTTCCACTCGGCACTCCAAGTGGGCATGCTCGCCCTCCTTCAAGTGCTCCAGGTTGCTCAGCGGGGTGAGGAAAATGGGCTTCTGGCCCTTCTCCTCCACCACGGCCTTAGTGGGTGGCGCATAACTCTCCAACTGGCGAATCTTCTCCAAGCGCTGAGCATCCAAGGTGTCCAGGTCGAGTGTCTTGTTTGCTGTTAATTAGAATATGGGTTAATAAAGGAATAAGGATTAGGTAAAAATTAAGTAATTACCTGTTACGTTTACAGCACAAGTCGTGACAGCTTCTCCAACGGCGTTCTTGGCCTTGCACATGTAGGTGCCGGTATCCTCGGCATGGGCATACAGAATATCCAATGCCACGAAGCCAAAGTCGTAGGTGGTCTTAAAGCGGTGACCCGTTTGGATGGGCGTGCCGTTGCAGTACCACTCCACCTTCATGGTGGGATCATTCACTGGGATCAACGTGGCTTCCAGATGGACGGGAGTGCCCTCGTTGACCTTGGCATTACGCAGGGGGCGTCCGAACTGCGGGCGCTCTGCGTGGAACTGCTCCTCGTCGGTCTTCCTCTGGAAGCGTGACGCATCTTCCAAATGCTGGATCTTGGTCAGAGCCTCCTCGTGCTGGGTCTCATGGATAATGCCCGAGCGGGAGGTAACATTCAGGACAATCGAGTTTACGGCCTGACCCAGATTGTTGGTCACGCGGCAAGTGTACTCGCCGCTGTCCTCTGCATAAACAGTCAGGATGTCCAAGGCGGCGAATCCAAAGTCATAGGTCGTACGGAAACGATGACCAGTGCTCAGGGGCTTGCCGTTGTGGAACCATTCCACCTTGAGGTTAGGATCTGGATAGGGTTCAATACGGCACTCGTAGTGAGCGCTCTGGCCCTCAACCAGGTTGCTAGGTCCAATCAACTTGGTAACAAACACGGGAGCGGTGGTAACCGTGTATTCCTCCTCCTCCCTGCGCTGGTACTTGCTATGATCCTCCAGCTGGTGAATCTTGTGCATGGCAGCCTCGTGCTGGGTCTCCAGCTGAATAGCAGTCTTCGATTGCACAATTAGCGAAGCGGAGGTGACCGCCTGACCCAGCTCGTTGACAGCCCGGCAGGTGTAGGTGCCAGAGTCCTCTGGGTTCACATACTTCATGTTGAGGGCCACGTAGCCGAAGTCATGCATGGTGGTGGTGCGGTTAGAGGCCTCGATGGGCTGACCGTTGCGCAGCCACTCTACCTTCAGATTGGGATCTCCCACTGGGATCAGGCGAGCCTCAAAGTGCACCGCCTGGTTCTCGGCCACACGGACATCCCTCACCGGCATGGTGAAGACGGGAGCCTGGGACACAAACTCATCCTGGACGCTGATACGCTGGCGCTTGGAGCCATCCTCCAGGTGCTGCAGGCGTGGCAGAGCGGTCTCATGCTGCGATTCCAGGTAGATGGACTTCTTGGTGTGCACAACAGCCACGGCAGAGGTGATGGCTTCACCTACGGCATTGAAGGCACGGCAGGTGTAGGTGCCGGCATCTTCGGGCAATGTGGACATGATGTCCAAGGCTACAAAGCCAAAGTTGTTGGTCTCGGTGAAACGGGAACCAGACTTCAGTGGCAGATTATTGTGGTACCACTCCACGCGCATGGATGGATCGGAGACGGGAATCAGGCGGCACTCAAAGTGAGCCCTCTGGTTCTCCTTGATCTCAATGTTTTTCAGGGAAGTGGTGAACACTGGAGCCTGCTTGGTGCTCTCGTCGATTTCCTCGCGGCGGCTGTAGCGGGATCGATCCTCCAGATAGTGGATCTGCTCCAAGCCAGCCTCGTTCTGGGTGACAGTGACAATCTGCTCACCGCTGCGGCACTGCAGTTCCACCTGAGTTTCATCCGAACCGATCAGGTTAACAGCCCGGCAAGTGTAAACTCCAGAATCCTCGGCAATCAGCTGAACAATGTCCAGGGCCACATAACCAAAGTCATGGATGGGACGGAAACGATGGCCCACAGTGATTGGGCGACCGTTCTTGAACCACTCTACCTTCAGATTGGGATCCGTCACGGGCTCAATTTTGCACTCAAAGTGGGCGTGACCACCCTCACGCGTGTTGGTCAGGCTCTTCGGGTGGGTAAGGAAACGCGGACGAATGTTGACCACCTCGTCGACGAACTCGTTGCGACGATAACGCGACGAGTCCTCCAGATACTGGATCTTCTGCAATCCAGATTCGTTCTGCGTCTCCAAGATAAGATCGTTTTTGGCGATAATGCGCACGGAACAAGAGGTAACAGCCTCTCCCAGCTGATTCCTAGCCTGGCAGGTGTAGACACCCGAATCGATGGCATAGCAACCAAGCAGATCCAGGGCCACGTAATCGAACTCATAGGCGGGACGGAAACGATGGCCTGTCTTCACTGGCTTACCGTTCACGAACCACTCGATGCGCATGCTAGGATCACCCACGGGCTGCAGACGGCACTCCAGGTGCACATTGGTACCCTCAACCGTCTCAATGTTGTGCAGGGCCCTGGCGAACTGAGGTGCCTGCATGACGGTAATATCCTCCTCCTGGTGATGGCGACGACGCGAGTCCTCCAGCAGCTGGATCTGCTCCAGCGATTGCTCATTCTGGGTCTCGGTCACCACATCCGTGTGATCGATCACACGCACACAGGCGGAAGTGTGGGCCGAACCCAAGTGGTTGGTGGCTCTCACTGTGTACTCTCCGGAATCGGCGGCCGTGGCCTTGATGATGTCCAGAGCCACAAAACCAAAGTCATAGTAGGTGCGGAAGCGGGAACCCACAGTTACGGGGCGACCGTTGTGGAACCACTCGACGCGCATGGTGGGATCACCCATTGGCTCCAGACGGCACTCCAGATGGATATTCTTGCCATCATGGATGGGCTTTGGATCGGTCAGAGGTTGGACGAACACCGGCTTGGACTTGGAGATCTCCTCAATGTCATATTGCGGCTCGACGAACTGCTTGTTCTCCAGATTCTGGGTCTTCTCGTACAGACCGCGGTGCATGCTAGATGTGTCGATACTGGAACGAGCTGCGAGAGAATAATTAGTAAATAATTAATGCTGTATAAGATCATAGTTCTTATAATTCTACTTACTTTCCACTATCATCGTTGCTTGCTGCTGAGCTTCACCTAGCTTGTTCCTCGCCACCACAAGGTAGACGCCAGCATCTTCGGCGCGCACCTGCGAGATATCGAGGGCGACGTAGCCAAAGTCATAGTAGGTCTGGATGCGATTGGCTGCGGTGATGGAACGACCGTTGTGGTACCACTCGATCTGCAGACCAAGATCACTCTGGGGTTCCACGCGGGCCTCGAAATGGGCACGCTGTCCTTCGAGGATCTTGGTGGTACCCTTCAGGGGACCCAGGAAGCGCGGAGCCTGGGTGACATAGGTCTCCTCCTCCTCGCGACGACCGTAGCGGGATGAGTCTTCCAGATGTTGAATCTTCTGCAGACCACCTGGATGCTGCGACTCGGACACAATCTCGTTCTTGGAGATAACCGTCAGCTGGGCCACGGTAGTGTCCTGTCCCATTGCATTGTAGGCACGGCAAGTGTAGGTGCCGGCATCATAGATGGTCAGCTGCTTGATGGTCAGAGCCACATATCCAAAGTTGTGGTACGTGGTGATCCTGGAACTGGCCTCCAGGGGTTGTCCATCCTTCAGCCACTCGACACGCATGGTGGAATCATTGATGGGTTCCAGACGCGCCTCAAAGTGCGCATGCGCGTGCTCGCGCAGATCCAATTGGTTTTGGATCGGTGTCTTAAATTGAGGCGGAGCAATAGCTTCGGGCGCCTCCTGGACATGACGACGCTGCTGGGACTTACGGTAGTCCTCCAGCTCCTCCACCTTCTCGATATACCGCTGCTGCTCGGGAATACCCAGGTCAGCAGTGACCTGAGAACGCGAGTGAACACGAATCGATGATTGGCTGATGGCCTCGCCAATACGGTTCACCGCACGCACGGTATAAGTGCCTGCATCCTCAGCCCTGAGGTGCAAAATGTTCAGGGAGACGTAGCCAAAGTTAAAAATGGCGGTGATGCGGGAACTGGCTGTAATGGGCAGGCCATCCTTGTACCACTCCACGCGCATGGAGGGATCATTTACGGGCGTAACTTGCGCCTCAAAGTGCACATTCTTGCCCTCCTCGAACTCGCCGAGATCGCGGAGCGGGCGAATGAACTGCGGTGCCTGGTTAATTTGCTCCTCCGAGCTCTCCTGGCGCTGGTAGCGCGAGTAATCCTCAACCTGGTTAATGTACTGCAAGCTATTCGGGTTTTGTGATGATTGCTCAATGGAGGGACGCTGCACCACGGAGAGAATGGCACGGGATTCGGCCACTCCGCTGGCATTGCTCACACGGCACATGTATTCGCCGGAATCATGGCCCATGATGCTCAGCAGATCCAGGGCAATAAAGCCAAACTTGAAGACGGACGTGGCGCGGGCACCTGCGTGAATAGATGGGATATTATAAATTATGCTTTCTCTGAAAGGAGTCTGAGTAACTTACTGGCTGCCAGAGGGCGTCCATTAAGGAACCACTCAACCACCATGGTAGGGTCGCCAACGGGCTCGATGCGTGCCTCCATGTGGACACGTCCACCCTCGGTTTGCTGCACATTCTGCAGCGGGATAATGAACTGCGGTGGCGGATACACGCGGTCTTCCTCGCCAGGGCGAAGATGGGGCTTGGCGCGCTCTACATGGCGCAGATAAATGATTTCAGGGCCAGGAATGGGTCTGCAAGGCACAGAAATGATTAAACTTAAAACTTAATTATAAAATGTACCAAACTCACTCTGGCTCGATGACTTTCGTTGGTCTCGGGAGATTGAGACGACGCTGCTCGTAGCTTGGCTCCTCCCTGGGCACTTCGACATAAAGTCGGGCCCTATTGGCCGTCGATCCGGCAATATTCTGGGCGGTGCACTGGTACCAACCCGCATCGGTGGCCTTGACGCGTGGAATCTCCAGGCAAGTGGCGCCGCCGTCGATGCCCACGAAGCGCTCGGCGGTAGACGAGATCTGGACGCCGTCCTTTTGCCAGGTGATGCGTGGCTGAGGTGTGCCAATGGCATTGGCACTCATCGTGATGGGCTCACCCTCACGCACAGTCATGGTGCTAAAGCGTTGAACAAATTGTGGTGCGACAACCTGCTCCTTCTCCAGCACATTCAAATGCGCCTCGATGGCCACCTCACCGGCCTTGTTGCGGGCCAGACACTGGACAGCGCCGGAATCCAGACGAGTCACATTGGTGATCATCAGCGAATGGCTTCCGGACTCATTGACCAGGATCTTATGGGAGGCATCGTCACGAACCTGGCGTCCGTTGATTAACCAAAAGACCTCGGGATAGGGATTGCCAGTCACACGGCAGTCGAACCTGGTCATACGACCCTCGGTCACCTCGCGGTCTCCGAAAGCCTTCACGAAGGCAGGGGGCAATGCCTTGCCCGCCTCCAGTTGCTCGGCCATCATGTCCACGGGCTTGGGCTCGTAGGCAGTCTCAGCGGCCGGTTCCACGGCCAACACGGCGGATGAAACCACACAGCCCTGCAGATTCTCGGCGAGCAGGGTGTAATGACCGCCGTCGCGAGCCGTGGCGTTCTTCACACGCAGAGTGGCCACTCCGCTGGAGTAGGAGATCTCGTACTTCTGCGAGGCCACCAGGCGCTGGCCATTATGGAACCAGGTGAGCCGGGGCTTCGGGTTAGAACCGACACGAGCCGTAAAGACGGCATCGGAGCCCTCGATCAGCTTGGAGCTGCGCGGCTTCTGCGAGATCTGCGGTGCCTGCGCCGGACCCTGGCTACGGTCCAGCTCCTGCGAGAGTTGCGAGTCCTGCTCATAGCCGGAACGACGGGTAATGGCCTCACGGAAGGAGACCTCACGCAGCAGCCGGTACTCGAAGGTATCCACGCGGAACTCCTCCTCGATGGACGTGTACGAATACCCATTGGAGTAGATGTTCTTCTCCAGATTCTGGATGGGCTGCAGGGCGGGCATTGGTGCGCCCTCCGGCTGGATGTAGACGCTGCAGATGGCCTCGCCGTACTGGTTGCGTGCCGTGCACGTATACTCGCCCTCGTCCCCGGGTCCGATCTGGTTGATCAGCAGGGACACATCGCCGGTGGCCTCATTGTAGCTCATCCGGAACTTCTGCGACTCGAGAAGGGGTGCGCCTTTCCGGGTCCAGGTCACGAATGGCTTCGGGTTGCCACGCAGGCGTCCCTCGAACAGGGCATTGCCGCCCTGGGCGAAGCGAGCATTCTTGAAGATCTGCTCGAACACGGGCGGCGATATGTCACCCTGGGCGTACACGTGTGTCAGCGCCGGGGGCACATAGGCGCCACCGATGTTGCCACCATGGAGTTGTTGCACTGTAAATTCAAATTGGTTGAAAATTGTCGTTAGGATCATTATGTTGTGAAAGTGATGAAAGCGGAAATGAAGATGAATGTGGAATAATAATTCCTTTAATATTTGGGAAACTAGAAATTAAAATTGGCCGAATTGTTTAATAAATGAAATAGTAAATCATTGCATTACTTTCTAAGTTTATTATTTCTCACTTACTGACTTTGGGAGTCAACGAAAAAGGTGCATTTAATTATAACTGAACCAAAAGTAGTTCTTATTTATATAAACTCATTTTAAAAAATAAAAAAAGGTAGTCCCAATACTAAACGTATTGTATTTATTAATATAAATAAATTAAGGTTTTATTGAATTATAAATTTGTATTCAATAATACCATAAGTAATTAAAATCGTATGCATCACGTTTGACAGAATACTCCAGGCTACTAGTGATTCTGTTGAAATTTCCAGAACAAATTATTAAAAATAATTTAATTTAATTCTCATACTTAAATGTATTTCTAATTGTCGATAAATTCCTCTAAACTATACCTTAAACACCAAGGTTCTTTGTTTACATTTTGTGTCACACTTCTATTTATCTTCAAGTTTCTATTTATATTTATCTAAACTCAAATAAACTTAATTTAAAATAGATCAAAACCTTGTGAGTCAACCCTTGAACCTTGACTAAAAATTGTTTTATCATTGATTAGTATTTTTAGTTGGCACGCTTACCAAACTATTTATAGTTTGTAATCTTCTGAGAGTAAACACCTCTAGAGATCTATATCTATATTCGCATCTGTATACCTGGCGTATACGTAATATAGGCGTTTGTTTATCAATTGAATCGCCAGAAGTGTGTCATTAACGTAACGTACATATAGGTTGTCGACTTCCGAGGCACAGCTGATCGGAAGATAAACAAATATGTAAATCAGCTGATCACTTTTCTCTGTTTGCTTTCTTTTATTCTCTGCCTCTTTCTTTCTGAGCTCTCTCTATGTTTTCTCTCACGCATGCTTGTTAGCTTCGTGTCTTTATCTTCGGGTGATCCTCTTCGGGTTTTGGTATAAGAGAATTCCCATCACATTCTCTCATCTCTCAGCTAGGAGAAATGTAAACAAAGTGCAGGGCACCAGAACTCTTATACGGATTATATATAGTACGTTCTGCGTATAAGTATGTCAGTGCAGTCGTGGGAGATGAATAGATAAACTTATAAATAGACCAACTTTTTGGCTGTGCTCATCAATTAAGATTTAAATGATGAAACATAAGTTGACACATGAATATATATAGTATTTTTATGTTTGCTGCTGCGGGACGAATTTATTTTTGATTTTTGAATTTTTAATGGTGACACATGTGCGCCGACACATCATCATCAGCCAGAAAATAATAAAAACTAATGTGTATAATTATGTGAATAATCCTCTTTTGATATTTAATTTTCCGCCATATTTATATTTATCTGTTAGGTTGATTCTGATATATTTATTAAGAGGTATAAAACAGATTTCCCGTGAATTATGATCCGAAAGCTAAAAACGGGTATATTTCATTCGCAACAAAGGATTTTGATTATTCCTCTTCCTTGTTATTCTTATTATTGTTCCTGTTATTGTTTAAAAGCTGATTTCTGGTAAGCTCAATGTCAAATTCGACAGATATTATTTGTTTTTCTTATTTATAAATGTGAATCCTTCAATTATAGAACAAACATGGAAGAGTAGATAAATCCTATTCTTCATTGAAGTCAATTAATTAATATATTTGTTTATAGTGAAAAAAATCTTTTCAAGGCTAGACAAAGTTTACATGATCGTTGATTTGGAAATAAACTGACTTTGGGAAACTATAAAGTAACAAATGTGATTCGGAAGTTTACTTTAAAAAAGAACTAATAATATTTGTTTATATAGACAACTTGTAAACGTGAAGGTACCCACAGATGATAGCTTGATTTAAAGAAAGGGAACTTAATCACTCAAGGGAGTTCTTAATTACTATAAATCTGGCAGAAGTACTTCTTACAGTTCTTAGTAATATTATGAAGCTGTTCTATTAAAAACATCTGCCAAGAAACTTAAAAAGTCTTGTTACTAGTTTTATGGATTTTATCCTAAATGGTGTAAATTCAATCTGACAATTGCTACATATAGGAATATAACATTCAATATTCTAGAAATCTATAGTTATTTACATTTAAATTTATTAAGATTCTTATTTATTTTTCTTGTTAAAAATTATAGAGTTTGGGGACCTATTTAAGCCAAGTCTGATTATTGTTCTCATTTTAATGCTTAAACTTATAATAACTGATAATAATTTGCCCAAAAGAAGTGAAACAGGAATCTAGATAAATCTAGGAGACAATAGAGTTATGGAATGTTTCTAAACCAACACCTCTAAACAGACACGTTAAATATCAGACAGACGTTATCTTATGTTTTTTTTATGATAATACGAAATATCTTTTACGTTTAGTTTTAGCCAATCATTTGACCTTATCTAAAGTAACTTTCCATGCAGATAAAGCATTCAAGAGTTCAAATGTTTTCTTTTCATTCAATACTTTACTGATAATAAAATTCTGTATTTTTTATGCCAGAAAGTTTTGACTAAAATGTTCATAATCAACGAAAACTTATCCAAGGCTAATAAAAAGTCACAGTTACTTCTTTTATTTATTTTCCAAGGCTAAGAAAAAATTCTTTCAATTTTGTGCTTTTCCCAACTATGATTCAGGCAAGTAATGATTTCAAGGCCACATATTTTTTTTATGAAACGACAAGCAACGGAATGATGAAAAGCATTATCCTGGATCCTTCGGCAATTCAGCGGGAATTGCTTGGGGACAGTGGGGATTCTAAATCCACGGTGCGAACCCCACCGAGCCCCGGGCAAACTTCCCCTGAGATTTGACGAGGAAGCAAATGACTAAGGACGTGGACGTGGCTTTGGCTGTGGCTTGGACAGAGAACGAGGACGATGACTGACCTTGCCGTTGGGTGGTAATTTGGCTGCGCTGGACGTGCTGCTCGGTGCGGCTAATCCTTTGCTGCTGGTGCTGCTCCTGGCTAGAGTGCGAGTACTCCTGCGTGGAGTACTGCTGCACCTGCTGCTGCTGCTGCTGCTGTTGTTGCTGCTGCTGGTACGGGTTCGGATTTTGTCGTTGCATTTTGATGCGTTATATATCACTATATATCATTTAAAATGACAACCAAATCGCTGCAGAATGAACTGCACTGTAGAATTGAACACCTCGCGATCACTCTTTCTTTGATTTGCTTCTTCACTTGATATACTTCTATATATATTTATATATCTCTCTCTTTGGTCGCTTCTTTAAATCGCTGAAATTAAATACACAGGGGCAAAAGCAGGGGATAGAAGATACGAGAATTCGCATTAATTTTTATGCATTTTCACAATTTGAAATTGAACACACACATATTATCACAATAATTTTGGGTTTTGGCAAACATTTGTGGTTTTTCTCTGACGGTTTTAGTGATATTATTCAACTTGATTTACTTTCATGTTTGGCTGTCACAAATATTTTGTTTTATCGCTCACTGGCTGCGCTGACACACTTTGAATTTTCTTTTTCGATGCTATGGTTTTTAGATATAAATCAGACGAGATCGGCGATCTGAGCTGATGATCATTATCAGCCATCCTTCTTCATATATTCATTTTCATATTCTTTGCCTGCGAGAGAGGCATTTTTCAACTATTTTTAGCCTCGAAAAAATATATTTCACTGCGACACACCGACGATGATACGCACTCACACTACACACACTCTCCTCACACACACACACACACACACACACACACTCTCTCAAACACACAGTCGGTGGTAGCTTCTTATTTTTCACGGTGCTATTAATAAACTTTATTTTCTGGTTTTCTCCTATAGGAAAACCTTCTTGCAGGCAAACCCAACGATATTCACAATTTTCGGGTCACTTCTTAAGCTTTTTAGCGTGTAATCCTTGCAAGGATCAGCGGCAGCCAGGATAATGCACATTCACTAGATATATGCAGGCTCTAGCATATATATCTATATGTATATATAGATTGCTCGATCGATATCTGTTTGCACACGATTTCACAGTCCATTCGGTGAATTGGGTGCGGACCCACGAAGAACCGATCCCATCGGATCCGAATCCGAATCCGAAACGAAGCACCCGATCGGTGGTTATATTTTTAGATATTTAGCGCACTGAAAAATTCTTTCGGCATTTTTTCTCGAAGTGGTTTCGTAACCAGAGAAAATTTTCATGAACACTATTTTGTCGCCTCCAACTATTTTTTCACAATTCCTTTAGGACTTTTGCTTATATCTTTTACACTTTTTCGATAGGATCCTTACTCGAAATTGCGTTATCCTTTCGACGTTCTATATATATATACTTTCGTGTGCGGGACTCTAGGCGAACGAAATGGTTGCAGACGTATACATATATCTGTATCGTATGGTGCTTTAGATATAGATATATGTATATTCTTTTAAAAATATCTATTTTCAAACTGTTTCAAGTCATAATCCCCGAGACTGAAACCAAGACGTCGATCGTTTGTGAGGTGCGAGCGAAGAATGACAAAATCTCGCAGAGAATGTGATCAAGTAGCTATGCCTGCACACACGATTTCATCCGATCTGAGACGATCTCCAACCGAATCCACACGATCTCCTGCCGAGAGAGCCGAGGAGCACCAAATGATCATCGCTGTGTGCTCCACATGAGATATTTTTGCATTTTCATCGGACCAATCTGAAGGTTGTTGTTGTTGTGGGAAAATACTCTGGGAGCGATGGATGCACTACACACGTCAGTGTGGGGCATTTAAGACCGGAAAAGGTGGTTTATTTATTGTGATTAAATGCAAGAAAATCGTTTTAAGCCTCTTGTTTTGTAAGCCTCTTAAAGTTGATGAGTTTCAGATTAATTTAAGATAGTTTAATCATAGTTTATTATTCAGTTACGTAAATTATCTCACAGATAAAAGCCTTCCAAACAAATAATAATTTTCAAAGATTTTTGAATGGAGGATGTATTTTATTACAGATATAATCTTAATTCCTTACTGCTTTTCTAGTATATTTTTTGGTAGCTTTATAAACATTGATCCCGAGGAGACACACCAATTTGCCTTGGCTTACCAAAAAGAGAGAAAAGCTCTGATCGTTGAAGATCTCTACGGGGAGTATATCTTGGGAATCTCTCGCAGCTCCTTCTCTCAGATACTCTCCTTTTGAATTTCGAAAAGTGTTCGTTCGGGTTTTGAGTAAGTTGGCTAAAAATATATGGGGATTTATTTTTGACACGTATTTTTCAACATTGTGTGCACCAAAATCGAAAACTAAGAAAGCAAGAACGATGAACGAAGTCTTCCCAGAGAAATTCTAGATACTATTAGAGTCTAATGCATATGCATACACACGGCACAGATCCCGTGTATCTATTGATTCCAGCTATCCGTGCACCGATAGATCCGCTCCTTATGTCGGCCTTCTGTTTCGATATAAATAATAGGATGTGTCCATCACAGTTTATCTTGCACAAATAAATATGTGTGAAAACAGGCTGCAATCGATTCATGGAATTAAACTTTGCACAATATAATTAAAGGCTTAAGGGGGATTGTGGACCGTGTGGTTGGCACTGGTCACTTTGCCTCGATTTTTTTCACATTTTCCACATAATTTATTTTGTTTGTCTAAAATTAAAACCACATAGATGTATAGAGAGATATGTATAAAATTTGGCTCGTCCGCCGTTTGATACATATAACTTGATTATTCATTTGGTGTCTTAATCATCAGCAACGGCAACAGCAACAGCATCAGAGATGTGAAGTGGTTTTTTTAGTGACCAATTGGCAGGGAAAAAATGTCGCAACTTTCTATTTCATTTTTAGCCATTTCAGAAAAATGCTCAAATACAAATTGCACCTAAAAAGCCAGTTGGCTTTGGCCTTTTATGGCGAGGAGCCACAGCCGCCCCAAGGCAGTCATCACTACTATATGCTGTATACGGCAACCTGGTTTGCAATGGTCATGCAATATTGTTTTTTATTGTGTGCACAAATTGTTAATTGTTAACATGGACCGGCGACTGCAACACAGTTACAGAATCACTCATTAAATTACAAACTCGGCAAAAAGTTGATTCTTGGCAGTTGAAAATGCGAGGCAGCCAGGCGCAGCGACGGCAAAGTTTCGACTGTCACCGTCGAGATACAAATGTATCTACAACAACCATTAAAGTGGCTGGGACAGAGATAAGCCGGTGGCTGGTAAGAGGAGCAACACGCATCAAAACTAGCTTTCTTCGAAGCTAAAACGTGGCTAAAAGAGCCACTAAAACAACAACAGGAGTAACAGTTAGCCGGTTCTGCAAGGCAGATTGCAAAGAGTTTGTGTTTGTTGTTAGCGATGCGCTATGAAAATTAATATTACACTTGGAAAAAATTATGGGATTTAACAATTATTTATTATCTAAAGGGGAATGCATTATTTTCTTGATCGGTGCCTGAAAAGGCATTCCTAGTTTCAAATATTACTTTTAGAAAATATAATTCACTTTATAAAATGAATATATAAACAAAACTGACCATGACCCTATAAATACAAAGTAGTTCAACATTGCCTGGATTAAAAAACCTTGCATCGCTCAAAATTCGATTAAACAATTAAAATTCCCAAGTGGTTCAAGCGTTAAATGATCTATTTACTCGTTGGATCCTTCGTAGTACCAAATATTAGTGTTTTGGCAATTAACCATAGTTCTCAAGATGATCTAGGTTTGATATTAAAGCTTTGTGTTCTTTTAATTAAGTTTCACACCTTAAAATAAGTCAATTAAAATTTAAAAACTGTTCTCATTTATATGTAAGATATCAACTTGATCTTTAATCATATTTTTCCCCCGTGCACATCTCTCCGCTTGGCAGCTGCTCTCTGTAAGATTAACCGCACTTATCTATCTGTCCAGGTCTAAGCCTGTATCTGTATCTGTATCTTATCGGAGATGCTCTGTGCAAAAATATTCGCCCAATTATGTCACGGCCAGAGAATGTGCCAGCAAACACAGCAACACACAAGACGTAAACATTTCACTTCTCTTTAATTAGTATGATTAATTGTTTAGTACATATACACATATATATAGTAATAAGGCAACTGTAGGTTTTTAGTTGGATTTAGTTTAGCTCAAAAATTAGTTTGGCTCTCCTCGGGCGATGCCTTCAATTTACTGCGAACGAGATAAGAATTCGGGTTCAATTAACGATCGTTGGGAACACAACATCGAAGGATGGTGGAACAGATGCTGGATGAGAGTTGACACTTGAGGCATGCACATGCAACAGGCAGCGAGAATGATGGATATAAAAATACTTATGTTTATATAGTGAATGCAAGCGTTTCCAGCCCCTCCCCCCAGCAAAGCCGGCGACCCCAAGCAAAGCTAAAGCCAATCCCATGTCCCTTTGGTGCGGCAGCCCCAGATGTAATGAGTCGCATAAGCAGATCTCAGGGCGGTGCACCAGAGGCTGCACTGCCGCAGAGTAGTCTCGTTTTGGCATCGAATTTCGCTCTCAATCCCCAAGACTTTTTCAAGACTCCCCAGTCCCGGTCTTGGGGCATTCAGCAAAACCATAAAACCGAAACGAAACGTCGACGACGACGACTGCGATGTTGCGGCGACTGCGCCCCAAGAGCACTGCATGCCAAGCGGCAATTTAGGTATAAAATGTCCAAATGTGGTTGACTTAATCCCTCCAAACGGGTGTCATTACTATATCATTTTGTTGTCTTTATTTACTTGAAAATTTGCCAAGACAAATCTGACACTAAAGCAGGTTTATCTTATTTAAATCTAATGAGTATTTGTAGTAACTGATTTTAAGATATTTTGCTAGTTGTATATCTTTTAGACTTTGCATAATTTAAAGAGCATCCCCACTTCGATCTTTTAGTAGTATTTCTGATATTTCTTCTTCTGCGTTTTTCCTATCAATTGTTTATACAATTAGACACACGAGTCGCATTCAAAGCCGCCTCGATCCCCCTTCTTTTTTCTGCTGGCAAATGAAAGTTGCAATGCGGTGCAGAGCGAGCGCGGTGGCTGTAATCTATATTTAGTGATTTTACATGCGGTACCTCAAAGATATTCGAAAAATGTCTATATGGATTGCGTGACATGGCATATGGTAGATGCAAGAGATTGCGATTGAGAGATCGGTACAGCCCGTTTTGTAGTTAGCAATTTTCCAGATCGCTTGAGGATCAGAAATGATGCATTTAGCCAAATGATTAATTATGGGGATTCATTGCTCATGTGAATGGAAACAACACATTTGGGATGTAAATATGTGATGTAAACCAAACAAAAGAAAATACCAATAAATTTTCTAGTATTGTTTAGTGATTTACCTGTTTGCTCTCGTAGCTGAGGCTCCTGATTGAAATCGGAGATGGAAACAGTTTTGGTGCTCACATAGCTGATGGATTCAATCGTGGTCTCCCACTTCTGGAACGTGTTGATCGTGTCACTCCGGAGAGCTCGACTCGAGTGGGAATGATTGCTCCTTAGGGGCGTTGAGGAGCGCAACGACATGGTCGATGTGGCCGATCCCAATGAGGAACTGGCCGGCGAACTGGTCGACGAGGAGGAGAAAGAAGCTGATTTACGTAAAGGCGTTTTATTGACACCATTATCCAGAAGGCGCTGTTCATGGGGTGTGTGGGTCTCCGTTGCCGGTTCCTCTTCGGTTATTAGCAAACAATCTGTTTGAGTGCCTTGATCTGTGTACAGAGAGAGAGTAGTGAAAGGAAAATTTATTAATTAAGTATTAAAGTAAGGAAGAAGGCCTTCTTCTTGTTGCTTGACATGTTTTTCTGATAAAAAGATGATATAAAGATGATTTATAATGAAATATATTTAGAAATATTATTATTAACCATTTGTATGAACTTTTAAGTATTTGCTCATTTAGCACAGTAATTCGTAGTACAAATTTTTAATTGTTTAATAATTTATCTCGCTTTCTAATTTTTTACCGTGTAACAAAAAGAGAGTTTTCAGCAATTTAGAAATGCGGAAATGATTGGGATCTGTGGTTTTTATAGCTGCACTTGCTGCGTTTTTATATTCCTGCTCAATTAGCTGAAAACAATTAAATTCTAGCGCCTTTCTGGCAATTAGCGGAATTCGTGTTTATGCTAAAATCTTGGCCCCGATTTTCAGCAGAAACCCGCTGGCTGCACTCACCACGTTTACCCCTATTGTCTGCGTTTTGTACGCTATTTTGTTCGCTAATTTACAGCGTGCGTGTATAAATATATAAATAAATAAATATGTTTGCTGCCGGGGTATGCCTCTAGAGAGTGAGTGACTTGTGGCAGGGTCAACAACGCGTGGCAGCACGGATGCTCGCATCCCATTCCCCATGCCATTCCTTAGTATTTTCGGTTGAGGATGAGGCGCTGCCTGTCATCGGGGATTATGCAACTGAATTTTGCGTGGCTCTTGGTTTGGTTTTTTGGTATTTCGTTCTTGATTCTTATTATTCGGCGCCATAGTTCCTCTTTGTTGCGCCCAATTAAATGAAATCTATGCCATGTTATATAGACATTAGAAAATATTTTCATGTTTGCTGGGCGAAACTGAAGTGCTAAATGCTTCTTAGCAATGCGAACATCTGCGCAGTTTTGGGCCAATTCCTTTCGGATTTCGAACTGCTGCTGGTTTATTACCCTTCGTCGTCGTGGGTGTGAGGAAAACAATTTTACGAGGCAACCAACTACTTTATAGTATCCGATTCGAATGCTGTTGGCTCTTATCCAGTTTATAAAGATGTATGTATATGTATTTATTCGGTCTATAGATTGTCGTCGCAGCCCTCTTTTATATATATTATAATACCGAAAAACCAAAGCGGAAATAGTATTATTAAAATTTATATGTGGCAAGTGCGCGACCGGCCAAGCAAAAATTATCTGTCAGAATTAATATAGAAATTATTTGAAGCAAATAATGGTGTCTATATATCCTGTGCTACAACGTATGTAATGGTTTTAGGGAAATGTTCAGTAAATCGCAATACTTTTAGCTAATAAATTTACCCATTTATTTAGAAAATTAATGAATTAAATTGAAAATTATTGACCACGCCTAAGTCATGTTGACCAATCTGATTCGTCATAATAAACCACTCAACTTGGATCCCAAAGAAATGCCCATCTAATGGATCACGAAAGCGTTTCCCTATCCCCACGCACCATCCAAAACTCACTCTGGGAACAAAACAAAGAAAGCCAGAAAGAAGGAAACCCAAGGAAATGTTGGAAAATATTAACGAAATATTTAAAGTGGCAAGAAAATATTGTATGTATGTGTTTTGTGACTTGTTGCGGTGCTGAGTTCATTTGGTATTTTTAGAAAATTACCCAATTAATTTAGAAAAACACCAAGATAGACAAGGGAGAACAGGGAAAAGAAACCATAATGCGAATGTTTGTGCTGCTGCGGAAAAGATTCATCGTAGAAAAATTTACAAAATTTTCCTCCTATTCAAAAGGGGACACATTTTTGTTTTTTGGCACACTCTCTTGGCCAAAAATCCAGGCAGATTCGAAATCGTATTCAAACCAATAAGTTTGGCCTTTTTCGAGTATTGGAATTTGTTGGACTAACATTTGCCATAACGCACTGAGTAAAACATTTGCTGTGCCACTCGATATAGCCAGTGAAATTTTGCAAATGTGCAAATATCTATACAAATATATACTATATAGAATGAAAGCAAAAAAAACGAACAAGGCCGGACACGGTCCAAATATTTAGGTTTTGCCACACGCGAAATGTTTTTCATGTTTCTCACGCCATTTTCTTTTCATTTCTTTACGTTTTTCGAATTTTATTTTGACAAAAAGTTTCATAATATTAATGACAGCGTTTTATTGGGTGCGAGAAAACAATTTCATGAATCATTAAGGTGCAAGGATCGGGCCATATGCTCCCATTCAAAATGTGATTTCAATGAAATGATTGTAAACGCTGCACTGAGCACTGCAAATGACTCACGAGTGTTTGCATTTGGATGCTGTGAGTAGCGTCTAATTTGTTTCTTGGACCGCTGCCTAATGACTCGAACGAACACTTTGGCCAGCCACTAAGCACGCAATTAGAATTGGCAGATTGGCAGGCGGGGGGGCGGTCGGCCTTGGCTATAAAAGCACTCATCGGGCAAGGGCCACCCACCCAGCAACTAGAGCCTAATCATCGACAGAAGTGTGTCATATGTCCCAAAGTGGAACATTGTCAGGGAAGTACTAGAGATGATGGGATGGGATATGCTATATTCTGGCGTTCTTCAGAGTTTTATTAGGAATAGGAACCTATTGGGGAAAATTCGGAAAATTATGAAATATTATTGTTATACCTTTAGTCAGAAGCTTCAAATTAAGTGAAGGAGCCATTTCCGGCCCTATAAATCATATATATTCTTGATCAGCATCAAAAGCCGAGTCGATCTAGTTTGCTTCAGAAGAAGAAAAATAAATTCAAAAAATTTTCAAATTTTTCAATCGTTAAAATTGTTAAAATTTGGGAAAAAATGTAATTTTTTTACATTTTAAACTGAGTATGCAAATTTATTACCCTAATAAAAACTAACACAACATCGCTTTCCGAATCAAAATTAATGTATTTTTGACAAAGTTATGATTAATTTTTGATTCGATAAATTGACCGAATTGTCATAGATACTTTGGTTTCCGTTACAGGGTATTATAATTTTAATCAGAAGCTTCCCAAGCACTAAAAGAGTCATATTCGACCCTATGTTTCATATATATTCTTGATTAGCATCAACAGGCGAATCGATTGAGCCATCTCCGAAAGAAAGATTTTTTTTTAATTTTTTACAAAATTTAACATCGTAAAAAATAAAAAATTAAATTGATAAAAAATTTCATTTTTTTTAATTTTAAAATGAGTATGCAGATTTATTAGCTTGTCAAAAACTAAGATAGGAATGCATTCCAAATAAAAATTAAAGCATTTTTGGCTTAGTTATGAGTTTTTTAAACATTGAATTGTCGAAAAAACTGTCATCTAAATACATATATCAATAAATATGGATTTAAAGAATGCAACATTTTAAGCTTGGTTATGATCGAATTCTGTTTCAATCCTTTAATTCAATTGCAAACTGACTGGAACTATATATTTTTATTTCTCGAAGTTAATTTCCTTTATTGTTTTTGTTTTGTTTTAGATTTTGCAGTTTATCTTCCCCTAAAAATATATATAGTTTTACATAGATTTGCCTACGATTTTAAAGCAAATTATTTAAGTAACAAAGGTAAGTAACGTAATATCTTCTTTGCATAATTTCAACCCAGATGAATCTTAATCCCTTAACTGATAACCCTTAAAACTTTTTATAGCTACTTTTGGGTGATTAATTGTTTGGCAACACTGCCAGCCTGCCTGCCTGCCTTCTTCTGTTCTGACTTTTGTGGGGTTTGGTGTCAGTGTCAAGGACTCTCAAAGGCCTACATACTGCTGGGCCGCCTGTGTGTACTCAATGCCTTGACAGCGGAGAGTGTTTATGTCTGGCATCATGTCCGTCCGATTTCCCTACCTCGCAGCCTTCCTTCCTCCACCCTGTCATTGCCGAAAATTGCTAGCATTTTCGCTAACGATTCGCTCGCTCACAGCTTGTGAATCTTGGCAAGCGATCGCGACAAAAAAAGAAAAGGCGAAAAGGAAAATTAGATAAATAAACATTTGCCGAAAAAAAACGCAAATAAATCATTTATGAGCAGCAAGGCGAATCTTAGTCGAACCGTCAGCCGCCCACACACACACAGCATTTCTTCATTCCACACACAAATCCAAACATTTGTTTAGCGGATGGCTCTCGATTCCTTCGAATTATCTTCTGACCCGATTTTAAATGTAGTTTTTGGCCTAGTTCAAATATTTATACAATATGTATGTACCAATGAGTAATGGGAGGCAAAATGGCATTTAAAAGTTCTGTAATTCATTTAGTTTATTTGAAATTAAAAACTTTTCACAAGACGGACCCGAAAATATGCGTTGAAAGAATAATTAATCTTGAGAGGGGAAGATCAAAGTACACACCAAAATTAATGTCCAAATCTATCTTATAGATAATTTTTCAAAGATCTGAGGGATCTCTGTACTCAATGTAAACATTTGCATGACGCTGATAGAAACACACAGGAGATTATTAATCAAATGTTGCACAAAATATTAATATTTATTTTTAAGATTCTTAAGATTCCGGAGATCAGTGATCACTTGGCGCCATCTAACGCCTGAGTATTCGAAAAGCTTTTTCGAACCAAAACGAATTTTCAGCTTTTTCGAACTGAATGTATGATTTTCCCCATAGAGAGCGCCACTCGTTAAGCTTTTCACGATCGGAAAAGTCGGAAAATTTTATTACAATTACAATATTTGTTTTTCAATTTTAAAAAGCCCCTCAAGTTTTTCGTTTTCATGTTATTTTATTTGACTTTCGACAAAAACACAAGTAATACTATATTCCTTTGTTTGTATGCATGTAAATTAGGGGACTTTGAACCGAGTAAAAACAATGGGGACAAAATGAGTGACATAGTGAATACATACATACACACAATAAGGCGAAACTTTGGCATTGAACAAATCATAAAATAAATAATAATAATTATAATAATAATAGTTGCATTTAAACAACAGGCTTAGTATCTAAATCCACGATTTGTGCTCGAAACATTCAAATTTCCGCTAGTGCTGGCCGCACCGAGACGATTCATGGCGGTGCAGGCATAGCTGCCGTTGTCATCTGTCGGAATTCGAGACCATTTCATTCCATTCGGTTGCAAAAGGATGCCAAAGGATGAATCCAGGAGGAAATACAGAAAGAGAGAGAGAGAGAGGGAGAGAGTGGTAGAGAGGAAGGTAAAACGATTAATGAGCTAGCCTAGTTGATTTGATTTTACACAGAACAAAATCAGAAAGTTTGAGCTAAGACAAGTTTAATCCATTGTTAAATCTCCTGATCAATGAGTTAACTATACTTACAATAAGAGTTGTAGGCAGTTTTTATCTAGTAGGTAGAATTTAAAATTTGATTTTTATCAAACGTTAAAGGTAACATAATTATTAATAAGATAATACCCCTTGCGGGTATTATAATTTTAGTCAGAAGCTTAAAACGCAGTGAAGGAGTCTTTTCCGACCCTATAAATCATATATATTCTTGATCAGCATCAACAGGCGAATCGATATAGCATGCTTCGGAAGAGGAAAAAAAATTTAAAAATTCGTTAAAATTGTAAAAATCTGGGAACAAAAAAATTTTTTTTTTTACATTTTAAATTGAGTATGTAGATTTATTATCCTAATAAAAACTAACTCAACACTGCTTTCCGAATCAAAATTAATGAGTTTTTGGCCAAGTTATGGTTAATTTTTGATTCGATTGATTGACCAAATTGTCATTTATACTTCGATTTCCTTTACAGGGTATTATAATTTTAGTCAGAAGCTTCCAAAGCAGTGAAGGAGCCATTTCCGACCCTATGTTTCATATATATTCTTGATCAGCACGAAAAGTTGAACCGATCTAGCTATGTTTAGTCAAAATTCATATTTTGCGATTTTTTTTTCATTTTTTTTTTTTGAATTTAAAAGGTGTTTCAGTATGTGAAAAATTGGCAAAAATTTTTAGTTTTTAAATTTTAAAACTCAGTATGCAGATTTGTTAGCCCAATAAAAACTAGCACAGAACAGTTGTTTTAATTGAAATTAATGCATTTTTGGCTTAGTTATGATATTTTAAATTCTTTAATTTAACCCAAAAAATGTGCATATTAAAATATAGATTTTATATACCTAAAATACACATATTTTAGGTTTTCTTGGTGGTATACGAAGGCCATAAAGCCTACGGATGGACAAAAGTCATGTAATTTTATATTTGCCATGAAACTCTTAATCAATAATCTAATTTGGATCCATGATCCTATAAGTAACTTGAAAGGTATACGCACTACGCCTTCTTAAAGTTAGCTGTTTTTGTTAAAAATTTTATTTTTAAAATTGTAAAAATTATCCTTAAACCTCTTTTCAACTTAAATGAACTCTGTAAAATCATTCTCTCCTATAATTTTGTTCCGTGTAAATGTTTTGGTTGACCTGACTGGCCACATAACTGTTCAGTTACTCACCCGGATAGGCCTGCGGCAGTGTTAGCCGGCACACGCCGTTCCGGTACTCAATGCAATGCCGACTGCCGGACTCCAGCTGGCCGCCATTGTGCGTCCAGTTGACCTGCGGCTGCGGATGCGCCTGCACAATGCACTCGAAGCGCGCCGTTCCACCCACGCCCACAGCGATGTCTTTCAGTGGCTGTCTCCATCGAGGAGGATTAGTGGTTCAGAGGAGAGAGACAGACACAGAGAGAGAGAGAGAGAGAGAGAGAGAGAGATTTACGGGTTTTAGTTACCGTGGTTTGGGGGTTAATGACTCGGCTTACCGTTATGAATAATGGCTGCCTTTGTGCCAGCTCATCGCGATTCAAATGCGCATTGACGGGTTCCGTATTGGGCAGTTCCGGCACTGAGTGGGCCAGTTAGGAGTTTTTTTTTGAAGAGAGTGGAGTGGTGTGGAGAAACCATTAGAATCTCTGGCTCAGCGTTTTCAAAAGCGCTTCCATTAGTGGGATTAGCACGCGGCAAGCAGCACAGAACACAAACACTTATATACGATACGGATTCACTTTAAAGTTTAAACACACAAAACAAACTTTTCATGCAAAAACAAAAAGTAAAAAACGAGCAAGGCAACAGCGAGCAGGGATTTTTTTTAGATAATAACTTTATCATATGTATATCATGCTTTTTTTTTGAGTTGAGATTATAATAGAGCCTGATATATATACACTTAATATAATGCCGATGAGGTTTTTTTGGGGCGGGTTAATCACAAGGACACAAAGCCACGATGGCCACAAAAGATATAAACTGGATAAGCTAGTGAGGTTTTTTTTTTAAATAAAGATAGAAGGAATCTCTCTGGTCAAGAACCTTTAATAGATTCCCAGTTTATATCTCCTGGCGCTTTCAATGATTTTTTTGGCGGGCACAACAGCAACATGTCCTAGACTAATTGACAACATCGATATAGCGATTGAGAGATTGCGTGTTAAGCCGTTGTGATTGATGGCTTTCATCTGGTGACAACAGCCTCCGTATGTTTTGTGCTTCAGTACCTGTGCGGACCATCTGATCCGGCGGCAGGCGCGGTGCCTGGGCATGGAGTCGATCCAGATGGATGTCGAGGCTGTGACAGCTGGGCAGGCTGTATCGCTTCTGCTGGCTGCTGGTGGCACTACGCGGGGCCATCGGCCTGCCACTTGACCAGTTCCTAGCCGACTGACTCCTGCGTTGGATCTCATTATCGGAACTATATCCGTGCGAGGGTCTTTCGTGCTGAACGGGTATGACCAACTCATTGTTGCCCGGCGCCAATTTCAGGGGATATGGGGAGTGGCGTCCGTTTTGAATGGGCTTAGAGGCATTACTGCCGCTGCTATTACTATTCCACTGGCTACTGACGAACTTGTGACCCTCGCCGGGAAACAGGATGCCAAATTCGTAGCCGAAATCGTATTTAAAATATATTAAACCGGTATTGGGATCGATGCATTTGGTGCCTAATTGCAGTTTACAGATAAACATATATAGACGATATAGGGGTTTTATCTTTGATGTAGTTGGGGGATTAGTCGATTCTTAAAATAATTCCTAATCACATAGTTAAGATTTCTGAATAGTTTGGATATATGTACAAATAAATATTCACTTAACTTAAAAGATAAAAAATCATCATAAGCATCCAATAAAAACATATAAAATAACTTTATATAATGAAACGCAAATAATAAATGGATACTTAAATGAATACTGATTAATTTTGGTAATTAACTAAACCAAAAAAAAAACATAAAATATTAGTAAATTTATCAAATAATTTCAACCGGAATGATTTCAAAATGAAAAACGGATTAGTAAGAGGTCCGGTGTGGTATGTCCAACGAATGCAAATTTCTTAAAAAAACCAATTCAATTGAATTTCATCATCGCAATTTTCCAATTTTCAAATCTCAAAATAATACCAATTCAAATTAGAAAAGGGAGCTGATTCCAAATGTAAAATTATATATCTACTGCATGGTTTAGTCCTTTGAATTTAGTATAGAAAATGATCACTTACCGTATTGAGAGACCCGTGATTCATCCCTGAAGGCCTGCGGCTGTTGGTTGCTGCCTTCGCTGGGCGCCCTCTTGAAACCCGGTCGAATGCCATTCGAGGTGTGGCTACTCCTCATATCCCTGCTCACATCCTCCACGAACTGATGGGATTTCTGGAGGAAGGTGGAACCCATTCGACGTCCCTGATTCTCCGCCTGCTGCTGCAGCGAGTTGTAACCATATCGGGGCAAAGTTCCGGCCCTGTCTATCTGATCCATGGACTGCTGTTGCTGTTGCTGTTGCTGCTGCCTCATGGTTGAGTTCCTATTTAAGGACTGAGTGCGATGTTGGGTGGTGACGGTACTGCCACCGCGCTGCTCCTTCCGCAGTGTATTTATATCCACATGGATCTTACTGGGCATCTCGGGACCCCGATCGAATTCCATGGGCGACAGCACCCTTTCGTAAGTTCTTGGCAAACTGCAGGATCTTCCTGCTCCCTGGGGCGGAGCCACGCGTCGATAGCCCTTGGTGAAACCATCGCCATATGGTGACCACAGTGGTTGGATGCGTGCTCCCTCCACTTCGCTCTCATAGTCACTCTCTCGGACCTCTCCCGGCACGAATTTGGTGGGCGTGGCCGGTGGTGGAAGATGGGATTGCCTCGAGGGCGTACGACTTGTGGCCGGACTATAGGGGAAGGGCTCCAGGACGATCTGCTGATCCCTCTGCTCTTGCGGTCCATCAAAGTGGATTACCCGCTTGGTCTGCTGCATATTCACCACCCGCTGTGAACTCTCCGTGGACTCGTGCATCTGCATTACGTTCTTGGTCTCCGTGGCCACCTTGGCCAGGTGCATGGGCGCTCCAGCAACAGCATTGTAGTACATGGTCGGACGGGCATTGGCCTGTGTCTGATGCTGCTGCTGCTGTTGTTGAGTGGCAGCTATAAACTTGGCTGCCACAGGCTTGGGCTTATACACTGGCTGACTTTGTTGCTGATTTTGCGTAAACTTCGACTGTTGCTGCTTAGAGCTGCTCTCCCTTTTGATCTCATGGCGTATCTCCTTGCCAATTGGCTCAAACTTGGGCCTGGCATAGCTGCTGCCCATCTCGGGTGGCGTTGGCTCAAATTCCATGGGCGAGGGTGTAACGACCACCACAGGAGATTTGTGGCCATTGGCTGCGATATTTGTGCGTGGAGTGGGTGTGGGTGGGAATACCACACGATAGCCCTTGATCTCCGCATCCGATTCATTGGCACGCGACACCGAACGGAAGCGTTCATCAATTTCGCTGCTATAGTCACTAAACTCCGCTGCCGGTGTCTTCCGCTGGGCGGGAATGGGACTGGGATAGGTAACCACTGGTGGCGGTTGTGCTACTCCTCCCGTTGTCGACGAGAACTTGGTCTCATGACGGGATGAGCTGCTCTGCATGTTATGTGAGTAATTGCTGGTCATACTCGAAGAGGTGTAGTTGTAGTCCTAGGAGAAGATAATAATACATTATTAGCAAAGTATAAATATTGGAAAATGAACAGACACAGAGATAGGTAAATGAGAGTTAGCAAACAGTTGTGTTTAGAGTTCAGGCAAGTAACAAGATTATAATAATAGTTAAGGTTAAAGTTGAGTAAATGATTCAACAGCCAGCGAACGATCAAGGATTAAGGCTTTCGAACTCGAAGTCTTGCTAAATCGAAAGCCTTTAAGTCATTTAATGTTTATGATTATCAAAGAGCTTAGTGATTAATTGGTGTAGTTTTTTGGTAAGGATTTTGGTGTTAGCTGTCCAAGAGCTACAAAAGGCATTTGGCTTTTATTTGTTTCTAGTGTAAGTTTGAGAACGACAATGAACAAGAAACAACAATAACAACGACACAGAGATATTACACAGACACTGAGAAAAATCGATTGCGAACCTTTGCCTCCTGGCTGCTAAAATTCGTTTGTGGTGGCACCTGCGTTTGTGTGAAGTAAATCGGTGCCGGTGGTTCAGGCTGCAGCTTAGGAATCTGCGACGGTTGTGTCGAGGACGAAGACTTGGTCTCGTAGAAACTTGTCTCCGATTTGCGATAACTCGAGTGTTCCTCGGTATCGGCCGTATAGCCACTGGACTTGAAAGAAGTCTCCGTGGTCGCCTGCTGATGTTGCTGATTGCGATTGCCCGGCTCCACATCAGATTCACTGCCACTATACTTGTAGCGATCGCTCTCGTAGTCGCTCTCATAGAGTCCCAATCGATTGGGCACAACTGGTGGTGGTGGACGATATGTAGAACTTTGAATTGGCTTCGTTTGCTGAGGTGGTGCTGTTGCCGGTGTCAATGTGGGCACTGAATGGGGTAAAACTTTACTCGGTCCTTGAATCAAATTCTGTTCCAGCTTTTGCTCCATACTCTCCACCAGGGAACGACGACGTGTCGTTGTGTCTTCCACCTTGGGTGCGAAGCAAATCTCCGGTGGGGTTCCAGGTTCGAGTTGTACGTTCACGACATGTGTCACCGGTGCCGGTGTTGTGGTTGGTGGTGGTATGCTCTTTACAATCTGATTAACCAGGAAGGGTGCATTCAGCTCCTTGGTTGGTGTGGGTGTAGCCAGCGTAGATGAGATCACTGTCTTCTCGGATTTGTGCTCGACATCACTGGAGTAACCAGTGACACCACTTGGTGTCCACAGCCGGGACATGGCCACACCTTCGGCGGAGGGTTTGGGCGAAGGTGAACGTGGATTCTGCTGGGCAGGAGTGGCCAAGACAGCAGCAGGTCTTACTATCGGTTGTCCGTATTCCACCTTGACCTCTTTGCTGGTGGTGGTTTCGTGTTGAACGGTCTGGAGACCCAATGGTGGTGGGAATACCGGCACTCCACCCTGTGGTGGTGGCTCCTTTGGCTGAACTTCGGATAGTATCTTGATCTTCTCATTGATCAGCGGTACCTTGGGCTCAGTTCTCTCCGGCTTGGGGGAATAGCAGAACTCGGGAGCATCTCCTGGTATGAGGTTGAGACTCCTCAGCTCTTCGGCCAGAGTTTGTGCCTGTGGCTGTCGCACCACCGTCTCCAGGGCCTTAAAGGCCAAAGGCTTGGGTCGTTGGGTTATAGTCTCCTCGTCGATCTTCTTGAAGTAATCAAAGGAGGATGTAGAGGTGCTGGATTTGTGCTCGCTCTGCTCGTATCTGGTGCTGGTCAGCGTCTGCATCTGAGGTGGCTGCTGCTGCTGCTGTTGGCCAAATGTGGTTGCTACCACTGGCATGCATGGCTTGGGCGGCACCGCCGGTGGTGAAGCTTTAATTGTAGCAGGTTGGCTCTGATCGGTCTGATCCTGGCCGGCAGTGTTCGTTGTGATGGTGATTGTGTCGTTTGTGGTCGGTGTCTTGGGACGGGACGTCAGCTCGGGCAGATCCAGGTAGTTCGACTTGTGCTCTAGACGCATGGTTGCCTCGGTGGTGCAACGATGCTCAGTGATCACTTTCGACTCGGACAGGCCGTGCAGGTCATTCGCACTGGTCACATCCGTTTGACTGGTCTCGAACGATGGCTGCGGCTCGCTCTGAGTCTGAGTCTGGATCTGGTTTCGGTTTCGATTTTGGTTTCAGTGTATGTTTTTTTGGATGGTGTGGTGGTCGGTGGTTGGTGGTGACGATGTAGTGTGGAAAACCCGTGTGGAATGAGCAAAGCGAAACGAAAGAACGAACGACGTTGACATCATGAGAGGAGAGAATTCACAAAAGATTTGGTTTATTATATTGATCGAATTAAAATTAAGTTAACAGAGTCAAAGAAGAGAGTAAAATAGAACAGAATAGTTCGGAGTAGATAAAGTAGGTGATCGAGGAGGATAATGCATATATATAGAAGTCGTAGTAGGTGGTTAGATATTGAGCACATGCACACTTACTTCGGTTTTGAAATCGCTAGAAGGTATCTGCTGTACGGGGCCCGTCTCATAGACAATGGTCTTCACCACCTCCTGCATGCGTTCCGGCGATGGCTCCAGGATGGCACAATCAGCAATGCTTTTGGCCTCACCACCAGCATTCGTGGCGCGCACCATGTACTTGCCAGAGTCCGTTGTTTGTGCTGGGAATAAAAAACAAATAAATAAATATATAAATAATACAGTTTTGGATGTTTAATAAATAACATGAATAAAATGAGCAATTAAAATGTAAATAAACAAGACCAAGACTTTTACAAAAATGTTTAGAAAAACATGCAAATAGCTAATGTTCATGAAATTAAATGCTATGGAAATTTGGGTTAAGTAAACAAAAAACTTTCGTTGGTTTTCGCAAAATTTAAAGGGAAATGCTCTGCCAGTTAGCTGTCATTGCATTTTATTTTCGAATTTTTAGTTGGAAATACACCAAAGCAAGTACCTTTCTCAATGATAAGTCTGTAGGAGTTGCCCTGGGCAAGCAGTCGATGCTGTGAGATGCCGGCATCCTTCAGTGGCTTGTCGTCCTTCAGCCAAGTGACAGTGGGATCCGGTAGACCTGTTACCTCCACCTCCATGACCAGTTTCTCGCCCTTCTTGCTAACTTGGGCCTGCAGGCGTCGTCCAAACACAGGCGGAAAGATGGTCTCTAAAATAATTCAAAGAACAATAAGCATTAACATATGGATAGAACATAGAATATAGTGCAAATAAATAACAGCCTTTGTGTGTCATTGCAACAGATTTGTTGTTGTTTCAACGTTTGGTACTGAATAATTTACTTGAACAGCCGTCCCAATAATCGGCCATAATGAATAATTCGTTTAGACAGCGGCAGACAGGCAGTAAAAATAATCTTAAAGCTAACACATTGCACACATTCAGCGACGACAATTCTGCAAACATTTCGAGTAAATAAACGATCTCTTTCTTCAACGCGATTTACATAATAATAATAATTGCAAGCATTAGCCCCAACCCCAATTCCGGTCCCATCCACACCCCCACTATGTGCCGCCAAGAATATTTATAAATTTGTGTAAGAAAATCTTTTGCATTGGCCAAGATTTCATTCTACCCTCACTCGGCGGTCGGGCCGAGGCCAGCTAACAAATAAGATTGAAATATAAACAACAACAAAGCCCACAGAGAGAATCATCATCCTCCTCGAAGCCTGTCGACCACTAAAAACTCATCAATATTCTCTAGGCGAGCGGCATCCGAGCCATTGACGTTTGAAGATCCATCCATTGACGGTCGTCCCCGCCATTATTCCCCTCACAATGACACTTTAATGCTCTATGCTGATTGATGTGGTACACACAACATATGATATAGGGTCTATTATCCCAGGGAAAAAAACATGTGTACACGCTTTTGAACACTTTTTTGCTAGCTTTTTTTCCTTCCTCTTTTTTACTTCATTTGAGTTCTGGGAAATTAATTTCGAAAGAAAGCGCCTTGTGGTGGTCGAAATTTGATAGGTTAAATTAGGTCGTGGGAGGTGCGGACAGTCGGATGGTGAGCTCATAAATATATATATTTTATAGATTTTGAACAAAATATTCCATGGGTTATGTGCCTGGGAAAATCTCTCTTGTGGTTTAGGAAATTGTTATTTTGACAAATTATTATTAATGGACTTTAAAAAAAAAATTAAAACTTGAAAGGGTCGATTTGCTGTTGACCCATGAAGTCCTTTCTTTTTTCTCTACTCCTAAAATCTTTTCAAAACATCAACTATTCTCGCAATCTATATAATTTCTATATAATTTATATAAATACTCACTTTTAACAACCAAATCCGCCGTGCTGGTGGACTGACCCACTGCATTCGAGGCAGTCACTGCATATCGTCCCGCATCCGCCACGTTCACCTGCTTCAGTTCGATGGTGACGCGATTGCATTTATTCGAGATCTTGGTATGTGCATCATCGAACAGCTGACCACCGTTCTTCTCCACCTTGATCTCGGGCGAGGGAAAGCCATCATAGATGGCCTCCATGCTGACATCACTGCCCTGATCCACAATCTTGCCGCTCAGAGGAGTGGTGAACCTGGGGGCAATCTCTCGTCTCAGACGAGTTGGTGAATCCGGAATGGCAACGGCAGACTGTCCATTGGGAGCACCACTAGATTGGATGAGAGTGAAGGACTTTTGCTGTACACTGGGACTGCTCATCTCCTTGCTCTTGTGCAGCTCCTGGTAGTGATGACTCTCCACAATCTCGGGTCTTTGCTGCCCCAATTGCTTCAGGGATTGATCGATGTGAGCGGAGGAGTGATGAACTTCGGTTTGTGGAGCATTACCCTCATAGGAATTCACCTGTGAGGTGGAGGTTGTGGTAAAGGTTTGCTTCTTGATCGTCACACGTGAGGATTCTGTATTGTGCTCCTGGGTCATGGTCTGGACATCACTGGAGGCGGGCAAACCGCTGCCAATGATGTTCAAGAAGGCAACACAGGTGGCCTTGCCCGCCTCATTTTCGGCCACACAGCTGATCTTGCCGACGGCATCGTGGGTCAGCTTCTGGATGGTCAAAACCTGGCGATCACCGCTGGTGGACACCAGGAAGTTGTGACCGTGCACAGGCTGATCGTTGAAGAACCAGTGCACTTTTGGTGTGGGCTTGCCCTTGACAATGCACTCGAACTTGATCACATCATCGATCTGACCTTGTTTGTCACTGAAGAGTTCCCTAAATTCAGGGCACTGATGGCGATCCACAATCTCCACGGATGATTGGCTGCTGCGGCGATTTTCGGGAGCATTCACGGACTTTACAATGAGATGCGAGAAGCACTTGGCATCGCCCGCTCGATTGGACACTTTCACGGTATACACACCCTTGTCATCGGCACTGACATTGTTCAGAATGAGCTTGAAGATGCCGGATTCGGAGTCCGCTTTGGTGGTTACCCTGTCGCTTAGTTGGACCTCCTTGTTGGTGAGGAACCACTGAGCAGTCAGAGGTTGATCTCCACTGGCCTGAACCTCTAAAACCACTTGCTCTCCTTCATCGGCCAGGACATCGGACAAAAGTCTCTCGAACTTGGGCTGAGTATCCTTGGGCAGGGATTGTCTCTCCGCCTGGGCTCTTGTCGCGGGTTCCGCTTGATTAAGAGGAGTCACCTTAAGCTCACAACTGCTTGAAGTTTCGCCAGCTGAATTGATAGCAACCACCTTGTAGTGACCAGCATCCTCTTGATAGACTTCCTGGATAATCAGCGAACAGCGATCACCCTGGAAAAGTAGCTGAACATCGGCAGATTCTTTGACGGGACGCTCGTTGTGATACCAAATAACCTCCGGCTCTGGCTGGCCCACAATGACACAGTCCAACCGCACGGGTTTGCCCTCGAAAATGGACACATCCTTGAGGGGCAGATGAACAGCCGGTTTGATGGGCTCAATATCGCTGGCCATCTCGGAATCGGATGTCTCGTTCGGCAGACGACCCTTCACTATCACGTTGCAACTGGTATAGGCCTCGCCAGCTAAGTTCTTGGCGCTCAGGACGTAGGATCCGGCGTCGTTGGGATAAGCCTGCGGGATTAGCAGCGTTACGCGGCCGTATTCGTACTGAAAGTATAGGGAGAAAAGCACGAAAAGTCAAGTCAGCAGAGATTGTGTGTTTTTTTGAGTTCTCGGCGGAAATATTCACCACACCCAGAAAAACCCGACTGTGGTGGAAATACGTTTTTCGATACCGAAATGCTTTTTCGTTCTAGTTTTTGTGTGCTTTTTTTCTTTTGGTTTTTGCAATTAAATTTTCCTTCTTTTTTACACCGATTTAAATCTTATTTACGAGTGTCTGTCTGGGTGCGTGTGTGTGTGTGTGTTTTGGCGGATGAGGCGCATCCGGCGGCTTGGAGGGGCGGCCTGTGTTTATTTTCCCGCAACAAATGATCTTTGTTTTGCCCCAAATTGCAGGAAGCACCTGAGAGTTCAGGTGTTCGACAACGCTTCAGTGGAGAAGAATCGAATATACTTATTTGAACAAGTGCCAATTACACAAGAATTGTTTAATCAATTTGATCCGGAAAGTGAGATCATGTTTTTGTCAAACGAGAAAATGCGTCGACAGCGGCAATTAAAAAAGTGCGGCCAATGAAATCATTTCTCAATTCCTATAGCGAAAAATTTAAATTTGCAAAAATTCACATACATTTATTTGCATATATATTTTTGTATACACAATGTTGGCGTCGGCGCCCACAATAAACAAATTGCCTGCCTCTGGCCAGGCTGCTGCCTGTGGTGAATTGGATTCGCTTTGGTCGCATGCCTCGTTGCAAGGAGGAGGAGCGAGAACTCTGCCAAAAATTGCAGCTATTAGATATTATATTATAGGCATAAGATCATTATATAGCCTAGCCTAGACTTGTGCATTGCACTATCTGTCCGCAAAGTGTGTTGGCGTTGGCGTATTTTCAAAACGATTGCCTTGAATTTTTTCGAAAATCATCAAGAGATTCGTGGAAAATTAAGGGGGGGGAGGGTGTGTAGGAAAATGCGTGACTGACGTCAGAGCAGCTATGATATCTTTTCAATATTTTTTATTTTGGAATTATGTAGAGTCCAAGCCGCACATGCACAACGCCCACCAAGCAACCGCAAAAAATATAGAAATTTCTTTGGTTTTCCTTTCCATTCCAGCCAAAAGATTTTCTTTGGTATATAGAACAGATTCAATGTGTATATAGCCAGCCAGACAGATAGACAGACAGTTGGGGGAATTGTACTAGGTGGCATTACTCTATTTGTTTATTCTTTTGCTTTCATCCAAAGGCATGCAAACACTTGGAAGAAAGTCCAAAGGAAATCTCTAAGGGGTTTCCTTTCCTTCTGGGCAAAATCAAATTAAATTTGCATATTTATGGCGTTTTTTTTGGTTTTGGTTTTATATTTGAACTTGTTCAAATAATTTTAAGTTGAGGCAATAGATTTCTTAAGACTTCTCTTAAATGAAATATGTCAACACTTTGTCGTTTTATTAAAATTTATACATCCCAAAAGGGGACCAAAATACTGTCAGACTTGATATTATCAACAAATGCGCAAGAAAAAGTACTAGAAGTTTATGAAAATAAATTCCATACATTATTATCTTTTTTATTTTTTCAAAATACATATTTCCAGTAGGAAAATTCTAGACTTTACGAGATTATTACCCCATAAATAATGGCATTCAGCCAACTCACCTTGGAATCGCGCGGCTGGAAGGGTTTTCCATTGTGCATCCAATAGATTTCTGGCCTGGGAATGCCACTCACAATGGCCTCCAGCTTGATCTTCTGGCCCACACGGGCCATGGCATTGGACAGGGGAACCTTGAAACTAGGTAGCTCGGTGGGCTCCAAAGCTAAAGAAGAAAAAAGAAGAAATAAAGAAAATAAAATTAAATTATTATAGATTCTGCCTTTTTATACCCTTGTAGAGTATTAAAATTCTAGTCAGAAGCTTGAAACTAAGTGAAGGAGTCATTTTCGACCCTATAAATCATATATATTCTTGATCAGCATCAATATGCGAATTGATCTAGCATGCTTCGGAAGAAGAAAAATAAATTAAAAAAATTTCAAAATTTTCAATCGTTAATATTGTTAAAATTTGGGAACAAAAAATTGAATTTTTTTACATTTTAAGTCGAGTATGCAGATTTGTTACCCTAATTAAAACTAACACAACGCCGTTTTCCAAATCAAATTTAATGAATTTTTGCCCAAGTTATGATTAATTTTTGATTCGATTGATTCACCAAATTGCATACATTTTTCGTTTTCCCTTTCAGGGTATTAAAATGTTAGTCAGAAGCTTCTAAAGCAGTGAAGAAGTCATTTCCGACCCTATGTTTTATATATATTCTTGATCAGCATCGACAGGCGAATCGATCTAGCCATGTTCGGCAGAAAAATAAAATTTCAATTTTTTTTTTACAATTTCAATATTTTATCATTGTTAAAATTGAAAAAAACTTGAAAAAAAAATTAATATTTTTAAATTTTTAATTGAGAATGCAGATTTGTTAACCTATTAAAAACTAGATTAGAACAACTTTCCAAATTGAAATGAATGCATTTTTGGCTTAGTTATGAGTTTTTTAAACTCTGATTTGTCGAAGAAATCGTCATATAATTGTTAATAAATATAGATTCAAAGAATGTAAATATTTTAAGATTAGTTATCGATTTCCGATTTTATAATGTAATTCAATTGCAAACTGCAATGGTTTATAACTATCGGCTTCTCAGAGTTAGTTTTCTTTCCTATTTAATAATTCAACTTACGTTCCACAATCAAAGAAGCCGAACAATGCTCAATACCCGCAGGATTTGAGGCACTGCAAGTGTAGACAGCATCGTCCTCCAGGAATACCTCCTCAAATCTCAGCGTAGCCTCACCATTATTATAGCTAATCACATAATCCGGTGAGTCATCGATGCACTTGTCATTCTTGAACCACTGAACCGTTGGCAAGGGAACTCCAGCCACCACACAGGCAAACTGGAAGGAGCTACCCTCGGTGGCCTTGCCGCTCTCAAGGAATCTCAAGATCCTAGGTGGCACCAATTGCAACTCAGCGGCATTTTCCCGCACAGATAAGGTGGCATTGGTATCGCATGTTCCCACCAAATTCGAGGCACGGCAACTGAAACGCGCCGAGTCGGCTGCAAAGGTTTCCTCAATCACCAGCCGGCAGATGCCCTTGTCAAAGGTCGTCTTATAATCCGAGTTATTCTGGATACTGATGCCATCCTTGAACCACTCCACTGTGGGCTCTGGGGTGCCTGTTACTTCGCACTCGAAGGTGAAACGATCGCCTTCACGGGTCACGGCATCCTTCAGGGGACGAATGAAGAGAGGCGAGGCATATCGCAGCTCCGTGAAAATGGAGTTCACTTGGATGTCCTTGCGGATATTCTCGGTCACTATGCGCTGCTGGTCCACCTGATCGCGAAGGGTTTGCAGTCTGGTAATCTCCTCGCGTTGGATTCGTGCCTCCTCTTCGCGCTTCGAGCGTGCTTCGTTGTCCCGTCGGATTCTTTCCTCTTCCTCCCTTCGGATACGGGTTTCCTCCTCCCGTTTGCTCTGAAGACGTACCTCCTCCTCTCGCTTGGCAATCTCCCGGAGAGCTTGGATTCGCAGCTCTTCCTCTCTGGCCGCCTGCTCTCTGGCCAATTGCTCGCGGGAGGCCTGTTCCCGGATAGCCTTCAGCTTGGCCTCCTCATCTCGAACAGCCTGCTCTCGGAGAGCCAATTCCCTGGCGGCCAGCTCCCTTTGAGCCTGCTCAATGGCCGCCTGCTGACGTTGGCTCTCCAGGCGTGATTGCTCCTCTCGGAAGAGCCGCTCCTTGGCTTCCGCTTCCCTCTGTGCCTTCTCCCTCTCCGCCTGATCGCGGGCATCCCGCTCTCTTTGCTCTTTTTGGCGCTGCTCTTGCTTTAGTCTCTCCGCCACCACATTGATGTCCATCTTGAGTTTGATGAACGACTGGAAAATGTTCATTACATCGTTGTAAAGGGTCGAGACCTTGGTCATATCATGAGCACACTGCGAGGCACTGTCCAGCTTGGAGCGCAGGGCAGCCTCCCGACTGGTCACATACTTCTCGATATCGTTGACCAGATTGGCGGCCTCGATGGGGTCACGCAAATAGGGAACCTTGTTGGAGACGCTACTGTAAAAGTAGCTGATCTCACGGTACTCGGCATCGATCTGTTGAAGAAGGGTGAAAAGACAATTAAATGTTTCAATATATATTTATTATAATTGATTTCCAAGTAGGTTCTTGAACCAATTCCACCTGTCAGGTTATAAAAACTTCAGCTTCCCAAACTTTGCTTCCTTTCTAGTAATATTTATCGTTTCAAAAACAATAAAACATTAATAGCACATCGTAAATGTCAACGAAATATAAAAAATGAGAGCACGTGTCTCTCATTATAATTATTTACGGTGTCGGCTAAAGATTAATTTATAGTCTTTTTTATTACTTACCTTTTCGACCACCTCGAAGAACTCGGTTGCCTGATTGAGGCTCTTTCGTTTCTGCTTCACCTGATCCTTGAAGCTCTGCCACTTGTCGTTGAGTTTGCGCAGTTCGTCCTTGACATAACGCTCGCTCTCGGGATTGCTAATTAAAAGCTGTTGGCTTGTGGACTCTGTAAACTTCTCGATTCGCTTCTCTAGCAGCTATATAAATATATTTATATTCAAAATGAGTGGGAAAGTGTGGGAGGGAAGAGTGAAAAGATAATCATTAGAGACAGCCAAAAGTATATGTATATATTGCCAGCAAATTAACCCATTAGGCAGCAGCTAAAACGCAATGTCTAGGCAGAGTGCAGCCAAGCGGGATAACATTCTTGTACACAGTAGAAAATGAATGAATTTTGAATGATAATTAATATTTAAATAAAATAATATTCTTTTTAAATCATTGTTATGACGAATATGATAACATTTTAAGACTTATATTTAAGAGAAATTGAAAGACATGAGTTTAGAAAGAAAATCAAGAAAAATCCATTGAAATTGCTTTAAATTTGACTGAAAAGTATGCTTTAAAAATAAGTATTATTTAAATACAAAATAGTAATTGTGTTTGCTAAATAAAACCCTTATTTTCTCTCTGTGCACCGTTTGCTCACATCCGCTCTATGGCTTAGCTGATCATAAAAATCAGAACGTCGAAAACAATTTATAACAGCAAAATATGTAGATAGATATATAAAAGTGCATTAAAAAGTGGTCTGAATGTGTGTTGTGGCTTTTGCTTCTGTTTCTGTTTCTGTTTCTCATCGGTTTGTATCTGTATCTTCTTCTGGCGTATCCCTATCTCTGAGTTGTATTTCATGTATTCGTCGCAGAGTTTTTAATTACAAACTAACGACAGCTGCCGCTGTCTGTCTAAAGCCCATCGCCCATCGCTGACAGCGACAACATTTTGAAAGTTGCGATATTTTCGAAATGTCTTCCATTTGGAAATTTGATGAATGTTGTGGGGCTGTTCCGCCCGATCTTTCATTTCTAGCTGGGTGACCACCCAAAAAAGGGTAAGCGGAAGGGAAGCAGCGCGTGCTGATGCTGATGCAAAAATATAGACGTGCAGGGATCGATCTGTATATCTATTTCTATATATTCGAAAACTATATATCTATGGCTACCTCGAGGGTGTGGGCTGTTTGGCCCCATCGTCGCTGATGGCGCGTTGATTTCAATTGCTTGGGCATTGAACACTAGAATGGGATTAGATCATTCAATCATTTTTAAGTCCCATTCAATCTAGCCGGAAATCTATTCTAGCCTCGTGTGGTGTCTCTTAATTAATTAAAAATATGTAAATTGATTGCTCAAATTGATTTAAAATTGTAAAATTTAGCCTTATCCAATCCTTTTGTGATTTAACTATCATAAATTTCCTCGTTCTCTCTTTAGCTAACATATTTACACTTTCAGTTTAACAACTCTTAAATAAACTTTGCAATTTCCTCTTGCGAAAACAAAACATTATACAGATCTTCTGCCGCTGAATGCAACAATCTCTGTGGCTAAATGTTTACCCAATACAAACATTATAGTTTCCAACGCACACACACCGCAATCCTAACCCACCTCAATGAATAGCTCGAAGTTCACTCACCTCTATGGTCCGTTCAAAATATTCAAACGCCAGCGACGTGGTCTTGGCCGCAGCCAAACTATCCACACTTTGGTTGTTGATCTCGTGCAGCTGCTGGCTAACACTGTCCAGACTGCGATCAATATCCTCGAGATCGCCACGGAACTGCTCGATCTTCTCCTGCCGCTCCAGAGTCGACATCCTGGCACTGCTGTTCGACTCGAAGTGCAGGCGCAAATTCTCGAGCAACTTCAATATGCGATCGGTATCGATTTCGCGGGCTCCCGGTGGCTCCAGTACTCGCACCCGATCGATCAGCAGCTCGGATTGTGTGATTAACGATCTAAATTTATCCATGCACTGATCGCGGAATTTCTCATGCTCCGCAATGCTCCGATCAGCGCCAGAAGAGTTCTGCTGCTGCTGACGAGCAAAATACTCGTCGATTTCGCGACGCAGCTGCACCGTGTTCTCCAGAAACTGCAGGATGCTCTCCACCAGTGTACGATAGTCATACTTGATGCCATCTAACTTGGCCTTCAGCATGCGCAAATTGTTGATCACCTGCTCGATTTTGGCCAGCGAGGGTTGGTCCTTTGTTTGAATGCTGAGTGTGGTCTGGATACGCTGCTGGATCTCATCCTGAGCCCTCTCAATGTCCTGGCTGACATGGGTGAGCTTCTCGCGGGTGCTGACCAGCAGCTGCTTGGCATCAACACTGGTCGAGGTGAAGACGGGATACAATTGGGTGTCCACCTGTGTGCTCTTGGCCACAGTCTGCAGAAAAGGGGAAATTATGAGTTTAAAAAGAGTTTTTAAAGTAACATAAGAATTGATAATTAGAAAAATCTAAAAGATACACTCCACTTCTAATTACATTTGTACATTTATTCTGAGAAATTGCGATTAAACCTATTCAAAAATAGTCTCTTGAATAAATCCTGTGCATATTCAATTAAGTTCTTACGACTCCGGCACACACTCACCTCCTCGTTGTCGCTCATGACTTTCTCGAGTAGATATTCCACTTGGCGCTTCTCCTCGATGCTGGTCGTCCAATTCTCCAAACTGCTCGTCACGTCGACCTGCCGCTTACTGAAGCCGTTCAGCGTCTCTTGCACCGCCTGTGCCGAGGATTTCGTCTCGAGATATGGATCCACAATCTGCGCAGCGACGCGTCGTTAAAAATAGCATAGAAAATAGATGATTTTTATTTTTATTTCTATTTGATTTTAGCTGTTTTTTCTTTTCGTATTATTTTTCTGTTTTTATTTTGTGTTATATATTTTGTGTGCTCCCTTCTTCCAATTGTCGCGTGCAGAGAGAGACAGAGAGGGATTTTTCCGAGTAAAAATGCGGCGCGTGGCGCACGCATCTAACTGTGGCCAGGGTCTGCTGCCTTCTGCCATCCCGAGAGTCCAGGCCAGATCCGACCCAGCTCTCCCGACCAGACCCCATATAGTACAACCTATCTATAGCCGGCAGCGCAAATTGCTTTCTTTATTTATGGACTCGACTTCGACTCGATTCAACACAACTTGCGGCGGAGCAGCAAAAAAAAAAAAAAAAAGAAAATTTCTAATTTCAAAAAATTTCCTTTGCGTCGGCTGCTTCTTCCCGGTTTTATGTTCACGTATGGGGCAAAATGACGTTGTCGTTTTGAATACATGTTTATGGCTAACCAAATCATATTGTTTATAATTTATGAACACAGAGAATGGTGGACTGGCGAAAAGTTGAGGAGGACAGGGAGTTGAAAACAGGAATACTCTAGCCGCCGATATGCCTGAGATTTATCTCTTTGACTGGGAGGATCCATTAAAAGACTCGGTTTTAATTAAAATATTATCTTGGAGATCTTGATAAGAAATTTGGATGAATTCGTTACTATGGCTTTCAGGGAAAATATAGGAATTTAAGATAATATTGTTACTAACATATTATTTGTTCAATATTTTTGCTTTAAATTATTTTTAAACATTACCCCAATGTAACTCCCTAAAGTATATGTAACCCCAACTATTCGCGACTGTTTGTGCAACGTCAGCAAGCTGCTTCTGGGGAGCTGATGGACAGCGTGTGCAAAATGCGCCAGCTGTCAGCAGTTAGTTTGGCAAAAGAGCAAAGTTTTGCGGGCATAGATGAAGCATAAACAGAGTGCAGCATGCATAACGAACCAGCCCTGACATTAGAGAATTCCACAAAACTTAGATTAAACAACTTATCCATGTGAGAGTTGGAGTAGAAGGAGAAGGAGAAGCGGATGTGGATGTGGAGTTTAGCCCTATACCCACTTTCAAGTTGATGAATCTCTGTCCGCGTGACTTGAGCTCGCTGAAGGTCGCAGCTATTCCCGTCCAGGTTGCTTGGAGGAACTGCAGCTTGTGCTCATCGGATGGTGTTTGTTGGAGTTGACGTTCCATATTATCTAGCTGGCTGGAGAGCTCGTTGGAAAGCTCAAAGAAGTCGATCAGCAGGGAGACATAATCCACACGCTTTAGAACCAAATCCTTAAGCTCGATCCAGTGTTTGTGCAGTGCCTCGGCCTTGGAGTCGACATCGTAGCGCTGCTGGGGACTCAGTGATTCCAAATGCACCTTGATGGACTCCAGTAGCATGTTGATTAGTTCTCCCTTGATCTGGCAAAAGATAATTAAGGTTTTAGTTACAAATCTACGAGTCTCTGGTTATATTTACGAGGTGGGAACTCAGTGCAAAAGTATGAAATTTAAAAATATGCCGGAAAGCCATTATTAATGAATGTATATATTTTAATAAGAAAGTGCCGATTGAAATTAATGAAAAAGGTTACTGCAGTAATTAAAGGAAAGCCACTTGTGAAGTAGAAATAATAAACCACTATTAATTCTAAGCTGGACTTTAAAGCAAACAAACCTCTAGATCCTGCATAAGTTCATGGTGCTGCAGAAGGAATTGCTTGGCTTGATGGAGATTTCTTCCCATGTCAACGCTCTGCTGAAGATGCAACTGACCCGATGCCCTTAGCCAGGCCAAGAGCTCATTGTGTTGAGTCAAGAACTCGCTCAAGGCCCGCTGAACCTTTTGCTGATCCTCGCTGCTGTGGGCGCAGATACCCTCGATATAGGCTTTGCGGTTTTCCAGCTCATCGAGCACCCTCTTCACGCCATGTGTCTCTGGCTGCGTTCGTCCCACCTCATCCAGGATGCCATAACCGATGCGGATTGGCTCCTCGGTGAAGTTTCGAACATCACGTTCCACTTTGGAGAACATGGCATAGCTCTCGGGGGAATTGGGTGGCAATTTCACACTGGCCAGCTCCAGTTCGAGCTTCTCGAGGACACTCAGCGTGTGCTCGGCCTTGGCAAAGAACTCCCGGGATTGGTGTAGCCAGTGTTCCCTTTGATCCACCAGATCCAAGTGCTCGGTGCACCCACTGAGAACGGCATAGGCCCGAGCACAGGCTTCATCGGAGGTGAAATGGCCGGCGGATTGGACTTTCTCCTTGGCTCTGGTTATCTTTAGAGCTCGATCTCGGAGCAACAATGCCTGCTGCTTCCAATCCCTGTACTTGGCAAGCATCTCATTGGCCGTGTGTTCGCACTCTCCCAGGCTGTACATGGTGTTGAGTTCAATGCGAGCCTTTTGCAGAGCCGCCTCTAGATCCACCAGTTCCCGTCCCAATAAAGCCAGGGCTAGGCACTGCTCCATTTGAGTCTTTCTCGTCTGCCAGGCGAGTTCTAGGTCGTTTCTTCGATCGTGTAGGGCCTCCAGCCACTGTTGAACCTGATGAACCGCCCTCGTGGCATCCCGCTTGATGTGCTCCGGTCTCGTATCGAGTGTCTCCAGCTTCTCCAGTTCCTCCAATTGGGCCAGCAGTTCGTTGCCATCCTTTAGAGCGGCCATCACGCCGGTGAGCATGTCTATTCTCAGTTGCTTGAATCTATTGAGGAACTCTTGGATACGGGGCACATCTATGGGTTGCAGGATCTCTTCGCAGGCCAGTTCCAGTTGATCCATCTTTCGGAAGCACTGTGTCATCTTGTCGTGGAATTGTGTGCAAAGTATAAGAATGTGTTGACGATCCTGCAGGAGATTCAGAATATCCTGCCAGATGATGTTTAGGGTATCGGCCATGGCGTTGACGAGCTCCGAACTGATTCGCTTGCTGGCCAGCAATTTGTCTGCCTTTTGCACGAACTCATCCATGGGTCCAGGCAGGCTCTGAAAGGGATTTAAAGGGTATTTAATATAGGGTTTTATGGGAGATTTCAACTCACTCACCTGTAGGTTTCGTAGAGTCTCATCGTGCTCCCTTTGCATACGCAACGATTCATCGAGATTATCGCCTAAAGCTGTGATCTTTGGCTCCAGCTCTACGACCTTTATGTAGATCTTTTCGGGACTCTGAAAGGGTTAAGAGTATTTTATTAAAGATGATACATAGATAAGGGGTCGGAATTATAAATGAGTGTTGTGTCTTATGATGTTAAAGAGATTTCATAATTATTTTCAATATTAAACAAGGTATACTGTTTATTTAAGAACTTTTTCTTCATTTTTCTCAAAGAAAGCCTCTCAAATATTTAGTTTTCATTTTGAAATAGCTTTCCTTTAATGTATTAATGTTGTTCTCTTTAAATTCCTGCATTCCAATACATTATTATTAAATATCCCAAAGCTACCTCCCATAGGATTCCCCGCACCAGTTGCTATTTGAAGCAGCTATTCTCCCACAAGGGTCTACAGCATTCCTGCTCCCCAAATTCCGAACCCAAAAACCATGACAGTCACGTTCCTGTGATCCCAGCAGCTGGCTCTCTGGCTGCATGGCCATTCATGAAACTCGTAGTTGACATCGGGCCAGGAAACGACGACGATGAGATCTCGTGCAGGGAAACTGTGGAAAACCTGCTCCGGCTGCGACAATGCTGCACAGCAGCTTCTTCTAATTTTGGTAGCACCGCCAGAAGCCAGAAGACAGACAAAAGCCAGAAGCCAGAAGCCACAATCTTGGCTGGTATCCCAAGAGCAGAAGTGGCACCACAACCTCAGCTCTGTTTGATTGCAATGAAGGTCAGCATTGGCTGTTTATGGTAATGGCATCCGTTAGTTTTTCCTGTTGGGATGAGCATGTGTCGATGGAGCTGAGAGGGGAAAAAGTGCCACATGCCACCACGAAACAACCATGGAGAGCAGTCAGAGCTCTGAAACTGCTTCTGGTTGGGATTTCTTTTATTGTACAAGTTTTTTGGGAGTGTACAGTGAAGCTTCAGACCAAACTTGTATCTAATTAATATCATAATTTAAAAATTTTGTATAGACTCGCTGTCAAGACGTCTAAAATATTTTACATGGATATTATTCCCCTAACTATTAAGTCATATATTAGTTTTTCTTCAGGAAGTTTGCCTGTAGTTTTCCATTTTAATAGCCAAAAGGTTTTCAGTTGGTTTTATCTGTGACTGTCATTAATCAATTACTTTACAAATTAATAACCCTGCTATTAAATTAAATTGTTTGTGTGTGCCCCACTGGCTGTGCGATGTAAAGCGATAAAGAAAACCAGTCAAAGTCAGTGACTCAATGCGACGTGAATGGGTTTTCAATATACATTTTACATATGCACACTAATAATTCTCGAAAATCTGAATAAATTTGAAGTGTAACGGCAAGAGATGGAGGGGATGGATAATCACGTAGTCTAACTGAAATATGAACCATAAATGGTATGACATCACTATAAACAGGCCGACCATAACTAACTATACGTACGTCGTATAAAGCATAAAGTAAACCATTATGCATATGGCCGGGGCGCCGAGTACTCGACACAGGCCCCCCATAAACATGCAGAAATTTTAAAGATTTATAGGAATTATAAAGTATATAAACTGTAAAGATTGTTGTTGAATCTGGACTAAAAAAGGAATTCCTTCAAAAACCATCTTTGTGATTTTAAATAATATCCAATAGATATTTCTTAAGACAGTATTAAAGAAGTTTCTTACAGAAATTAAGGAGTAGTTATATCAATCTTATTTCCACATAATATAATGAAATTTAAATATTTCATCATATAATTTTTCAACATTTTTTTTGCCGGTGTACTCCATACGTCACTCATTGCGAAATTGAATCGTATTTCAAGTGGCGCACAAACACGCACCGAGCCGTTAAGATCCGTAATATGCATTTGGACATTAAGAAGCGCGTCTTCTTTGGCCGGCACTTGGGGCAGTCAGTCGCCAGACCGCCAGTTTTCCCAGTTGCCAGTGCTAGTTTCCAAGGCGGAAGTGCTCCACGATCGTGGCCGGGTGGGAGGATTCATTTCGCTATAACATTTCCCCTTCAATTTATACCCCACCCATCCAGGCGATGATATAATGCCAAAAGCACCGGCGGCGGTTCAAAAACAATAACAGCCAGAAAGGAATGCCAGGTTTTTTGGGAATCGAACAATGGAATACCCTTGTCGATCAATTAGGTCATTGACAGGCTATGGTATTTATTTGGGATTTTGATCAAATTTTGACAGTTTGATCTCTAATCGTATTATACAGCAGAGTGTCAGGGTTAATTTGGTAATCTTTGAAAATAATAAAAGTATACTCATGTTTTTAATGATGTTAATTATGGGGTATTGTGATGTATCTTATACATAATGATAATAAAATATTGTTTTTATACCCTTGCAGTGTATTTTAATTTTAGTCGGAAGCTTATTTTGAGTGAAGCAGTAATTTCCGACCCTATGTTTCATATATATTATTGATCAGGATCAAAAATCGAGTCTAACTAGTCATCTAGCGGCAGAATTTTTTCCCAATTTTTTAACATTTTTTTTCATCATTAAAATTGTGAAAAATTTTATTCAAAATTTATTATTATTTTTTTTTTTATTGAGTATGCATATTTGTTCCGAATTGAAATTAATGCTTTTTTGGCTAAGTTATGAATTTTTTTAACTTAGATTTCTCAAAAAAATTGTCAATAATATCAATATTAATTCAAAAATGGGAATAAGTTAGGTTTAGTTATGATTAATTTTAGATTTTATCCTACAATTAATTGCAAACTTGCAAGGGCTTTCTTCGCCTTTCCGGATCTAGTTTTCATTGTTGTTTTAATTATATTTAAGACAACATCTAAAGATTTATCTTCAAAACAGAACTAGTACTTAGGCGGATCTATCGTTATAACAGCAATAACAATAAAGGCATCTTTCGTGATCTCATATCTTACTTATAAATATGCAATTTAAGCTTTGAAAACTGGTTTAAAATTGTGCCATAAATTTGATTAATACAAAACTTTGAGGATAGCATAAAAATTATAGGAATGTCATGATATTTACTGATTTAATAGTTCCCAAAATTGATTTATAATATTTATTATTTATGTCACAGTATATTCTCTACTAGGGTATAAGAAGAGAATCTACCAATGTTGGCAAAGAACATTTCAAAGAAAAAAAAAGAATAAGACATAAGACCTGAAAGGGGGACCAAACACAATCGTCCACTTTGAGGCGCTTAGCGTGAAACACGTTTTTGGCTTTTAAATTAATACTTTGTGGCAGTGGATAGAACACGATTTCGATATGAAATTACCTCGATGCTGCTGTGTTGTTGTTGTTTTTGCTGTTATCGTTTTGTGTGAAATCATTGCGCATTTTTATAGAGCGCCGTCCAGCTCCGCTCTTTCATTACGGCCATTGGCTACGTGTAACGTATGTATATACATACGTAATCCCGAATGCCGATCTCTGATTTAATTGAGAATAGCAATTTGCGGAGGCGTTGACTTGTTTTACCTGATTTATATTTCTTTTGCAGAATCCTTTTCAAGGAAATTGTAATGGAAATAATAGAGAAAGATGTTCAACTAATTGCTTAACAACTTTGTAACATACAGTTATAATGTCTAGGTAAGAAATTTCATTCTTATTCCATTTATTTTCCTGTTTTGTACAAATATGCTCTATTTTGTAGGGTAATATTTATGGGAACATGTGTGTATTTCCAAATATTCTTTATGTGATATTTACGATTTCGGTAAAAGATCAATTAAAATTAATGAGCATTTTTCCACCTAACAATTTGGCAACGTTTACATCATTCCTTCAAGAACGCAATATTTCAAAACATTTCACTTATTTATTTGTTACAGAAATACTCATAATACACAATTTAAACTAATGAATTCTCTCGTTAGAATTTGGCAATGTTTCCTTATGATTTTATTTATTTCACACATTTTTGAACATTTTATATATATTTTTCCTTAAAGTTCATTAGCCAGCCTTGACCTAAAAAACCAAAAAAATATATGCAATACCACACATCCGCCCATTAATAAACAATTTTACCACATTTCCATATCACATGTTTTTTGTTAGCCTTTTTGCGACAATTTTATTTTATGGCTCTGTGACTGCTCTAATAAAGGTAAGCTAATTGAATACAAATTGAAAATGGCTCATTAAAGCTACATAAATCAAATGGGCACATTTATATATATATACACATGTGTGTGTTGCTCCTGATCAAACATAAGCCCGAATGTTATATTTGAGGGCCATAAAAAGTTTGTACAAATACAGACTAATAAAAAAACCGCATTAACATACGATTGTGTGTGTGCGCGACTTGATAGAGAGCAAACAGCATTAATGTATTGTACAAATAGGCATATGCAAATGTATTTACTCTACCTATACACTGGGAAAAATATTAAATCAATCTTGATAAACTAAAAATAAAAGGTTGAAAGTAAAATAGTTACTTGAAAACTTGTTGTTTTCATTGTTTAATGTGAACAAAGCTTAGTACAAGATTTGTATTACAAAATATTATAAAGAATAATTATATTTATTGCTGTTTAAAGTGTCCCGGAATGTGGAACTATTTGGGTAATACAAGATTAATGTAAATTTAGCATAAAATCGTTGTACGATTTAAAGATGTTTCAATAATTGTATCTAGAACTATTTGATTGCATAAACACTTTATAATTTATAACAACACCTGAGTTATTATTATTATTACAGATTAATAATACATATTTTCTTTTTATTTTGTTACACAATTCTTATTCAAAGTGTAACTCATATTGTTTCTGCGTTTGTTGTCATCACGCTCTGACGCTTTCGCTCTGTTCCTCCATTAAACTTAACTTGATTTTGTCATAAAACAAAAGAACAGTGAAAATGTATTGCCCGCGTGTGTATTCTGTCGCTATTTGTTGTTATTGTTAATTTAGCAGAGGTTTCGCCTCGATCATCATCATCATCAGCCGGAGTGATGTCAGACTTTTGGGGGGTTCTATAAATACCTCCGCGAAAACATAACATACATAGAACAATTTCAGCTGAGGTGGCTTTCAGTTTTAGTGGGTCGCACTTT